TAGAGAAGAGGCGCAGGGTCGAAGGTTGAGGGAATCTTTAACGGCAGGGTTGAGGATGCCTGGCGATTCTTGTAGCTCCATGCCATAACTCGAATCGGATACAGCAGTAGCAACCCTCCATACAAGGCACCAAAGAGATAGAAATCTACAACTAGTAAGAAAAAAATTCACAAGGATGGAGGAGGGATGTGATGCACCTTTGCGCCAAGTACATAATACCGGTGCCAGCAACTTGTTGGCTTGGATCATGCCAGCGAGCGTGGTGATGATACCAACTTCAATGGCTCGCTGTACGAGAATCTTCTTCCGGCGGATAACATCCGGTAAGATGGCCCTCTCTTCAGACTTTTTGCCATTATGTGATGCTCGACGACTCGTTGGAGGTACCGGTTCTTGCAGGACTGCGGGCGACAAGAGTGGCGTCGAAGTGCCAGATGTAACCTCGTTTCGGCCTCTCAGCCCTTTGTGGGGTCGCAGTTTTGGCGGCGGCAGGCCCTTGAGGAAGTGTTCATCGTCAGCATCGGTGCCGCTATCGCTCGCTGGCGTCGATTCCTTGGAAAAGGTTTGTAGACCGGATAGCGATGGTTGGCTCGAGTCGTTGCCCAGCTTCGGAGATGCAGCTCTTTCGCCGCGAGAGACCAGATGGTCAGAGGGGTAGGGCAGCTCGGAACTCTGGTGGTGATAGGGGTGAGGCGACCGGTTCAATGCCCGAAGGACATCTTGTTCATCTTGATCCAGAGCCTCTGTCGACTCTGGGCTGAGGTGCGTTGGCATGTCGTGTGAGGCCACTTTTGCTAGGAACCATTGAAGACGGTTGGAGTGGATGTGGCTCGAAAACTGGATGACGTATTAGGGAACTGAGGCGTCGACAGCCTTGGGGAAATTCCAATGGCTGCTGCTCGGGCGGCTTCAGCAGGCAAAGGAGTGTTTACATTGGGAGAATTAAATCGAGAAAAATAAACGAAATTACGTGGAATGGTGTTAGACTTTCACATGAAAGCTACGTGTACCTTACCCACGCGGTTCGCTGAGGCTTTGCGAATAGTTGGTCCATTTGCAGGCATTATCACGTGAAACCCTGATGGCAGCCAAAGTCACCGCCCTGCAAATCATACGTGCATAGTACTTGCATGAAACAGCGCTTGAGATATGCTTGAAAGAGGCATTTGGCCAAGAATGTGTGACGGATGATTGGCCATTTTATTGGACTTCTTCAACGGCATTAAATATATTAAGTCCCTGTGCCTGTGCCTGTGCCTGTGCGTTTTTAGCATTGCAGGCGTCAACTTCACGTGTCTCGGCAGCGGAAACCTCATAGCTAGACGCCGGTTATCCTCTGCTAATTGTCTCAACAGCTGGCTGGATCGACTGCGACTAGCAGCAGCCACATTAAAGTTAGTGACTGATCAGTTTGTTTAAACATTGCCAAAATGGGCAAAAAAGAGCAGAGTAGAGGCAAAGTTTGCAGCCTCGATACTCTTGCAACGCCAATTGGAACCTCCCGCTGGCCTGGCATAGCAAGGATGGCATTTTCACAAGGCTGAGAGGATCTGAAGCTACAGCTGCAATGCAGAGCCCCAAGGTTGAAACCGGGATGCGTACAGCCAATTGGTGTCGAGGGAAATGCCATGCTTGAGCTGGTAAACGGCCTGGAGGCTAAATGTATTCAGCTCGAGTGGAGCCAATTCAACGGCCGCAAATCATGAAGAGACATGTTGCACCAGACAAACAGAGTTGAGACTATCCAGTTGAATCTCACGAAGATAGTTTGCAGGGTTACAGATTGAAGCCGGCCGTGCATCCGGTATCCGAAGATTGGATTCTCACTGAGAGATGCTGCCAACAGCAAGTATAGGCTTGGCATATGACTTATTAACTAATTAGTAGTTGTAAGTCCATTGATAATGATATACATCAATGCTACTCATCTGGAGCTGGAGTGTGTACGAGTACATATTTGTCACAGCAATTGACTTCCTTCCCCTCTTTTCTCTCCAATTTCTTGGAGGTTGGTCTTTTACTCTTGAACCATCCGCTGAATTGCGCGCCGTGGCCTCCGAGGCGTTTCCAGAAGCGTGGATACCCTTGCTTACCTCGAGAATTCCCCATGAGGCTGAGGGCACCAAATGCACGGACTCGCCAATCTAAACGTTGATCCAGGGCCTAAATAAGCCTTGGCTGAAATCCCAAAGTTTGCTGGCCTCTGCACATTGGCCAGAGAGCGTCAGTCTGGGCCTTTCGTCCGCATAAGTGCATCGTCCAGTCGGGGCCGGCCAAGTCTCCAATTCTCTCCCTTCCCGCTTCTTTTCGACTCGAATACGAGCCGCGCGAGAAAATGGGCTGAGCCAGCGTCGGTTGGGCTTTTGGCGGTGATGTCAGTGAGGGAGTGCGGTTACGGAGTCGCTGCTGTTAGCCGCACGGCTAGTCTCGTTTGCTCATGATACCGCTTCGGGGCGATCCCGCGGAGAATAACGAGAGTGAAAGAGCGTATCCTGGGGGGCATTCGCAAGACATGCTCACATTCGAACCTGGACGCATCTCGTCGCCGTCATGGTTACGGGATGCTGCGGGCGGCGTTCCGGCGTCTTCAAGGCGCCCACGAAAGGGGTTACACCGCCCCGATTATTCACGATCACGGCAGGCCCTGTCCATGATGTGGAAGAGTGTAAGCAGCGGGAATGCCGGCAGCGAGAGCTAGGAAACTAGGAAACGGGCTGTGGAGATGGGAGATCACGCCACGCTTCTCTTTGATGGACAAATGAAGACTTTGTACGGGTGAGTAGGAGCACGCTACTGGTTACGGGCTACAGCCAGGGAGTTCCATTGTGCAGATGCAAAGGACGTGTTGGTGACGAGAAGGACACTGGAAAAGAGGTCATCGCATCCCCAGACCATCATGGTTTACGCAACCCTTTTGTCGTCGGGACATGGGCCAAGGCGGGTGATATATGACCATCGATGATCATAAGGAGATGGGTGATGCCACTTCGTAACTGCAGGTTCTCGTACAACCGGGGAGTAGGGACTCCGCTACCTGTGCTAAATGGGGATACGACAACCAAGATCCGAGGAGGGCACGGGAATTGCCATGACAAGGTACAAGGTGTGGTAAGGCTAGAAACGAGAGAGACAGAGATCAAGAAAGGCTGTTTTCTCCGAGGTTGATTAATCAGTCGGCACTGTCCAGGCGCTGCGCTCCTCGTCTTAGTCCTGCCACGAACTACTGCGTACCGCGGGAGTCCTCACTGGCTTGTTGATGCTGGTGGTTGGGTGGCGATACTCATGCCGGCAAGTGGATTAACAGCTACTGTAGAACGAAATACGGAGTACGGAGGAGCTTGCCCGAGCAAAGAACCAAGACGACGGGCGGAGAGAACGAGTTTCATGAGGCCGCTCCGGGATAAGGCGCCAAATGCAGCGGCATCAATTGCTGTGTTGTCGGATAGTGAGCAGTGAGTGAGCAATTGATGCCTACATTTATGTACACGTAATCATTTAGACCTGATCCTTTGCTCACTTGCTGCTCCCCTTCTATCGCCGAGTTTCGCCCTGTCATCCTGGAGTACCTATTGCTGAGGTCGCGAGCTCCTGGGGCGAAACTGTACCTACCCAAAAGTCTAAAAGCTTCAAGCTCAAAACAGGAACAGAGGCCTGACGTGGCGTAACGCCTGTTTGCCGCTGGAATGGAGACGCTGGGGCAATAAATCGGAATTGAATTCGTCCACCTGTGTCATGTTTATTCTTCTCCTTCCATGAGTCCCTTTTCTTCCCTTGCTTGCCGCTTATAGCATCGAGCGAGTCAGATAGTGGGCGATGCATGCCTGGTACAATTGCGCCTGGTACCGCCAGTAGTAGTAAGCTCCCTTTGGCGCTAAAGAAAAAAAAATACAATCAATGCACGTCCACACAATTGAAAGCCGCCCCGAGTCTGTCAAAACCCGGCAGCGGCTCTGCAGAAACTGAAACTCGTCATGGATTCCGCGATAGCTCCCCCCCTGCAGCGGGCCTAGTGCCGCTAAAGCTCTCCGAGGCCCAAAGTCGCAGCCAGTCAGAGACAGCAAATGGCTTGTGTCTGGAAATATTGGCCCTCAGCCCGTGCTTCAAGGCCCGCCAGCCCAACCTCCAGCCTGCGCAAGCGTCTGCTGTCCGCTAATAATGACGCATGGATAAGCTATCGCCCTTGTCCTTGTAGCAGTGAGCTGTCATTGCTGCCGTCTTTGCCATGCCAGCTGAAGCAGAGTGGGCACTGGGCTGGGGCCCGGGAGCCAGGGCCACCACCTCGTATCCATGGATAGCAACAGAAGACATGGAGCTTGTGATACTGTGACTGTATCGTACAAGCGCGGACACGGCGGCGAGGCTGTTCAACCGTGCCAAGCGGGTTAGCTAGCAGCCTTCGATCCTGTTTTCCATGGCCGTTGACTGATGCTGATGCTTGCTATCGATTTCTTATCTTTCACAAGCTGGCGGAGCGCCTTTATGCAAGCCCACGGACCCTCCTCCAGCCCCCAAAACTTATACTTTTCCATCGTCGAGGAACGGCAGCCTCTCTTTCCACCACACTTTTCCCCTTCTCCTCATTCACCTGCATATATACACCTAACACATACGCGGACTCGACAGTTGCCGTCTTCGTTGGCCAGACCAGAAACGCCTCTCAGCAACCCCGACCCGACTCGGCAAAACGGAGACCTGCAGCCATCTTGCCCCAGACTTTGCCCCAAGAGGAGACTCCAGACGAGTGTAATTCTCCAAAAGAGAAAACGGGACCCGCCCTCACTCGAAAACCCTCTTGCTAGACCTTTCGGGTCCGGCATAGTTGAACCCAAAAACCCAAAAACCCTCTCCGCTTGGCCTGCCGGTGGTGGCGTGTGTCTCGGATTCGTCCAGTCTCGTAAACTTCAAGACACCCCCTGCCCTGCCTGCAGCAACACGGGACTCGCATACGATACTCAACTGCCCCATTCGTTCAAACTCTTGACAGTATATTATCCGCTGTCATGGCTCCCGCGGCTTACAATGACCGTGATGGTCACCTAGAGGCTGGACTTCTGAAGAGCACCCAAGGAGAGAAGCAGACCGGATATCAGCACCTCACGCAGCAGACCCCCAGCAAGAATAGGAAGATGGTTTACTTTAGGCGGGCACTGTTCATCATCGCAGTGGGCTTCGTCCTCGGCTTGGGCGTTGCCACTGCTCGGCCCAGCGTCGTCAACTGCCACAAGTCCAACAAGATGGCCGTGGCCAAGGCTCACGCCTCCAACGGGGAGCTGGCTGAGGCACTTCAGAAGGCGTCTCCTGATCTGCTTCACCGGCTGCTGCATGCTTATCTCCCCGAGAGATACCAGCACGGCGTCTTCCCCTCGGATCGTGATGCCATTGATGCTATCCATGGCGACGACCCTTCTGTAGCTTCGGCTATTGTCCAGATTGCCAAGAGACAAGAGGATACACCAAACAACAACTCCACCATCCCCAATTCATCGTCTACAACTCCCCCGTCCTCTTCGTCTACTTCGGTACAGGAATCCTCAACTTCGCCTGCACAGTCAACCACGGATTCGTCATCATCCTCGACCACCACTCCTGAGCAATCCTCGACTGAGTCTACTACGAGTAAGTTCTACTTTGACATTGAAAGTATCATTGTGACGATGGCTAACTCACGTATCAATAGCCCAACCCGCCAGTACCACTGCTGGGTCCACAACCTCGGACTCATCTTCAACCTCTACCCCTGCTTCCACCACCGCAGGGCGCACCACCACCGACGAACAGACTACTACTAACACCGGAAGTGCAACCTCAACCGAGCCCCCAAGCTCGACCACTTCGCCTTCTGAATCCACTACTACTACTGGTACGTCCACCACAGGAACTGAAGAGACCACTACGGCTGCCTCCTCCTCTCCCACCACCACCGCTCCAGAGTCCACCACCTCTTCTGGTAGGTCGTCATCAAGCATCGTTTCATCGTTTACCGATGCATCTACAACTGCTTCTGATACTTTGCCCCCTTCCTCTTCTACCTCTTCCTTCCCTTCTTCAACTTCCCCTCCGGAATCGACGACAACGACAGAGACCACTACTGGTATGTCAGATTTTCGCGTTGTCGTTTGACATTGTCGAGACGGACATCCCAACTCTGGTGTTGATGCTTGGACCATTTGCCTGGATGTGAAAGGGAACTCTCATAGTTGCTTGGTTGCGAGTGCTTCAAGTTTTGCGAGACGAAACTATCATTTTCTTCTTTTATCTTCTAGTATTCAAATAATGATTGTATCAATAACTAACACGCTTTGAGCAGATAACTCCATAACATCATCAACCACTACTAGCGAGGGTCCGGCAACAACCATTACTTCAGGCACTAAGACGACGTCTGCTCCGGTTCTCCACACTTACACCAGAACTCTTCCCAACGGCGGCACCACCACACTCACTTCCACCTCATGGGTTGCCGTTGTCCCTACCGACCAGGCCGAGGGATCCAAGAGCCCTGACCTTCAGAACGCTGCCTCCCTGCCTCGTGGCGAGATGGTGCTGCCTGCTGTCATTGGTCTCTTGGTTGGAGCCGTTCTTATGGTATAAGACGGACATGACCGATCTCCCTTTCCTTTTTTTCCCCAACATTTTCACTCTCCTTTCAACTTGCATAAGCATCAGCGTATCGATACTAGAGGAATTGGCAACGGCGTTTCATTCATTTTCAATCTCAACAATTCACGGCCACTTCCTTAACACTCATTTCCTAATACAGCAACTCGGCGGATGCATAGATTGGGTAACTGCATTTTTTGATATTTTCAGCAACAAACTTGGACTTAGACTGGGATAGGACCCTACGCGGGAAAGCCTCTGGCATAATCATTTGGCACATATGGCATAAAAAGGGGATATAGTGTATTTTCAGCATATAGCAAAGCGAACAAGCAAGCAAGCACAGCAGCCACACATTTAGGCGCAACGGATAAGAACCCTTGTCTTTTTCTTTGGGATTTGTGGCATTTGACGTATTTCGATTTTCTAATCCATCATTGTCGTAAAATATATATACTCGTGTTTCTTTTGATAGGTTTCATGGGTATATAATAATCCAATAATTTCAACATCCAGGGACAGTAAACTCCCATAACTCCATTCCATGCAAATATGTTTTCTCCCAGGTGCCAGATGCAAATGCACCATTGCCGTTTAGCCCGGTCCGATTTTGGGCATATCATGATGCTCGCTCAGCCTGGACAAGTACGTATTCAGCTCCTCGACGCGCTCTTTGTGTGTCTTTAACAACTCGGGTCTCGATCCAGACGATTGCGCAATCTGGAGAAGCTGTGTCCAAATGTTAGCCAATACCATTCAAAAAATGAGGCTCAAGGTGCAAACGAGGCTTACCCTCTTCTTTCTGGCCTCCTCGTACCGTCGCTCGGACTCCGTCTTTAGGACCACTGGTTCATCCTCTTCCTTGTCCTCGCCATCTTCATTGCTGCGATGATCATCATCTACGGGGCTCTTTTTCTTATCGCGACTGCGCTTGGACGTGTCGTCGCTATCGTTGTCCTTTTTGACGAGTGCGGCATCGTCTCCGGTCGAGAGGTTCTTTTCCAGGTCTGACTTGGCGGTCTTCTTCTTCTTCTTGCTGACTTTTGCGCCTTTCAGCTTGAGGGCGCCGCCGCCAATGGCCTTGTAATCGTCGGAGCCCATTGCTAATCGTCGGATGACAAACAGCAAGACAGGACCACCTATGCGCCGAGGAGGTTTTTCACGGCGCCGACAATAAACGACAATAAACGATAACGATTAAATGAGGTGAGAATGCAGAACCGCAGATCGAGTCCGAAAGGTCGCTGCCGCCTTAGTCATCAAGGAGAAAGGCCGACAATACGACGCTAGCATGTTTAAGCATTGAATGGCAGACCAATGAGGAGCGGGCGAACAGGGGGGGGGGGGCCAATTGCTCCCATCTTTCTGCTAGTACATGCGAGGGGAACAGCGGCTCGTGTGTCGCTTCACCATTTCGAACCGTTGATTAAAGTTCCTTTTGGTCCACCGACTCTTTTTTCTTTATATTCTTTTTATATTCAGGGGGAAAATAGCTTCGATTGTGCCGAGCATTCGTTTTTTTACGGTTCTTCTTTCTTCTTTGTTTTTCACTTTCGAAGACGTCATTTACGAAGACTTACGATAATCTGTGCTCCGTCCTTTTTTTCGGTTACCGAGGCGGTTTTGTTGCGAGACAGCGCATTCCTTTGTTTCATCGTTGTCGAAATCTGCGACTTCTTGCCCACGAAATAAAGACGACGTCTCTTCGTTCTCACGATTTAAGTTGGCTGGCCTTGAGCGATATGGGATATCTCTGCTGAATTCGCCGGTCGAAACATAAACAACTTGAAACACTGGGCGACCAGTGAGGGAGGAGTGAAAAAGAAACGACACAAAAGGGCACACAGGGACAAACAAGACGGCAGCCATGGTGCAGTCGCAATCGCGGGACTCGCTGGAGCTCGCGTCGCTGGCCAGCTCCAGCGTCGCCTACGACGGCGCCGCCTCGGAGGTGTCGTCGCGTCAGAGCATCTCGTCGTCGCGGAGGCTGTCCATGGTGGAGGAGGAGGATCCCTTGGACGACGGCAACCCGGCGGTGAGGGGCAGGCTGGGCCGCTCGTACTCGGTGTCGTCGGCGTTCGACTTTGCGGGCAACCTGTTCCCGCTGAGCTCGACGGCTGGCGCTGGCGGATACGCACCCATTGGCGCGCCGACTTCAGCGGGCAGGCCGAATGGGGGCCTGGGCGGAGGGTCGCTGGAGAAGCTCAAGACGCTGACGTATCTGAACGGCCTGTCGCTCATCATTGGACTGATTATCGGGTCTGGCATCTTCTCTTCGCCTAGCCAGGTGAGCGCGAGGCTCGGGTCTCCTGGCGCAGCCCTCATCGTGTGGGTGGTGGCGGGCATTCTTGCATGGACGGGCGGTGCTTCTTACGCCGAGCTGGGAGGCGCAATCCCCCTCAACGGCGGCTCCCAAGTATATCTGGCCAAGACGTTCAGTGAGCTGGCCGGTTTCCTCTTCTCATGGGTGGCTCTCCTGGTGCTGAAGCCGGGGAGCGCTGCCATCATCGCCATCATCATGGGCGAGTATTTCGTCAGGGCCATCATCGGCGCAGAAGCCGAGACGATTAACCCCTGGATCAACAAGGCCGTTGCGTTGGTGGGCATCTTCATGGTGACGTTTCTCAACTGCATCTCGACAAGGGTCGGCACGAGGGTCAATGATTTTCTCATGTTCCTCAAGTTTGTGGCACTGTTGGGAGTGACTGTGGTGGGCATCGTGGTGGCCGCCACGGGTCTCTCTTTTAAAGGAGATGCAAGCAGCGAGTGGAAATCGCACGATTGGTTCACGGGCACGTCTTCGGATCCGTCGAATTGGGCGATTGCGTTGTATGCCGGACTATGGGCCTATGATGGCTGGGACAATGTGAGTTGCGAAAAGCATATGTGAACAACGAAAGAGCTGCCATCTAACATGCGCTTCAATGTAGACAAATTACGTCGTGGGCGAGTTTCGCAACCCTAGCAGGGACCTCCCCCGCGTCATTCACACAGCCATGCCGCTGGTCATCGTCTCCTACGTCCTCGCCAACGTGTCTTACTTTCTCGTCCTCCCCTTGGCGTCCATCAACGCCTCCAACACCGTCGCCGTCCAGTTTGGATCCAAAGTCTTTGGACCGATTGGCGCGCTCGTCTTTGCGCTCATCGTCAGCGCGAGCTGCTTCGGCGCACTCAACTCATCTACTTTTACCGCCAGCCGACTTATTTACGTCGCTGGCAAGGAGGGCTACATCCCTGACATCTTTGGCCGGCTGGGTGTCGGCAGCAACGACAACGACCACGGCCTGTCGACGCAGCGTTCTCGCAGCTGGTTCTCCAAAAAATTCCGCAGCTGCTTTGGCGACGAAGATGCCGGCTTGTTCTTCACCCCTATTTACGCCCTGCTACTCAACGCCGTGCTCACGTGCGGATACTGCATCGTCGGCGAGTTTAGCACACTGGTCACTTTTTACGGTGTGGCGGGCTACACATTCTACTTCGTCACCGTGCTGGGCCTCATTGTGCTGCGTGTCAAGGAGCCGCACCTGGAGCGCCCTTACAAGACGTGGATCTCCACCCCCATCATCTTTTGCTGCGTCAGTCTCTTCTTGCTCAGTAGGGCCGTCTTTGCGCAGCCTTTACAGACAATGATTGTCGTAGCATTCGTCGCGGCCGGCATACCAGTGTACTTTTGGCGGATCAGAGGGAGAGATAGGTCTACCACGCGGAGAAGCGGCGACATTGGCGACGCAGAGAAGCCGTGGTGGCGGTTCTGGAGACGGTGAAGGAACGTGCATCTTTCTTCTTCTTTTTTCGTTTATCGCGTCGGGTAAAAATTCCCCGTATGGATGTTCTACAGAATACTACTTATTACTTATTAATGCCTTGTTTGAATTTTGCTGGTTTAATGAGCATTGCTCGATTTTGGCTGGGGTGGTTTCAAAAGGGTTACTTAGACATGACGGCTGGCATTGGGAGGGCATGATTGCTAATGGATGTGAAGACTGCAATGAGTAACGCATGGTGAAAGAGTTGAATGCATTTATTTATAAGCATGTATAATGAATAAAGGCTTTATTAATTATCATACGTTGCATGAAGAGTAATAAATGATACTGATACCAATTCGTACGAATGCAAGAGTTGTGATAGAGATAATTTTCACGACAAGTCACACAGCAAAGTCAAGTGAATTTAGTTGAAAAAATAAAAAAAAAGATATCGTATTGTTGCTGGCACTAATAGCTAGATATGCAAGAGGTATTCGTGTCGTTGTTCAGCGTTATCATATACATGGATGAGCCGATTTTGTTAAGTGTTCATTTTGGTTTCTTTCAGCAGGCGGGTTTTCTTGTTCCCTCCTTTGTCAAGCCAGGCAAATACCTCCCCCCCTTTCAGGTTCCTCCTTTCGTTCTTCCACCAATCTACTGCTTGACGGTGTTGATCTTGTCACGCTGACCATAAGAGCGGGTAGCCCAGTCACCGTTGTAGACGATCAGATCCTCAGGGCGGTAGTCGTGCTTGCCGGTGAGGTAGCTCTCGAGGATAGCCTTGGTGCCGTCGGCGTAGCGCTTCTGGGCATCCAGAGAAGTTCCGGACATGTGGGGGGTCATGGCGTTGCCGAAGCCGAAGGGGTTGACGGCGGTGCGGAGAGGGTGGTCGGCAGGGGCGGGCTGGGGGAACCAGACATCACCACCGTAGCCGGCGAGGTGGCCGGTGCGGAGAGCCTCGGCGACATCCTCCTTGACGACGATGGCGCCACGGGCGGTGTTGACGAGGTAGGAGCCCTTCTTCATCTTGCTGATGAGCTCCTTGTTGAAGAGGCCCTTTGTCTTCTCGTGCAGCGGGCAGTTGATGGTGACGACGTCGCACTGGGCGAGCATCTCCTCGAGGGTGTCGACGCGGCGGCAGCCAATCTCGGCCTCGACCTCGGGCTTGAGGCCCTGGTAGTCAAAGTACAGCAGCTCCTTGCAGCCAAAGGGCTTGAGGCGGCGCAGGACACGCTCACCAATACGGCCGACGGCGACAGTACCAACAACCTTGCCCTCGAGGTCGTACTCCTGCTTGGCGACGGCGGCGACGTCCCACTTGCCGCTGGCGACCTGCTCGTGGGCGGGCACGAAGTTGCGGAGGAGGACGAGGATGGTCATGACGACGTGCTCGGCGACGGAGACGACGTTGGAGCCGGTGACCTCGGCGACGGTGATGCCGCCGTTGGTCTTGTTGGCGGCGACCAGGTCGACGTGGTCGGAGCCGATACCAGCGGTGATGGCGATCTTGAGGTTCTTGGCCTTGGCCAGACGCTCAGCGGTCAGGTAACCGGGGTGGAAGCTATTCGAGCTGCTGTTAGACTGGGATATCATTGGATATGGTGATGAGGACTCAAAACATACGGGGTGGTGATGATGACTTCGGCGTCAACCAGCTCCTGGTCGAACTTGGAATTTTCTCCCTCCTTGTCAGAGGTGGTGACCAGAGTGTGGCCCTGGTCCTCGAGCCACTTGCGGATGCCGAGCTCATTCTCAGTCGTTCCGAGAAGGGCAGGGACCTGATTTGCGTGTTAGTAAATGATGCTCCGTATATATCAAATGCCTTTATGCCACTATCACTACTTCTCTTTAATTCATTGGAGAGCTTCCCCCCCGCAATGTAGATTCTCGGCGGCCAGCAGCCGGTCCCCCCCGCATTCCCGCAAGATGGGCGGAGTTTTGGTTTAAGGACCGGCGCACAAAAACGGCCCCATCTTTTGTGGTTTGGATCGAGACGATGCGGCCCCCACAAATATGGTCCGAGAATCCAACATGGACAGGAAAGTCCATGGGCCAATGGCACAAGAGAAGTAGAATAGGTTCTTTGGCGAGACAATGGGGGAGGGAAATATAACACTCACTTCCTGGGCGTGCTTGCCACCGTCGTAGAGGACGAGAAGAACTTTGACCTTTTCGCGGGCGGTTGTCAGCGTGCGGATTGATGACGGCATGAGGCGTGGCTTGGTGAAGGAGCCCAGCTTGGAGGAGTTGGCCAGGCCAGCTGCGCGCGAGGAGAATTGACGGGAAGCAATAGAAGGGGTTGAAGAGACGAGGGTAGCTCGCGAGGCGAGTGATACTGAACGAGAAAGGGGGCGGAAAGATACCATTTTGGCTGATTTAATTCTTGAACAAGAAAAAAAAGAAGAAAGATGGAGTGGTGATGATCTGATCGGACGAGAGCTTCTCGATTCAATCAGAGCGACAAGAGCTTATATATGTAAGAAAACTGCTGTTATTAATATTAGTTAATTAGCCACCCGGGCGTCGGAGGGCAACACAAGTAGATGCCGGGGGGTAAAAGTAAAGACGTACAAGGGTGGAGAGCGATGGCCTGATGCTGTGTCGACTCTTTTCGGGCTGAATTGAGGCTTGGAGGTTGCCTGCAAGGGTTTGTTCGGGAAGAATGATGGATTTGATGGCTTGAGGGATGGTGGTAGAGCAGAGTAGCAGCCTCCGATATTTATGCTCCGAGAAAACCCCCCAAAAAGAACTTCCACTTCGCCTCCAACGCCCCCTCTCAAGTTGCTCACAAGGACCGTGCCAAAGACAAATGACACATACGAAAAGAAAGGCATCGAAGAAAAGCCCCTCATCTACTCCATTCTCCCGTACGTAATTGTCTCTCCTCTGACACTCTCTGTTTTTTTTCTCCCCTCACCTGGCCTCGAATCGTCGTCACTGGGGGCTTTGGGGGACGGACGGAGCCCCCTTCCCGGCTCGCTGCAGGCTCGGCATCCCACCGATGGCCGCGGGCTGGTGTCCCCTCCCATTGATCCCATTGGGAGAGGCGTCTCCAAAAGAAACCAAAAGAGGGTGGGGAGTGAGAGGATCAGCCGGGTTCCAGTTAATCTAGCCGAAGACGTAATTTGATGGCATCGCGAGCGTACATATCTCGGGATTCGGGGTCACGTTGGAGATGTGGGGGAAGCCAAGTTTGGCGTTTGGCTTAGCGCTGGGAGCGGGGGAAAGGAGAAGGAGGACAAGGGTTGCTGATCTTTTTGCTGGATACTGTACTTGAATAGGTGTAGTTTGGCGGTATGGATTCTATATCTGGCATGTTGTGTTGTGTTGTATTTGTGTTAACATAGAAAGAAAGTATAGTTGAGGCATGTTACGCTGTCCTCATCACTTACACAGAGAGATATACTGTAGCATCAACCACGACATATAATTTACAAACCGTCTCGTCGTTTATGCATGCACTCCAAAAGCTATAGTGCTATTGGACACGCTTGCATGCCGCAGCAAGGTATGTTGGTAGTTCATGTCTTATTTGCACGCAATACCACTCTGCTAATGCAAGTCCTGCCCTGTGTGAGGCTGATGCCGCCGTGTGTTTCAATGAGGCAATTTCATCGTTTGCTAGTTCCAATCCTCGAATACTACCAAGGTAGGTAGAATGAATAGCCTACCTTACAGTGATGGTCTGTCTAGGTCTTACTGTCTCTCGTAGGTTACATGCAGTTGAAGCTTCGACTAACATTCACTTACATGCACGGAGCCTAAAAGTTAAGCCGGAGAGACTCGGCCGGCCAATCAGCATCAAGCCGCACCAACCATTTGGCTCATCTCAGTGCTGCACATTGAAATATCCTTTAATATGCGAGGATGAACATCAATTGGCTGGGCCTCCTCTTTTCCCCCGCCTTTGAGACACCCTCTTTGCTGCAGTTTTGTTCATCTCACGGTGAGGGGTGGCAAGGCGATTGCTTCATCTTTCGGCCGATTTGGATACATCAGGCTGTATAATCCGTCCGTCTTATTCCATGACAGAAGCGCATGTTCCCTTTTGGAATTTCCCCACAATATTGCCGCTTTTAACCCCGCTGAAGACACGGAGCTTGGAGCCTCCAAACATTGACAGCTGACCAGCGTATAATTGTGAGACTGATGAGCAACTCTTTGAGAAATGCTTGCAAATATATGTATATGTAGAGATAGTAGTTCGTTGATAGCATACGATGACTTGTAGTTTACATCCAAGCAAGAAATTGATGTATCCCGCACCTTGGGGGGAAGTGTTGTTGCTACTTTTCCCTTACACGTGCGGAGTACCTACCCTACTCCTATCAACATCATGTAAACGGGCATATTAACAATGATAAAACAATACCTCTTGTTGTGTGTGATTGATCAGTACTCGAATATAATATATAGGAATAACCCTATATTAAACATCTTCCATCCATTTAATGATCATCCATGTAAGCTATGAAGAGGTGAGTAACCATGTGGAAGAGCAATACGACTTCTCCAATCTCCTCATTCCTAGGGAAGGATATCTCCAACATTACTACACCATTGATACCACCAAAAGTAAAAACCCCAAATCTACCGTGGCTTTACATCAATCAGTCATCAAGCAAACGACCTGTGGCGCACATCATCTCCAGCCTCAATTCCATGCCCCTTCTCCTACCCATATATCTCCTGCAGGAACGAGCGGGTCGATATCAACGGGTACTCTATCGCCAGATCGATGAATCGTACGACGCATTTGCTTCTAGAAGGATTTGACATGGTGACTTCGCTGCCCGATAGCGACTAGCTACTTTGTAGATGTTGAGGTTGCCCAATAAGACCCACAGCCGTGATATCCACTACCACTACATATTCATCAGGATGTTGCAATCTTTGTGTGTCATACAAGATCTGGAGACAGGGTTTCATTAGAGTTAAACGACATTTCAATGGTAGGCGCATAATTTTCGCGACATATACCCTTATAGAGGGTAGAGGAGTCATCACATTGGAGGAGGTTGATCTGAAGAGGCAAGTGTCAGTGGTAGCTCCACCTGTTAAGGACCCGTATGTAATAGTTTAAAACAGCAGTAGCAAGTTATTTCATCATCTCGTTATCTACTAGGTAATCACATGTAACATCTTATTAGTTGTTTACATCTGAGCCATTACATTACTACAACTTATAGAAGCCGCCTTCTATAGGCGTATGTATCTCATTATCTTCCATAATTTCTCTATACCCCATTGGGGTACAAATATACTGACATGTCGAGACTTTGGCTCCGAGACATCCGCATTCAACGGAGAGATGGCTCCTATCACTTCTATAACATGATGAGAGGATCCAGTTGCGGTAATGGACGTTTCAATCTGCCATTATCTCGGTATCCATCGAGGTCCACCGGGTCTAGAAACCCACTCGATGCCTTCTTCTAGCTCGAAGGCCAAGTAAGGCTAGAATTAGCATCAAAGCTGAAAAGACTTGTCAATTAATAGCTCTGTGTGCTGCTCAACGTATTATTACATTCCAAGTTACACAAAAACTCATCAACAGCAATACTTCATCAACTGGAGTATAGAAACGAATCACTTTCAATATAGATGTGCATAATTTAGGCACAGCACAGATCCCCTGCATCTACTTCCATGAGCCTAGTCTCCTCTGCCCAGTTACAATCTCACGGCAAAGTTCACCCGGTGCTGAACGTAATTGCTCTAGGAGCTCCATTGTTTCTTCATTCCATTGCCGCCACTTGCTACCATCAGAAGACAGAAGATCTAAGCCCTTCTCAGCCATCAAACGAGCTGCAAAAAGAACCAATTGATGGATCAAGACAACCCACTCGCCTGTGCGGGCACCAACAACATCGCGCCCTGTGGCTTCGTTCTCGCCAATGATCACGTCACATCGTATAATAGCCTCGAACTGGCCTGGTCCGTCCTCCCCATCCCGCCCATGCAGGTACTCCGAAATCAGCTTCCCCGCCCTTCTCACCGAATCCGAATCTCCGAACCTCCTCTCCCGAGCCCCCGCAAGCCCCAAGCCGCGCGCGCCAGTTACAAGAAGCCCCTCAGCCCATAATATCCGGCAATCTCGCGCGTGCCAGACCCCAGTTGCCAGGCTAATCCACCATCCATTGGGAGAGATGCCCACTTCGCCGAATCTCCTCCATATTCGGCGTTGAACCCCTTGCGTAGCCGAGGCGGTCGCGCGTCCTGAAGCATACATGATACATCTACTGCAGACAGAATTGCCGCAAATATACAGCCCGTTTGCCGCTCATGTTTGAAACAAGAGATGCCGCTGCAGCTTCTCGATTGATGATTATGCGTCAATTACAAAATCAAAAACAGATTGTGATGTGAGGCTGCGAGGCGTAAAGGAGCCCGCCCCAGCGAGACAAGTCCGAAGAGATGAGGCCGTGCTTGCTTGCTACATCCCCGTCGGTCTTTCGGGTCAAGTTCAAGGCCTAGGCCGTCTTCATGGATACAAAAAAAAAATGACGCGTTATTTGAGCTAGAAGCCGGAGCAAGTGCTGTTGGTTGGATGCTGAAGAAGCAGAACCCAGAATCCCCCCCAGAATGATTGAACCCGGATGGGCCAGCTGACGGGGCAAAGTGATGCTCAACTCGGGCTGACAAACAAGCCGGCAGAGCTCAACTCCTCACCAAATCCTTTTTGTTCTTATTCTTTGCTTCCGTATCGTCTGTGGATGAAACCATATTCTCATAAGCAATTTTGAGAAGCATGGAGTTGTACCATGGTATCTGTTTTCACGCATGTGCGTCTCTTGTTGCTGACGATATCATATACCCACAGCAATCGATCCCCAAACTATCTCAAGGCACCGCAAAAAAGGATCAACAATCACCATTGATTAGGTTACTAAATAACGGCACTTTGATCCGAGCTACTTGAGATACATCAACGATAATCCACAATACGCGACATGATCACGGCGTTGAGCACTCTCACAGTGGCTTGGTGAGGCCATCCGCGATCATTTGATCGGTCGACTTGTACCTATGTAACGCTAATCCGGCTGGCCTCGACTTCTTGTCTGATATAGTGACTTTCCAGAGGTAGATGCTTCATCCTACCATGAAATTCTGGATTGAAACAAAGCTTGATTGCCCCTGGTTGTCATTGAAGATAGAGACGGGCTTCCTGACGTTCTAGTTCAATTCTGACAGCAAATTGACTATCCAGGCCACCTCCCGGGCGGCCTGACTGATCGCTGTGTACTCGCTTCTGTCGTCGACAATGCCACAACAACTGTGCCGGCGAGCCTTTCACACCACGGCACATCCGTTCAAAAAGACCACATAATTGTAGGTTGACCGCCACGTGCCGCGGTCACCCTTGAAGTAAGAGTCTGCCCAGACTGTGTCCGGACTCATTATCCACTCATCACACATGGTGCAGCCATTGAACAACTGAGGTGCCGTCTTCAGCCGCTATATACACATTCACGCTCAGAACGCTTTCGACATCAAAGCCCCATATCTGTCCAGCTCATCAAGATGACTTGTTCGAACCGTGAGAACGGACTTTGAGAACGGACTTTGAGAACGGACTTTGCGTGAGTCAGTAACTCTGCATCATTCCAAAGGGAATGAGTAACATGATACAATTTGCAGCTAAGGAGGCAGAGTAGATGCGCCTAAGGCCTCCATCTCCTTTACCATACCGCCCTTTCGACCCGACATTTTCGTGATATCGCCGATATACGAAGAAGCAACAAAACGGCTCGAACAAAGTGCCTTTGTTTGGAAATGATGGGCAATCGTGCCTCCGCGTATGAATACGGTGCCGTAATAGCCGCAATTACGCTTCGTTTTCACAGCCATCATGTACCACTTGTTTGACATTACAAAATATTCTTTGTTACATCTGATTTCTTATAGGAGGAAGAACAAAGCCATTTGTTTTCGTAGGTTGGCTCCCGAAGTAGTAGTAGTAGCCACAGTCCGCATTTGTTGTAAGATGGATATCGCCCATATACCCATGGTTAATCCCAGTACAGCTCGTTTAGCCCATGAAAAAGATTCCCCTATGAGATCGAGTAGTAGAACCCATTTTCTTCACAAAAGCAGTAAACTCATTGGCTGTGACCTTAATAACTTGTCATATTCCAGATCCAACGACCCAGCAACTGGATCCACAAAGCCATAAGCAAGACAAAATCAGGACTCGGAATAGGACTGGATCGCTGAGATCAGCAGCCTGAATACCACAAATATTTGAGAAGAACACAAAACGAGATTAGGTGATCAGTAATGCAGCCCTACATAACGATCTACGATTAGTGATTTTCCAATTTTGGAAGAACTCATGCGAATTGGACGGTTTATATTGGCCTTCTACCCTGTAATGTCAATACTTCTATTCGAAGCCCCGTCTTAGCCAGGAATTCTATTGTCAAGAAGAGCTAGCATTCATCTATTTGGTTAAAATTGGATTAAACCAAATGTGTTGTTCACGCTCAGCCCATATGTTGAGTGTATTTGGTCGAGACATCGCGGGATTTGAACACGGAGTTATTATCTCCTGCTGGTCTGCGCACTTCACTCATTAATGTTGATGACTATTCTTCCGGCTCAGGAGACTGGAATTGAATGTTGGATGGGGAATCCTACTCGTATTCCAAATGAAAAACCCCCCCTGGTAGTCAAAGTACGAGTGGAAAGATGTAGAAAAAGCAGCGGTGTGCAGGGTTGATGTTGATGCTTGTACCAAGCCAGAGGCCTTATTCCAACATGCTTCCATCATGCTAGCGAGAGCCGCAGAGAACACCAGCCAGCGGCGCCATGCGGCCGCTCGTATACTCGTTCTATATCAACTAGGATGACAAGGGTGCCGCCCGCCTATTCTGTCTTAGCCACCTCGTATTTTGTGGCTCTCTTCCCAAGAGATCGTGGCGGCAATGCCTGCGGCGACGAGGAGCACGGGCCGAACAATCTGGTTCTTTGCTTTTCTAGATGCATATCTCCCGATGACAGTGGCGCAGGGACGGCTTTTGGGTTGACATGGCGCCGGCAACCGTATGCAGGATGAGCTGGAGATGGCCAAGGCGGGTGGGCTTTGCTAATATTGCCGGCAGTTCGGGAAATAGGTCTGCATGCTTTATGGGACTCGGATGCCAAGTATGCTTTCACACATACATAACAATAACGTAGTAACGGCATATGTATGTAGGCTGAGTGTGGAGCATTCAGGAGAGAGGCTCACCAGGTGCTGTAGGTGAAACGTAGCACAACACTAACAGACGGAATCTCTCGTCCGGACTATGATGAATGAAGCAGTCCGTAGCGATTTGAGAAAAGGTCGTATAAGAAACGTGTCCCTGCTATTCTATTACCACATCACGCCCTTCTAGACAGAAAGACACCCGACGGGTCAGCCGTTTGTGATCTGCGGCTCCGATATTGCACACTCAAGCTAAGTCAAGGCTCGGCACGGTCTTCCGGGTATGGCGGCCACTGCATATGTATGTTCAACATTGAAGCAGTCATCGTTGGGTCAGATTCTTGTCTAGTATAATTGACGATGAGAGGGTCGTATACGGCCGTCTGCTATTCGTTTCTTTCCGGGGTCCGATCGGAATGGCCGTAGAACGATGCTTGGTTTGAAACGTGGCTAACGGCATCAACGGCAGGTCTGCCAACACGGAGAATTGGGAAAGGCAAAAAAAGCATCTACCGCAGTGAGGCCTCTCCCGGAGTACGATGCGGCTGGGATCATGGTTGGGCACAGAGCGCCAGACAAATAAAATGCCATCAATCACAGCGACGATGCCATCAGCACTGCTCCACTGTCAACTCCTTATGCCTGCATGGAATCATTTTTCGACTTCGCTCGGAGATGCGTGGAATTATGCTAGTGACACACGAGAACGAAATACAGGTGTCAAGTAAGTACTCGTAATGTGTAGTGGCAGCTTTCAACGGCAAGTGGTGTAAGTGGAATCCACGTCAGAGGGGGCGAAGAAGCAGGGGGATGCCGGCGATTAGGATGACGGGGCGGATCTTGTGGTGTTTTGGGTAAGAGTTGAAATTGCATATTCCATTTGTACGGGACAACGGGAGTATTATTAGAAGACAAGCTGGAGGTAGCTTCCGATTACTAAGGTAAGTGCCGAGATACCTGTATTGGTCAGGGAGACTTCGTTCATTGAGATTCAACATGTACAGGTACCATTGTGACATACCTAGTAGTTATTGAGTTGAATAGCTGCTACATCGAATGCCAATATGCTTGCACTGAATTTATCAGATCATTCTGGAACAATTCATATTGTTGGGACAAAAAAAGTGTTACCGGCTGCTGTACACAAATACAAACCGCATGAAATCATACTATGCAGGGCAGAATACGAGCATGACGATGCCAAGGGTACATTGCCGATCATCGAGATGTGGCGCCCCCCCGTCGGCATTTTAGCCTTGACCTGCTAGGGGCTTTAGGGCAAGCCTTGGTGCTTCTCTGCCCCCCTAAGCGCCTAGGCGGGCGGCCGTGGCAGGCGACTTACAGGCATCCGGTCACGCGCGATGGCGCTGTGCTTTGGGGGAGTTATGGGGAGTTATGGGGATATTGGCTGTTGGCGAGGGGAAGCTGCTCCCTTGGCTTGAGGTGGCAATGCCTGTTCTGAGGAGAAACAAAGACAGCACAGCACAGACAAGGACAAAGCTGGATCCTGGGCTGATGACATCTGACGATCGTGGAGACTCGCAAACGGCTATATAGTCTGCCAGCTTCGCCCATCATTGGAGCTTGGAATCTCGTCTTCATCCAACAAGCCTGACAACTTACACCAACAAAGCCAAGTCTCCAACACATCACACAAACACCAACCACCAAACAAAACAACAACAATCTTCAAGATGTTTGTCTCTACTGCTGCTCTTCTTGGCCTTGTCGGCGCCGCTGCTGCCTCTCCCCTCAACATCGTCCCCAACTACCCTCCCGTCAAGCAGTCCACTGGCTTCCGCCTCGTCGTCAACGTCACCGACAAGGCTCTCGACTTCTCGCCCTCCGTCCAGGGCCTTTATGTCAACAGCATCCACGTCGGTGCTGGGCTGAACGAGGTTGGCATTGGCTCTAAGAGCGACAACCACGGCATCTTCTACCAGAACGGCACTGCTGCCGAAGGCCGCTTCAACGGCGTCACCACCATCACCGACCAGGGCACTCCCCTCTCTCCCTACGGCATCTCTCTGACTCTGGATCCCGACTCCAAGACTCTCTCTTCCGCCTATGCCAACGGCGGCCTTGGCACCAAGGGCGTTCAGATCTCCCAGTTCCCCGAGGGCTTCCGCTACCTCGGACCTGAGACCTATGTCATCTGCAACGTGCCCCTTGCCTACTACCAGGGCACCAAGTTCAACGTCGTGAAGCAGGCCGCCACCACCATCAGCTCTACCGGTCAGGTCGAGCGCAACATCCCCGAGGGCTGTGTTCCCATCCGCCTGCTCCCCGAGTGCGCCACCCTCGAGGACCTCCCTGCCGGCTCCTACTCCAGCCACGAGTTTGCCATCAACTCTGACTGCTACGCCGACGTCGCTTCCATCAACTGGAGCCTCTACGGACCTTAGATGTGCTCTTGAACAGCATCAGCATCACCGCCGCGAATACTTATGATTGACCTTGTTAATGGCATTTGGAAGCGAAGGATTACCTTATAATAGTAATAATGGTGTTACAGGACACGATATTGCCCAGAGCGTAGGGGCATATAAAGTAATATTAATCTAGATAGTAATACATTATCAACTTCTCATATTTTCATGTCCGCCCAGCTATCTTGAATTTTTACGAACAAGTTCTCACACAATCATTGCATCTGAACTCATGCCTTTGCCCTCAGCCAGCACTCCAGCTTTTCGCAAAATGGAAACACAGCCTGATACAACATCTGGCTTAACACCCTCTGTCTTGGCTGGGAAAGTCACAGTCTTGAGCCACTCCCTCGCATCCTCAGCCGAATAGTCCAAATTCGTCGAGATGTACTCCACCGCCTCGTCGTGGTTGGCATTGAAGTAGGCCACGCCCTTATCCAGCTTCTCAAACAGATCCTTTACGCGAGCATCCAGCCCTCCTCCCTGAGTGAGCTTCGTCGACGCCACAATCTTCCAGCTGCTCCAGGGCGTGTAAATCTCGCCCACGCGGCGGATCTCGCCCGAGTCGTAAAACTTCTTGGAGGTAAAGTGCTCCCACATGAAGAAGTCCGCCTCGCCCGAGTTGACCGCGTTGCGCAGCTTCTCGAAGGTGTTGAGGACGACGGTGTCGGAGAAGGGCTCCGCGCCGCCGGGGGAGAGCCAGCCGTTCTTATCGGCGAGGACGTAGCCCATCACGTAGCTGCCGGAGCCGATGCGGGAGACGCCGATCTTGCCGCCCTTGAGGGATTCGACGGCGGTGATTTCGGGGCGCTTGGCTCCGGTTGAGATGGCCCAGCCTTATGGGTTTGTGTCAGTGCCGAATCTGAGTTGAGACCATTGTCATGTTGGTGGGATATATACTCACAGAGGGGAGTCTCAACATAGGTTCCAACCAGACGATATCCGCCATCTCCTTCAACGCCTTCCTTTCCGAGTCCAGCGATCCAAGCCTCTGTCAAGCCAATGCCAATGTCAATCTCATCGGCTCGCAGGGCTGTAATCATGTGGCCGGTGCCTGACGGAAAAGGGATCAGAGTGGCATCGAGACCAAAGTATTTCTGAGCAAAGTGCAGCGGGGTAGAAAAGTGCTCTGGCACGAATCCGATACGAAGGGGGGCGGCCATGGTGAAGGGAAGACTGATGATATGAGCGGTATCTTTGTTAAGGTGAGTATAAGTGATTTTGAAGCTCAATGTTTTGAAATACTCGCGATAAAATGGTAGAAAGTGAAGGTGAGGATTTCTAAGCTGGGAATATTCGGTCACGCTGAGTGGGGTTGAAGTCATACATAATATGACGATTGATGAAATAAAGCTCTCACTGAGAAGACAACGGGCTTACTGAGCAACACACGGTTGAGCTGGACTTTTATTTTCTTATTTATGAAACTAAAAATGATCGTTTGGTAGCTCATCTTCATTGAATTAGACAACTCTCACATCTTGTATTAGATCGAAAAGTCTCACTTTAATAGATCTCTTTTGAAGCAATTTCACTATAAACAGCTCCAGGTAGCATTTTCAGCCCCTCCATGCCAGTGTCATCATTGGACGCATGTGAAAAAGCCCGTTATTCCCACAAGCAGCATTTCCGTCGTCCGCCCTGAGATGCGATTCGCCATCAGCTCGGGTCATCATTCGCAACTTTAGCCCATCAAACGCGTCATGGCCCACGCATTTGTACTGCAGGGCTGCTTCTCCGATTCGAGCACAAGCAAAGGACGGCATCGCCAGTCTATTAGTTGGTCTCAGCCGCGCACACCGAGCGAACCATCTTGGCTTAGCCCTTCCTGCAACTCAGAATAGACTGCATCCTTGATGCCACGGCTTCGTCCCGTCATGCCAATCCAGGCTGCGTTCCATCAGCGCATATTTGTAGAATAAAGTGTGTCCTTGTTAGTGTCAAACATGCAAGCGCCGAGCATCGCAGACCGGGATTGTGATCCACGTAGAGCCGAGCAGCTACGGATATCCACCCTTTATCAATCTCCCCCATTTTTTTTCACTGCCCCTGGTCAAATGTGCTCAACTCTTACTTGTAATAAGATGTAGTGGGCGCTTTTGCTTTTTCTCACATCATTTTCTTTTCCTTTCTCTTCTTTTTATTTGATGCGTAACTGGTTTTCGCATTCTCTTCTCTCCCATGTCAGACCTCGAGCTGGACACTGAAACTCCTGCGGATGCGCCTCTGCTAGAGGAAAGCGAGCGCCAGCATGAGCCAATTCCCGCTGAGGATGAGGCGCCGCCTCGAATCCTCAAGGCAGCTCGCTGGCAGGTGAAGACGCCAAAGACGGCAGTGAGGATGTATGCCTTTTTGGAGTTTTTGATTGTTGCCAGCGGCATGATGTTGATGGTGCCCGTCTACCGCCTGATTGAGGATACTGTCTGCCACGTCTACTATCAAGACGACTCGCTGGATCTGATTGACGAGATGAAGTGCAAAAAGGACGAGATCCAGGCGCAGATGGCATATCTGCTTGGGTGGCTGGGGCTTTTCCACTCCATCCTGAGTGCGTCTCACTGAAATGAATTAATGGCGCTTACTGACTTTATTCGCTCACACAATGTATAGGTTTACTCACTACGTTTCCCTTTGGCTTACTCGCTGACAAGATTGGCCGCAAGCCGACAATGATGCTTGCCTATGGAGGCATGACCTTGTCGCCCATCTCTGGCCCGCTGCTGCTTGGAGTTGCTCAGCATGCCCTCCGCAAGAATCCTTACCTACTCATGACCGGCTCGCTATTTCTGTTGATCGGTGGCGGAATCCCGGTTGTGCTAGCTATGCTCTTTGCAATGGCTGCTGATGTTAGTTCTGAGAAGGACAAGTAAGGGCATCCTCAAGAAATCATACACCATGGTGCATATCTATGCTCAAGAAACTGACGATCTACCCTTCTCTAGAGCTGCCAGCTTCCTTCAACTTACGTTTGGTGCCACGGCTGGTGGCCTCGCCGGCCCTCTCCTCACTGGATTCTTGATGGAAAAGTACGGCCCCTGGATACCCGTGATAGCCTCTTGCGCCAGTTTCCCTGTCATCTTACTGCTGTTTTGCTTCATTCCCGAGACACTTCAGGTGGACAGAACGAAGAAGATGAGCGACAACGACGTGTCCATTAAGCAACAAATAGTCACAAACTTGGCCGATCTTAAAGACGCTCTGGGCTTGTTGAAGAACCCAAGTATCCCTCTGGTCCTCCTTACGTTTCTATTCCAGGCCGCACGATTTACAGCGTACACGAGCACGATTGTTCAATATGTTAGCACGCACTTCGGGTGGCGCCTTGCTGAGACTACCTTTTTACTGTCTCCCTTTGGACTTCTCAACCTGACCGTGTTGGCCGTCCTGCCCAAGATTTCCGACATTCTCATGTCGCCCCGATTCGGCTACACTTCCTTTAACAAGGATTTGTTTCTTACTCGAACCTCTACAATTTTACTCTTTGTTGGCGCAATGATTGAGGGTTTCAGTCACAACATCTTCTTCTTCGTCATTGGCCTTTTCGTCGAGACCTTTGGAGCAGCCGCCAGTCCATTGGCTCGAGCCACCATAACTCACTATGTCGAACCTGAATTCGTGTCCCGGCTCTATGCTCTGGTTAGCACGAGCGAAATTATCGGTTCTTTTATCGCCGGCCCGGTGCTGGCGTGGTGTTTCGATCAGGGAATGAAGAGGAAAGGCATTTGGATTGGGTTGCCCTGGTTTTACATTGCGCTGTTGTCCCTGCTTACTTGGATTGGGCTGATCTTTGTGCGGCCCCCACCGGCGAAGAAGAGTTCAGCCGAGCAAGATGGGGAAGAGGAGCCGATGAATCCTCATGAAGACTAGTGTGTGAATTGAATGCTGCTCAAATAACAAAGATGAGTGCAGTCGTGACAGTCTCTCGTCTAATCTCTTGGGTGTATTTGTAAGTTGCAAAGTAAAGATCAAAGTGAGCCTCAACATGATAAAGCAACAGAGTCACAAGGAGATTCCGTATTCCAATTGCATATACGAGTAAAAGCAACATAATGCTTGATAACCAAATTCGTCCCAATGCTTGACTATCCAACGGTTCACCTGCCTAAAATGGTGTCGGCCAACTACTCGATTAGTGCCGCGTCTCTCCAATAACCAACCAACCAACCGAACAGACAGTCGACCCGTTAGTTACGCCTTAGGCCGCGCAACAATCACGCGGCCGCTGACGAGAACCTATTCAAGTTCCTGAAGAAAAATAAGTTTAAACAAAAGATCCAATCCAATGGGCGGAACTCTCTTCCCCACAGAGCCCGGCCCCGGAACTAGAGCCGCTGGGCAACTAACTCGTACGTGGGCAAACTACGGGGGCAAAACCCGAAGAGTCATATCGGACAAGCGAAGCTCTAATACCTGGATCCTTTGTAGATAACGACTAGGGTTGGCGTTGGGAGAGAAAAAAAGATGACCGGTTAGTTAGTTATGACTCGGAGCAGCTCTACGGGTACGTTTACCGTACCGTCGTCAGCACCGCTTTCGCGATATGCTCCACGCCTTGATTGGATCTTTTGTAGCTGGCGATTAGGCGGCGGCATACGTGCGTTCTATGATAGATCCATAGATCCATTTCCGGAATGATTAGAAAGCTCCTTTTTGAGTTTATTATAAAGATTCAAGTCCCCCCACACAGCTTATCAATGATGTACTTTTCTTTCAGCCCTACGGTATAGACATCTTTCAAGAGAGTTGTGCGACAATGGAATTACTGCCGTAATTTAATTTACAAAGAAGTGCAGCTTTGATTTTAGAAATGATTCGCCACCGGTCTTACAACGCCACGGCGTGTGGTGATGGCTTCTTCGGCCCGGCGGTTTGGGCCGATGGCTGTCGAGGTGGCTTCGACTTTACACGTGCGACACGTCCCGATGAAATCCAGTGAAAGGCATTTATTATACGCGGTTACTGATTTTGATTGTGCTGTACAGTGTCGTTTGAAGAAAGCATCTTGTCCACGCTCCCCGCTGCTCTGTTTCTCCTATTGTCCATTCCACGAGCCTTCTACCTCCTACGAACTCCCGACAAGGCGAAGCGACGATCAGCTTATACACCAAAACTAGTCGGTTATCCATATTTATAGCTTCGAAGTTTCGTATCAGTATAATATCTAACTATTCCAAAAGATCGCATCAAGTGCATATGCAGGCATCCAAGTCGGCGCCCTAGCCATCGTCGCCTCTTCACGACTCCTCAACACCAGATTCTCTCTCGCCGCCGCCATTCTCAACCTCATCGCCGCGTGCTGCATCGTTCTCCTCTCGCACATCGAACACGTCAAATCCATACGTCCATCTTTCCTCCTTACCTCGTATCTCTTCACGTCCCTCCTTTTCGACGCTGCCCGGCTACGAACGGAATGGCTTCTGTCTGTGAATGTCGCGTATGCGGCAGTGCTCTCTACTTCAACCGCTCTCAAGCTGGCCCTGCTAGTGCTGGAGAATGTCGAGAAGAGGAGGATCTTGGTAGACTCGAGCAAGGAACCGTCGACAGAGAGCACCAGCGGTCCCTTTAACCGCGGCTTTTTCATCTGGCTCAACTCGCTGCTTATTTCTGGTTGGGCTACCGTTTTGACAATGCACGACCTCCCCGCTATTTACGAGAAACTCTCTTCTGAGAAGCTGGCTGTTATTTTCACAAAGCGATGGGATAAGGGTATGTTTCACGGTCGACTCGCTTCACACATTTCTCTCTCTTCATAACTGACGCATGTGAAGTCACCCGCGATGGACCAAAGGCATCCCTCTTTCTCAACACTGTCTGGATCCTCAAGCTCGAAATCGCCGGTATTGCTCTTCCTCGATTGGCTACGGTTGCCTTGACAATTGCGCAGCCATTCCTCGTATCCCAAGCGCTACGATTTCTCGCCATGCCCAAGGACGATCACTCTGATAATATCGGCTACGGATTGATTGGTGCCTTTGCTCTTGTCTTTGTCGGATCAGCTGTGCGTTTATACCTCAATAATTAAATAGTATCTCTAACTCGGGACTAATTCTTGAAACTAGATCTTGACGGCATGGTACGAACATCTCACCTTTCGAGTTGGCGCCATGATTCGAGGAGGCCTAATTGGCCTGATTTACCGCAAGATGTTGAGGCTCTCGGCAAGCGAACTGAGCGAATCTTCGGCTGTTACGCTTATGGGCAATGACATTGAGACTCTAGCCGAGCGAGCAAACGCTTTGCTCATCGAAGGCTGGGCTAACACACTTACCGTCGGTATCGCCGTCTACATGTTGTACGCACAGCTGGGCGCTGTCTGTGTTGCTCCCATCGTTATGGCTATTGGTAAGTCTCATAACTAGGTTTTTATATTATTTTCTATAACTTACAACCTATAGTATCAATTGTCTTGTGCTGGTTTATTGGAAAAGTCTTGGTCAAACGCCAGACCGTTTACCAGAAGGCAACACAGGCTCGCATCAACTTCACTTCTGAAGTGCTCGGCTCCATTAAGGCCGTCAAGATGCTGGGTTATACTGAACGTTTTACTGACCTCCTTGAAGACAAACGTGACCAGGATTTGAACGTTGGCAAACACTACCGACAAATGATTGTGTGGGCCAACACCGTCGGTAAGCTGATGTCTTTTCTCTTATTCAACCAATCCATTCAAGCATTCCTAACTAATCTTTGTGATATTTGCCAGGAAACGCAAACGTCAGTCTGACCCAGGCTGCTACCTTTGGCGCCTACGCCATTGTCGCCAAACTCAGTGACAACCAGTCCTTCTCAGCATCACAAGCTATCACGGCGCTTTCTATCCTTAACGTCATGATCAACCCTCTCAGCTTCCTCCTAGGCAACATTTCGTCTGCTTATGCTGCATTTGGATGTTTCAAGCGTATCCAGGAGTTTCTCCTGCTTAACGAAAGAGTTGATAGCCGCGAGATCTGCGCACAACCGGGACTTTCAACGAAGAGCGAAGAAGTCGGATCACAAAGAAGTAGTATTGAGCTTCGCACGCTTGATCGCGATAACGAAAAAGGCGCCCGTGTCTCTATTGCTGGAGGAGACTTTGCCTGGAAGGAGAAGAAAGTGTTGAGCAACATTAGCGTGTCCTTTTCACAAGCACAATCGGGATCCCTCACCATGATTGTTGGTCCAATTGGTTCCGGAAAGTCAAGTCTGCTCAAGGCCATTCTTGGAGAAACATCCTCGACCGGCGGAAAAGTCTCACTCTCGACACCCAGCATCGCTTTCTGTGATCAGACTCCTTGGGTGATAAATGCGACAATCCGGGACAATATTGTGGCGGAATCTGGGCACTTCGAGGACAAATGGTTCGATACGGTTGTTGAGGCTTGCGATTTGACTCAGGATTTTAGTCGGTTGCCAGAAGGAATTGCGACAGTTGTTGGAGATAAGGGAGTGAAGCTTAGCGGAGGCCAGAAACAACGACTTGTAAGTGCTTTAACCTTTTGATTCGTATGAACTGTAAGTGTCTAACGACTTGCAGGCAATCGCCCGTGCGATATACGCTCGAAAGCCGGTAGCCATCTTTGACGACGTGTTTAGTGCACTGGATAAGGCAACGGAACGCATCGTATTTGCTCGTGTATTCAGCCAAGACGGTCTTCTCCGACGCAGTGGTGCAACAGTGATTCTTGCCACACACTCTGGTAAGTCTCACCACTAACAAATATCCTTGAGAGTATTGAAATGAGATTCTAAATAATACCTCTAGTTCATCTTCTGCCCAATTCCGACCACATCATCGCCCTAGGCCAAGATGGCCAAGTCATCGAGCAAGGATCTTTCGCAAAGCTTCAGGAGAGCGGCAAATACGTCCAGAGTCTCGACGTCACGGATCCTCACTCCGACAGCGACAGCGAAACTGCCTCCAAAAAGGACATCGAAGAGACTGAGAAGAGCAATGAGAGCATCGAGGAGGAAGAAGTAGAACAAGAAATGGAAGAGCAAGGGACGGTTTCAAGTGACCGCAGCACTTTCAAGTACTACTTTGGCGCAATGCGGCCCCTAAGCTTGGCTGTTGGCGGTGCATATATTGTTGGGCAGGCATTTTCATCGACTTTCAGATGTGAGTACTCTTACAGAACAACTATTCGATTTATCCTAATGGAAGTCTGTAGCTGTTTGGCTTACCTGGTGGGGTGATGGCCGAGGACGCTCGAGCAACGACGTCGGATACTGGTTGAGCATCTTTACCGTCATGGCCGTCATAGAGGCTGTCCTTATCTCTCTGGCAATCATGTAAGTCCAAGCTCGACCAACAAGGATACACATACTGACAACATACCAGGCACTTTTTGATTATTCTTGGACCAGCAGTCAGCAAAAAGTTCCACAGCAGAATCTTGAACGCAGTCATGAAGTAAGTCCCAGACTCGAAACGAATTTGTTCTTATGAACACCAGACTAACATTGTATCAGGGCTCCCATGTCGTTTCTTTCTAACTCTGAAACTGGTTCACTCATCAACAGGCATGTTTTCCTCTCCAATAAAATCACTAATCAGTTTACTAACATGCCGTCTTGGAAATAGATTTAGTCAAGACTTGCGTCTGGTAGACATTGACCTTCCTGTGGCCCTCGCCATCTTCCTTTTTGGTAACTCCTCCCTTACCCATACTCGCAAATCAAGATGACTTGACAGCTAACTCGATAATTATAGATGTATCAACTTGTATCGGTGTGACGGGACTGGCAGTTGGAGCCGTCGGCTACTTCGCCGCCTCCCTGCCCTTTGTCATCATCGTCCTCCTCATGATCCAACGCTTCTATGTCCGAACATCCAAGCAGCTCCGTATTCTAGAGTAAGAGCTAACTCAACGTCTCATATAATATCATCAACTGACCATCCATATCTAGGATCGAGCACAAAGCACCACTATACTCCCACTTCCTCGAATCCATCAACGGCCTCGCCACAATCCGCGCCTTTGGCTGGACTGTCCCCTACTCACACAAAAATCTGTCTCTCCTCGACAACGCCCAAAAGCCCTCCTATCTTCTCAACTGCATCCAGCGATGGCTCACCCTCGTGCTCGACCTCGTAGTCGCAGTTCTCACCGTTCTGCTCGTCGTCTTTGCTGTGGTTCTCAGGGGAAAGCTCAATCCATCCCTCCTTGGTGTTGCGCTTGTCAATATGATGAACTTGGGTCTCAATCTCAAGGGCATTATCCTTGCATGGTCTCAGCTGGAAACGTCGCTCGGAGCTGTTACCCGCATCAAGACCTTTGAAGAAACCACCCCTTCGGAACTGCTCCCCGAAGAAAGCTATACGCCCCCTGAAGAATGGCCTGCTCAAGGCTCTCTCGAATTCGTCAACCTCTCCGTACAATACGAGTATGTATCCATAATCTTGCCTCCTTCTACATCAGAATACTATGAAGCTAACTCCCCCATCTTCTCCAGCTCAACCTCCCACCCCGTCCTCCAAAACATCTCCATTGCAATCAAGCCCGGCCAAAAGCTCGGCCTCGTCGGCCGCAGCGGCAGCGGCAAAAGCTCCCTCATCCAAGCCCTCTTCCGCATGGCCAACACCCCCGCCGGCCAGATCCTCCTCGACGACCAGGACATCGCCGTGGTCCCCAAGCCCCTCATCCGCCAGAAGCTCAGCTGCCTCACCCAAGATCCTGTCCTCTTCACCAACACCATCCGGTTCAATGCCGATCCCCTTGGAGTTCACTCTGACGAGGCTATTGTCAGCGCTCTGCAGCGAGCTGCTATCTGGGATGTCATCATTTCTAAGATCGACGCGGATAAGAATCCTCTTGATGAGAAGATGGACGAGAATTTCTTCTCTCACGGACAGAGACAGCTGTTCTGTCTTGGAAGAGCTCTTCTTAAGAAGAGCAGCATCCTCATTCTCGACGAACCAACGAGCAAGTATGTTTTCCCAACCCTCAATCTTTAAAACTCAGCAAGACGAAAAGCTAACCATATACACACAGTATCGACAACCAAACCGACGCCCAAATCCAGGCTGTCATCAAATCAGAGTTCAAAGACCGCACGGTCATTATGATTGCGCATCGTCTCGACTCATTACTCGATTTCGATACCATCGCTGTTCTTGAAGATGGAGCGCTGGCGGAGATTGGTGCCCCGGAGGAACTGCTCTTGAAGGGCGGTGCTTTCTCGAAGCTTTACGCTTCTGATAAAACAAACAAGAGGAGGAGTTCAGACGAAATTTCACGAGAATAAACGGTCCTCGCTGTACGATTACGAGTTTACGAATTTAATTAGAAACCATAATTAATCTACCTATGTTAGTAATACTAGGTAGCCTTGATAGATTTATAAGAGATTATCAAAAATATATAAACTTCTATATTGATGCGGAATATCCAAAAGCTGTTCCTTCCAGGGTACACACTATCAAGATAATCTACGTAATCCAAATAATACGCCTTGCTATGTCCGTATGCTATTATCATCACCAATATTGTTCAAAATCCTCCAGGGATCGAATATTCAACACGAAACCCTCATATTACTTCCGTATCAGCGCAACATATATGTAAGATCAGGGATGTCATTTAAAAGTCTGGCCACGGTCTCTTCATCCGCCACACTCAAGCTAGGCCTGGGAGATGATGGATGGACAAGTGACGTGTCGGCAGACATGGTATGGGTATGGCGAGTAGGAGTGACCTGAGGTGGTGTCATTGGTTTGGAGAGAGGGCTAGGGAACGCTGGTGTCAAAGGCGTCTTGCCCCCTCGTTTAAAGGGTTTGCTGAGCGTCTGTCCCAAGTGCCATGAAAAGGGCCGCTTGCTCGGAGCTTTTTCGATCTTTGATGCAAGGAGATTGGGACTTTCATACACTGTTTCAAACTGGAGGGAAGACTGAGGAGGAATGCTGTGGCGGTTGCTGACGGTGTCTTCGTCCTCAAATGACATGGTAGTGGTCGGTGTAGCAGTCATCATCTCGCCCCAGTCGTCATCGTCCTCTTTGTTGATGGGGTAAGTGGGAGGAATCTGAATTGGCGAGGGAATATGCGCCCGGGTATGCTGAGGCGGCGGATCAAGAGACAAGGATTGCCGAGCTGAGTCCGCTTTGGGTTCTTTTGGTGAATGCACTTCTTGTGCATCTCCTCGTGTGAGCTCATTGGCTAAAGGATGTCTGGAAACCGCTGGCGATGATGGGACGCTGCTAGCCCAGGCGAATGACGATGCAGTAGGCGATGCGACTGGCGATTGCACGGTCAAAGATGAGTTTCTTGAATGCCTTCCCAGGAACTCTCCAATTTCCACTTGAGGCGCTGGTGAATTCCAATTGAACATGACTGCACCAGATCCACCAAGTCGTCTTCCCAGAACAACTCGCCCAGTAATTGAGTCCTCTTCCATCCATCTCCTCACAGTCTGGGTGGTACGCTCCCGTATTTGTGACTTGGACCAGCTAACGCGTACGTAATTCTCATCACCTCCCAAATCGTGCTTCCTCTTCGACCCATAACGGGAGATTCGGTACCACGCTCTGCGTTCATTGCTTAAACCAAAGGTGTCGTCGATGATGACGTCTGGAACGAGTTCTGGTTCTGTCTTAATGGGCGGCGTCGACGGAAACAAATCGTCAAGCTTGGCAAGATCAATGGGAAAGTGAATCTTTGAGTACGTCTGAGATGCAGGGCGTTCCACAACGTCGGACTCGAAAGGGGTGGTGAATGTTTGTAAGACGTTGGGTTCGCTCACAATTGGCACTGGCGGAATATCATCCCAGGGTTCCTGCTGCTGGCGCTCATTTTCTGCGACAATCTCGCTCTCAACATGAAATGGAGGTTGAGCAATTTCTTGTCCCGAAATGGCCACCTCATCCTCAATCACTTCAACAGGTGGAATTGGTTGTTGTTCCTCTTCTACCTCAACGCTATTATGAGGAGCAGTGTCTTCCTCCTTCCGAGCAGGCTCCTCGGCCGTGAATAGCGCCTCATCTTGCTCTTTGTCATCGACAGCAGTAGGTACTGGTGCCTCAGTGTCAGGAGAAAAGTCTGGTTGTTCGAGTTGGATAGCCGCAGGTACTGGTGCTCCAGTATCAGGAGGAAAGTCTGGTTGTTCAAGTTGAATAGCCGGAATCACCACCTCGGGTGCCGGCGCTTCCGGCGCTGCTTCAACGGGCCATGCCTCCTCCGTGGCATCAATATCCAATGGCGGCACCACGACGGGAATATCATTCTTTAAATCCTCCTCTTTCTGTAATTCATGTTCATCCCCAAGGCTAATTGCAGAATCCACGACTCGATCGTCGCCCGAAGCCTCAGAAGCTCTCCTCTCTCTTGGCTTCCTTTCTTCATTTTCTAGCGCCGTCGTGTCTAGCCGTTTCAAGGCCACATCTTTCCAAGGATCCGGTGATATCGACCTCACCGACGGTGCGCCTTGCAGCGGCTTCAGCCCAGGGCTTCTCCCCCATCCGGGGCTTTCCTTACCGCTGCCGCTAGCATCACCGCCATTCCACCCGCCCCAAGCATCGTCATCTTCCCATGCCGGTGACCGCGATCGCGACGGCGCTGGCGAACGAGAGTTTCGTCGAGGAAACAGATGGTCGGCTGAGAAGTGCGCATTCTGGGGCGCGACTGGGAGTTCTATCTTAGCCGGAGAGTCTGCAGCCCACGGCGAACCCCACGGATCTTCCATTCCAGGCGACTTGGCATGTCGCGTAGAGATGGATTGATAAAGGCAAGAGTCGATGCGTCAAGAAATATTGTTATAGCGTGTTTATCGTGAACTGTGCCGCAACATTGCGAATCTGTGCAATCAGGGCCGTTGGTCCAATTTCGCTTCTCCTGGAACGACAATCAATGTCCCCTTCCCAGGATAAGACGGAATAAATAAATAGGAGCCCGTCGAATCGGCGATGCGCAATCGAATAGCGCGGAAGTAGGGCGGAAGCTGCGGTGGTGATCTAGAAAGACCAATAAAGTTCTCACCTCATCATTGTCTGTGCAGCGGAGCCGTGCTTATTGCTTGGTTGGCTGCAGTAAGGCTGGAGGTTGGAAGAGAGAAAAAGAATGGAAGAAGATCTGGGAGGGTAGAGAGTGTTCTTGGCGGTCGCCAATCAGTGGACACACGACTCAGACAGGGGGTTCAGGGACCTGCCTTAGCGAATTGCTTGATATTTTGCACGCCCCGCGCTCCGCGTCATCCTTGCATGCACGTAAAATGGTTCGACGGCTACAGTACCAAGCATCATGGGATGTTAAGAAATTATCGATATCAAGAGGAATGAATATTCATTGAATGCTATGATGCAGCTCCCTCGAATTAAATCCCTTTGCTTGCCACTCTGCAGATGCTGTACATGCTCTAACTAGCACAATGTATCTATATAATATACCCCCTCAGCCATGCGAATAATATACCCCAGCCCAAAGCTTGCAACCAGCTTGGGAAACCCTCAAAGCAACCAGAATGACCTATTATCGTCCAAAGAACTCCATGCTAAGCCGATTATCATCAATCGTAACGGAAGATTGTCGCCAGCGAAACCACCCAAAGAGAAAAACACCTCAGAGAGTAATCTCATGGCCAGGCTTCAGCTCCCACTCCTTGGCTCGGCCGGCACCTTTCTTCTCCGCAACATGCTCAATCGTGTTCTTGACTTCCAAGCGTGAAGCACTATCCTTGAACTGATGGAAGATGAAGTCAACAATGCCGACTTTGGAGAGAGCCTTGTTGTCTAAGATGGCCTGTTTGATCTCGTTTAGAAGTTCGGGCTTGACAAGTTTACCTGGGGCTGAGGTGGAGCCAGCAGCACCTCCCAAGGCGGCAAAAGCGTTTGTCGGGGCAGGCGGGGGAGCCTTGACATCGTTCTCGGCTTTAATGGCCTTTGGTGTTTTGCTCTTGGCAACCTTGCTAGGCTCTGGTTCCCAGTATTTCGTAGAAAATGGATCAATGTCCCATAGCTGGTTGAGACCCTCTGAAGAGTATGTTAGCAGCAGGACTCAAATTTCAACTCAATGAATAGTCAGAAACTTACCATGAATGAACTCCATCTTGCTGTCGTTCAGAGCTGGGACTGTGCCTTTCCGGTTCTGGTTCTCAAAGCATGGGCCCGTAATCTCGGGCTTCAAGGTGTCGGCAAATACTCTTCTAGAGAGGCCAACATCTTCGGAATCATCAAGAAAGCCGTCCATATCATCCTCGTCATCCAACTCCTCTTCTTCATCCTCCAGGTCGAGATCCTCGCCTTCTTCCTCGTCCTGCCATTCAGCTTCCGAGTCATAGTCGTAGTCGAGTGGTAGCCGACGGCCCGTTGATTTTCGTGCTAGTTTCTGCATGTTTCCTTTGCCAAGAGCAAAGGGCTTGAAAGTTACTGTACCGTAGTAGGGAGGACGCACATCCTGTGAGAAAGCAATCACTTTCATAGGGATCTTGCTCAGCCCAGCCTGGAATTCCGCCAAAATCTTGCTAGAATCTGCACTACCACTCTTCCCAGCATCTTGCGAAGCCTTGTAAGCAGTCTCCATCAAATGCCGGACTGGCTGATGCAGCTTGCCACGGGGTGTAGGGAGACTGGGAAAGGAGAATGCCTCTTGAGGGTTGAATTGTGGAGGAGCACTTTCGCTGCTCTGGCCTGCAATATAGTCGTCCAGGATTTTCGATTTCGCTTCCCGAGTCGTCTCATCCATCTGGCATACCATCGGCGCCAGTAGAGTGTTTTCTTTGACGAAAAATGGTTTGAACATCTTGGAGTATTCCGACACTGTCTGTTTCTCGACCACCGAGGAGCTGGCTTTTGCGGGGCTGTTTTCTTTAGCCACATCCTCTCCTTCGGGTTTCTTGGGAGTGCTGGGAATCTTGAAGAAGCTGCCTAGAGTCTTCTGACTTCTAGCTTTCCGCTCAGCTTCCTCTTCCTTCTTTCGCTTCTTGTCGGCCTTGACTTTCTCCTCTTCTTCTTTCAGCTTTCGCTTCTCTTCCTTCTCCTTTGCTCGTGCTGCTTTCTCTTCTTCTTTTTTAGCCTTGTCCGCGGCCTGTGCTGCTGCCTTCTCCTCACGTTCCTTCTTTTTCTCGGCGAGCTCCTTTTCTCGGACTTCCTTTTTCTCGGCAAGTTCCTTATCTCGGGCTTCTTTTTCTGCCGCCGTGAGGCGTTTCCGTTTCGGCGGTGGATTCATGTCTGCGGAAGGCTTTGAGTCTGATGCTGGTGCGGAGGATCCAGAGATGTCTAGTTTTGCAACGGCTTTGGCTGGTGATGACAGTAATGGGTCGCGTGCCACTGTGTCATCTCCAACTTCTGATAGGGCAGGCGATGATAACGGTGAAGATGGAGGTGCTGGTAGATATTTAGTGTCTTGTGCTGTGATTTAGCAATGTGTGAATCATGGTTTGTGCTCACAGTCATTGTTGGGTTCTCGAATATCCATTGGCGAGATGTTCTTAACATCTTCAGCCGGATCAACTTTCCCCGGCTCGGCGGAGAACTCGTGGTGACTTCTTTTGCGCCCAGAGGACTCTGGCTCCCTGGCGTTATGTGACACCTCAAGCAGAGGCATTGTGGTCCAAACTGCGGTTTGAATGGATGTAGCTTTGTCGGGATTGCGTAGAAACTACCTTCACCTGTGGAAGAAACCCTGGCGTTGCATTCGGCGTGCAGCTGAGCATGTGTCTGCACAAGGATCGAAAGGAGGGGGCGATATGCAGCGATGCAGAAAAGATCTAGTGAATCGAGACGCAAAAGTTGAATGAAGTAGACCAGGAAGAGAAAACGAAATCGATTCTAATTGCTGTTCAAACAAAGGGAACGAGGGGCGCGTGGTCACTTCGACGATGATAGAGGCTGTGCTGCTTGATGTTGAATTGGAGACTCGATACAATTTAGTGCGGCGTCGCGATTGCTCTGAACGCGTTAATTTGGCGCTTCCCACTTTGGAGGACGCGTTAATCGCTTGAGAAGCGTAGGCAGCCACGGCTAAAAGCCGGGAGCTGAGTGACGCTCCAGTGCTACAAAGATAAAAAGTATCTGGTACTGAGTGATAACGCATAATTAAGGCTGCGGGGTATGTACTGGCTACTCTCACTCTATTCTTCCAATTGGCATTGATGTCTCACAAGACTGAGCAGATACTCGCACAATCTGGGCTTTGTGATACCCTCATCAAAACTCCAAGACGCTGTACAAAATAAGTCATGCCGAAATACAGCAATTTCTTAAAAATTATAGTCCGATGGCTTACCAAACGACCACTAGAGCTGCCTCACACGACACACTTATAAAGTTTGAATCACATGAAAAGAGCGTCACGCCCCTTCTAAGTTAGAGTTCCACACATGACACCAAACAGAATGCCCATTTCAAAACTAAATATTGAAGCTAAGTGAGCCATGAACACAGAAAGGTCTATATTTGCAGAGTAATTACTCCGTAAGTTAACAAGCAAAGAAAATGCTCTTTCCTGGCCCTGGCATGTAAAACACCCCAGTGTCCCAGTTCCCGCCATGCAAATGTCTGAGAAAATCGATGACGACAGGATTGCCAAACCGATTCATGCAAAAAAATTAACCCCCAGCATATCAAAAAAGCATTCAACACGAGAATGGAAAATCACCCGACGGAGAAAAAAGAGTATTAACATATTAACCATTACGTCATATTATCTTCTTTCAACTGGCCTTTCTCAGGCATCTCAAATGTACTTTTTCTCCCAATTCTCACATCTCTCCCGTTATCGGCCTCGTCTCAGCTGCCTCGCTCAACCAGCAAGCTTAATCCCAGAAGCGAAGGTGTATTAGGCAAACAAACAAAATATAAAGCGTAAAAAAGGTCCTTATTAGCGACTGCACTTCCCTCCTCCAATGCCCAAAGTGATATCAAGATATCCAAACGCCTAACAATGCGGGTAGTAAAACTATAGAAGAACAACGAGAGAAGGAGAAAAAAAAATTGATAATGCACATGAACGATTGTGAATTTGTAGTTGTTGTTGGTGATGATATTGATTAGGAGATAACGAATGGCAGGCAATTGAGATGGCGTTGTCCGTCGTCGCGTAATAATGGAATGGTGTATATGCGGAATGTGTAGATGTCGAAACAAAGGGGTTTCAATCAGGGTTGGCAATGTAAAGGCGCTGGGAGGTCAGGGTGGCTGTTCGCTCGTCGACACTTCCTCTTCTCTTTAGCTCCTCGGGAGACTTGACGCTCTTTTCTCTTGTCAGGGCAGAGTGCATCAGTGACTTGCTCGCAAGTCTTGGGGCCGCTCCCAGTTCGCCGACATTGTCTGCGCGCTCAGCGCTGCTGCCGCTATGCGTGCTCTGAGCTCTTCCGCTGGCAGCATCGTCGATGATTGGCATAGTGTCCTCTGGCTGCTCAACCAAGCTTCCAGCTCTTTCTGGAGTATCGCCGGGACTCCATCGCCGGCCGCTTTGGGATCCAGTTCCGGTGACAGTGCCTCCAGAGGCCCTGTAAGAGACGTTGCGGCGGCTGCTGCTACCGATGCTGCTCCGTCCACTGCTGCCTGTCCTGCGGTGGTGCGAACTCGACGCAAATTCCTCCTCGCTGCTCTCGCCTTCGACTTCGGTGGCGCTGAGTCGCATAGGTACTCCTCCAACACCGACGTGGTTTTCGTTGGCATATCCAACCACGGGCAATTTACCGTGATGCCGGATCTTCGCAGCGACCTTTGTGGTTGCGCTTATGCCCGTGCTTGTGCGGCCACCTGACGAGGAACCAGCTGAGCCAGTTCCCCGGTTAGCCCCGCTAACCTCCAGGTTGGCGCGCATCTTGGCAGCTCGCTGTTGAGCGAGTATCCGAGGGTCCTCATACTGGGCGCGATCGCACCACACCGTTGCCTTTTGTTTGCGCAAGAGAGCCACATAGCCAGATGCCTGGGGTTGGCCGAAGGAGCGGTTAGAGATGGACCGTCGAAGGTCCGAATTGGACGACGTTCGGTACGCGGCGGGCGGTTGTATGCTCGAGTTGCTGAAGGTGCTCACTGAAGGCGATTGCCGATTGAACTGCTGGCTCGACATTTGGTGCGACAAAAGCATGGGCGAGGGATGCTGAGGTTGCGCTGGAAAGACGTTGGAAGAGGTTGTCCTCGAGCGGGAATGGCTATAGACGTTGCCCGGGTCCATTTTCCTGCTCGGCGAGCAGTAGCCTGGCTAGCTGAGAGGCACGCTGTTCCCTCCCCGGTTTGCTGTTTAGAAGAGTCTGTCGGGAGGGAGGGAGAAAAGTGGTTTTTTGAGTTCTCAGCGGGGAGAGTCCGCGGATCGAGTCAGTCTCCGCGCCACAGTCCCGAATCGGCCGTAACCCTCGACCGCAAGGCTCTGACCGAACAAAGAAGAAAGGATGATAAGGCAAGACTATGCCCGTGAGGATAGTCGAAGAAGAGGCGCGGGCAAGAGGAGGCCAGCCGCAGGAAATGATATTGGCCAAGAGGATTGTAAAGAAAAAAGGTGGGAGGGAGGGTGAGATATTTGATGTGACCTGGCGTGGAGCCTTGAGTGGTTAGCGCTGCAAGTCCCACTGCAGAGCCCAGAATGGCACCAGACGGGTAACCGCCAGGTTTTGGCCAGCTGAACCAGCTGTGGTTGGGGGGATTGCGCTAGCGGGCCTGGAGAGGGCCTGGAGAGGGGGAGGGCTGCAGGAGGGCCTGGAAGGCAACTGGCCGAGTGCCAGTGCCGGAGCAAGTACCTGCACGTGCGTGGAGAATGCACCTGAATTACATGTACTACTGCTGTAGGCTACTGCTGCTGCTACTCCGTTTACAGTAAACAATCATTCGACGACGCTTGACGTAAGATGCCCGAACATCAAGGTACCTATTAAACCACATCGCGATCACTGAAGGGATTGATGATGATCATGGGGATCCAGCGAACAAGGAAGCGCCAACGCAGCGAGTCCTCGTACATGGGTATCGTATTCCTCTCGGCCACTTGCGGACCGTTTAAAAAACGACCACAAAGGAAAAAAAAAAGGCAAAAAAGAGATTGAGCACAGAGGAACTGGCCCCCTCGCTAGCTGCCCCAGTGGTGAGAAACATCTGCAGCCCACGCGCGAGATGGCCCGCTTGCGACATGGCGTGTTTAGCGCTGGCACAACTAGTGTTGAGCTTACCTAGAGGATGGGATTAGTGGGAATTTGAATTTGGCATCGACCTGATGGGACAATTGCCAGCTTGTATGGAGTAGAGGGGAGAAGAAAGTGGACAGGGGGGTTCTAGGCCATAAGGCTCCGGCGTCGATGATGCACAGAGCAGAGCGTAGCACTCGCTACGGAGCGCATGTGCTAGGTGGGATTGATGCCGTGGATGGTTCTTCTCGCCTTTACTACCTATGTAATACCTAATAACTTGAAGGTAATTTGAAGTCCAAGTATTGAAAGTTCATTGACATCGACGTACAATTAAACATCATGTCAGGGTGGTTCAAGTAAATTGGCCTCCACGCTTCGTCCAGCGCTGTCATGTTTCGAGCTCCGTCGCATGCCACGTTTTCCCCCAAAGACCTTGAAATTTTAAAATAAAATCATCAATTGATGCCAAACAGCTTTCCCGATTAGGTACAAGTCTCCCATGCTCTCTCCGTTTCATACGCCGGCCAAGGGGGGTTTCTGATTAAAGGCCATCGACCGCGTTTCAATCTCCCAGCTTGAAGCGAAACAAACATCCTCCCCCTCAAAAAACGCCTCGGTTGCTACGTAGCAGCCCATCAGGGTGCAAAATCTGCCTTGCCAAGGAGTCGTCCGTTATTGTGGTTCCAGCATTTTCTTCAGTGGAGCGCCGTGCAGCTACCCACCGCTGATGTCACCGGCATCGCCGGGAATGAAGAGCACGGTGAACGCAAATCTTCAGGCAATGCTACCGTCCTGCCCTGTCCGAAGGGCATAGCATCGGCTCTTGTATCCAGCAATCGGCGTGCCTGGATCTCTTGTCTTCCGTCTCCCGGTTCTCACCTGCAGATTAGCGCAACCTACGTCTGCTGATTGGGACGGGCAGGCAGTCTTACTGTACTCCGTACCTATCAATACAATTCTGCAGCACAGTCAGATCTCATTAAACTTCTCGACCACGGCGTGATGCCTTTTACTACGGAGCATTTACGGCAGCCCTTCGGGCAAGGCGAGCGAACCATTTCCCGCAGCGAGATCACACGGGCCGCCTTCTATCGATAACTCGGTCGAGATGGCTTCAAGGTTCTTCAAAAACTAAATTCCAGGCCAATTGCAGCCCAGCCATTGCCTGGCGCCGTGCCCATTCCATTCCTCGCCGAGAGCCCCCAGTAAGACACTGCGAGAGTGGAGATGGCTCCGAGCTCCCAAATCGCGGGGGTAAATCTCACACCAGTGGGGCTGAATCTTTTTTGTCTCGAGCTCAAACACACACACACAAAGGTGGGAACAAATACATCAACGTACGACATGCTGTATAAACATTGATGCTCTCGTTTTCACATGCTAGAAGCAGTGCCACCAATCCAAGCTTGCCAAGAGAGTATATGTATTAGGCATGTCTTGCCAAGAACAGTATATTTCCCGGGATCTGCAGGTACATATCCAACAGAGAATCCATCTGTTGTTGAAGTTTCAACAGGGGATGTAATAGAAAGTGTAGCGATAGTAGCAGACACTGGAATAAAGTATAGAATCGCCCAGTAGTAGCAAAAAGCAGTGGGAGTAAGTTGGGTAAATAAAAAGGATTACCTTGCATCCTATTTCAACACTTGAACCTCACGCAGTCGCTGGACTGATGGCTACGGGCTGTATTTCCTTTCAACAAATGCCACCAAGGTCAGGTACTTTGAATTACAGGTACGGCGTAAAGGATCCAATGTTCCATCACACAAGGTCAGCACCAATTGCTGCATCAGGATGCGGTGCCTCGGTCTTCATGTAGCTAAGCTCGCAACTCCGTCGCTAATGCACGATTTCCCTGTTATTCGTGTGATAGCTGCCATGTCTTCTCCGCAATGCACTGCAACGGAATATTTTCCCATTTCTCTCCCCCCTTCTCCCTTCTCCATGGGTTACGTGGCCGGTTTACCATGCATTGACGTAATCGACTTTGTCCAATTGACAGCTGCCAGATTGGCAATCGAACGATGGTTTAGGCACTCTGCATTGCATGACTGTTGGTACGAGTAAGCGTTCCATACTTTATGTAGTGGTTCGTTGCCGGGTGCTTCGATGTGACAGGGCGTTCATCCACAGTGATGCTGCTGGATACTTGATTGGATAGACAAAGATTTATTAAAAGCTACCTGTCACTTCTCCTAAACTCCTCCATCCCATGGCTAAACTCCTTCATCCAACCTAGTTCCTGACGCCACTATGTGATCCCTAGAAAAAGACAAGGAATAAACTTCCAGACGCAAACCTCCCATCATTCATAGAAACCAAACAAACAAGCAAACTTCCCATCTATGAACTCAGATCTGATTCTACTGCTAACCAGATACCTCCTCAAGCTAAGCCCTCGACATCTCGTTTTGACCATCAAGTCTCGAGACACCGTGCAGCAAGAAGAGGAAGGCCTTTTATTTTCTTTTAGTCTGCTTATTGGCACAATCCTTTTGACACTGCTTACACAGGCCAACAGCCTCCTTCATGACAACTCCGTTCTTAAATTTTGGGCATGTTTCTAGATCGAAAGATCCTCCGTCTAGTCGTGCATCGACCGCATCGTCGCATACATGCCTGTCGGCGGTACACTTATCCCGGAAATGACCTGGACGAACTTTAGCAAGTTCATTGGGATGCATGCATTCTTCGGCGCATTTGCATTCTTCAGGGCATCTGCATCTGCCACTGGGAGTCTTGCAGTCTACATTTGTGCACGGACAAAAGAGACGTTGGTGTTCGTAGTAGCACATGTTGTTTCTGTCGCTTTCGGGGTAATCTTTCCTTGGGGGCTGTTTCTGCCGCTTTCGAGGTAATCTTTACTTGGGGGCTGTTTCTTTCTCGGTCTCTAATCCTGTGATGGCTGATACTTGTTTCGTGGTACTGACTGGAATGTGATCTATGTATATTATCTTCATGATGCCTCGATCCCATGGGCATTTATATACCTGATGCGAGAGCCACAGAAGCAGAGCATCGTCAAACAAACGCTCTCACTACATCGCATCTGTTCAAGGAAGAACGACTTCGAAGCCAACATTTTCAACACAAAATCTGTTCAATACATATGTGGCGTTTGTTTAACTGAAGCTGAAGCTGAACAGGAGATGGAGAAGCGGTGGCGGTCGGGAACAACCGCCATGTGGTAATAAGATCAAGGCAAGGGGGTCATCTTCGTAATAAACCGGCGCTTTGTGTCCACCGCTCTTTGATGCAGCAAAAAAGAAAGGGTCTCTTTCATATATAAGCAGGTAGGTTGAGTAAGTTGAGTGAACCGCAACAACATTCAGCGAGAGTTCAATATCAGAGACAGGCTGAAACAAAACAGAAACAATAGACAGCAGCTACCTGACTGAGACAATTGGCGACGTGCAGTCATTTTGTTCTCAACGCTTTTTAGCGTCTTGACGTCAGGGATACCTGCTGGAAAAAAGCGGGCCGCTGCCAAACCTCCAAGACAGCGGCTTCGCACGTGTCTCCACGGCGGATTCTCACAGGTCCATCCCAATCCCATCTCATTCCTGTGCCTGGAGCTTGTACCGCTGAGACATAGTCACCAAGAGCAAGGGCTCCGATCGACGAATTGCGAGTGCACTTTTATGTCGCCCCTGCGCCTGGACCTGGAAGAGAGACCTGTGCACACTCGGTGCAGACGAACCCCGGTCAGGCACAAGGTAGGGCTCTGCGCAACACCATGAAGTTCGCAAAGGAGCTTGAGCGCGAGGCGGTTCCTGGTAAGAGCTGAACATTTTCTTTTGTCTTTGGTCTTGTGATTGGCTGTTACTGTTTCCTACTGGTTTTCTTTGTCTTCTGCCCTTTGTTCTTGTAACTGTTGGGAGTTGCCACCAACTGCAAAAGGGGAAAAAGAAGAACAAAGGAAAAAAAAAAGAGCTTGGTTGTGCAACCATCAGATATCAGATTGCTGACTTTTTCCTCTCTCTTGTGTTACCAACCATACAGAATGGCGAATCAAGTATCTCAATTACAAGGCGGGCAAGAAATACGTCAAAGCTGTCGCCTCTGCCATCCAGAGAACCTCCAGCTCTACGCCTCGACTTCTTAGTTCACGCCGCACCCCGACTTTTTTCTCAATAGCAGGGCCACATACGGAGCCTTCTCCCAAACCGTCTTCTCGTTTCGAAACCCCTCGGCCCTCTGATGATGCTCCTAGAAGCTCGAGATGGCATGGCCAGTCGGAGCCGGTCGCCATCGCAAAGCAGACGGAAGACGAGGCCTTGAACAGCAATGGTAACAGTGTGGGATATGGAAGCTTCGTGCCAACACCCCCTGCGGACCCTCAACAACTATCACATCGTCTCCAGAACGATGACGACGAGAACCAACAGCTTGGCCAGGACAAGGACCAAAACGGCAAACAGAGTGACAACCAAGGCTATGGCGACGACGACGAATTCGAGCTCCCTGCCCCTGCCATTTATACAACAACATCATCTCCTGGTGCTAAACAGTCGTTCAGTCCTGGGAGGAAAAGTGCTCGCTTCGATTTCCACAGGTCAAATTCGTCGGGCCCCTTGAGCTCTGGGACGCTACCGACTTTGGTACCAACAGACAGCGCCGATGATCGACTTCGCCGCATCTTTTCTAGCGCGAGAGAATCTGCTCGAATAACAGGCCTTCCACGCCAGAGCCTTGACCTTGTTCGGGAGCGAGAACAGCAGTTTTACTCATTCCTCGACTCGGAGCTAGAAAAGGTGGAGACATTTTACAAGAAGAACGAGGATCGAGCTGGCCAGCGGTTGGTAATGCTGCGAGAGCAGCTTCATGAGATGCGTAACCGGCGAATTCAAGAAATAAACAACGAGAGGACAAATCGCTCACTTTCTCGGGCCTCGAATCAACAATTTGGCGAAGGCAACCCTGACAAGGCGACGAGTGGCTGGATACATCCGTTGAAGAATAAGATCTTCCCGCCCGGACCAAATTCAAAAAGTTTCCAGGATATGCCCCATACACCGCATCTAGCGGCTGGCAACAGGGCCCAGGCCGATCGTATGGACTATGTGCGGCGGCCAGTAGATGACGAAGTGGCATATCGCACAGCAAAGCGAAAGCTGAAGCTGGCGATGCAAGAGTTCTATCGCAGCCTGGAATTACTCAAATCATATGCCATGCTTAACCGCACGGCCTTTCGAAAACTCAATAAGAAGTATGACAAAGCTGTCAACGCTCGACCTCCTATGCGCTACATGAATGAAAAGGTTAAAAAGGCTTGGTTTGTCAATAGCGATGTTCTGGAAGGCCACATCAAATCTGTCGAGGATCTCTACGCGAGGTATTTTGAGCGTGGAAACCAGAAGCTTGCGGTTGGCAAGTTGCGAAAGCTGCACAGAAAGCCCAAGGATGAGTCTGGCAGCTCGTTCCTTAACGGCATCCTCATCGGTACGGGAGCTGTATTCAGCATCCAAGGCCTCGTTTATGGCACTCAACTGCTACATGACAATGATCCCACATTGAGTCTCCAAACAAGCTATCTGTTGCAGCTATATGGTGGCTATTTCCTTATGCTCATGCTTTTCTCTCTCTTCTGCATCAACTGTTCCATTTGGCTGCGGAACAGGGTGAATTACCCCTTTATTTTTGAATTTGACCAGCGAAGTCAGCTTGATTGGCGTCAGCTCTCAGAATTCCCTTCAGCATTGCTTCTGCTTTTTGGAGTTATTATGTGGGCCAACTTTAGCAGATATGGTGACGATGCCATGTATCTATATTACCCCGTCCTTTTGGTTGGCCTAACAGTTGTTGTCATTCTCTTCCCTGCCCCTGTGCTTGCACATAAGAGCCGTAGATGGCTTGCATATTCACATGTCAGTATCTTAGGCTCCCCTGGTTGAAGAGCTACGTGCCGGGCGATACTAACTCTGCGATAGTGGCGTCTTCTCTTGTCTGGATTTTATCCTGTGGAGTTTCGTGATTTTTTCCTTGGGGACATGTATTGTTCTTTGACATATTCGATGGCGGTAAGTGGCCCTCGTCGCTGAACCATGATGGGGCAAAAGCTGACTGAGATACTTGACAGAACATAGAATTGTTCTTTTGCTTGTATGCCAATCATTGGAATAATCCTGGGCAGTGCAACTCGACCAGCTCCCGCTTGCTCGGATTCCTGACGACGCTCCCGGCAATATGGCGCTTTCTCCAGTGTATTCGACGTTACAAAGATACACGCAACATTTTTCCACATTTAGTCAATTGCGGCAAATACACTGCTACCATATTGTCTTACCTTTGTCTATCCCTTTACCGAATTCATCAGAGCCACTCTAACCTTGCTTTATTTGTGACTTTCTCGACGATCAACGGTGTATATACTTGTAAGCGGTTTCCATTTTACTAGGCCAAGACTCTCTTATACTGACCGATGACATCAGCTATCTGGGATCTCTTTATGGATTTCTCTCTACTTCAGCCTCAGAGCCGACATACCGGTCTCCGCGATATTCTTGCTTTGAAGCACCGCTGGATCTATTACGTTATTATGATTGTCGACCCTGTGCTCAGATTCTCGTGGATTTTCTATGCCATCTTCACCCACGATTTGCAGCATTCTACTGTTGTCTCGTTCATGGTTAGCTTCATGGAAGTTTTCCGCCGAGGCATATGGTCGCTCCTACGTGTAGAAAACGAGCACTGCGCCAACGTAGCACAGTACAAGGCTTCTCGCGATGTTCCTCTTCCCTACCACATCGAGCCCCTGATGGAGCGCGCCAGCGCCGAATCCAGCCCGATACTATCACCGGAAGAAGAGCGCCAGACAGAGCCGCAGCCACCACGGCCGCAGCCGGCTGAGCACCCCAGCTTCTACGACTCTGCCAGCTCTACTGCCGTTGCCGGCCCTCCGAGCGGAAGCCTTCGGCGACGGACCGACCTCGTTTCTCCTCCTATCCACCGAAGCTTCTCTAAGATCTTGGCGGAGGCGCATAAGCAGGATTTCGAGAAGAAGCGGAAGCCTGTCGACGGGGCCGGGGATGCGGCTGGTGTAGCTGGTCAGAGCGACGATTTTGACGATGACGATGACGATGATGAAGATGATGCCGGCAGCTTGTCGGAAATGCGAACCCAGAATAATGGGAACGCAGCTTAATGCCTAGTGTTTTGATTATGACAGAAGACTGTTTTGCAGATGACCATTGTTGTCATAATGATTGCATGGTGTGTATGGAGGGATGGACGGACGGATGGAGTGAAAGTATTGCAATATACCAGACGCGGATAGCGAGTTAAATATGCATCTATCTTGAGATGACATTTTTGGGAAAATGTCAGTTGCTTGATTGGGGCACGCATATTCAGGAGAAAATAGATTAGATGGGAAAATTTAGTGATATAGTAGCAGGGATTATGTGCATGATGACGAAAAAGGAGAAAAGTTGGATTCGAGATGACATCTATCGAATTGGTAATGTGTAGTAAGGTAGTAGTAGGGTGGAGACACAGCATAGCGTTGAATCACCTTGATTAGGGTCAATTACCATTATCTGCTGTATCAAACTCATGAGTGACATGATTCTAGTCTCATCTATATTAAGCCCCCATCCTGATGCAAAACATGCTCTGATCTACTCTGTACATATCTAATATTACTTATATCTATCTCCTTTATCATTACTCCCATTCGCCATCAACCTGCTCCCAAAAGTCGAGGAAGCCCTTGAAGAACTGCACGCCCAAGCCAGGGTCCAGGGCACCAGTCGTAGCACGGATCGAGTGCATGCTCAGCTGAGGCAAGCCAGCATCGGCGGCACGCACACCCATTGCACTCGACAGCATGGGGCCGACGGTGCCACCGCTGCGGGAGTCGTTTCGGATCTGGAAGTCCTGCAGCTGAGCGCCACACAGGTTGGCAACGCGGTGGAGGATGGCGGAAGAGACGGCGTCAGTGGTCATGTGGGCGTTGCTGTCGCCGCAGACGACGAGGCCGACGTTGAGCTTAGGGATGTGCTCGGCGAGGTAGTTGCCAATGAAGTTGGGGTTGCCGGCGTGCGAGACGTCGGCGGACAGGAGGAAGGACTTGGCGAAAGTCTGGCCGATGAGACCAGGGCCGTAGGTGTCGGGGTTGAGAGCCTCGACGGCGCGCTCGACCGTGGAGGGCAAGAAGTTACCCCGAGCGCCCTGTCTCAGCAGAGAGCCAACCTCTTCATCGTCGAACAGGGCCACCAGCTTGATGTAGCTGTCCTCGTCTCGCTCCGTGGAGTGGAGAAGACCCAGGAGGGCGGACCACGAGCACAGCTTGTCGTCGATTCTTCCTGCGGTGATGAACTCCTTGTCCAAGCCGAAGACGGAGGCGGGCTGGGCGTCGAAAAGCTCAAGCTCCCAGTTGACAATGGAGTCGTAGGAGGTGATGCCAAGCTGCTTCGAGATGAGCTTGACCAGCTTCGGGGGCTGAGTGTTGACAAAGGCGCCGACAGAGCCAAGCAGCTCGGCGCTGGAGCCATCGGAGCTGTCCAATCCAATGATGGGGACAGCCTGCGTCTCCGGGTTGTTCTGACCCATCATGCCGACACCAAAGTGCGGCGCCAGCGTGGGGATCTTGGCAATAGGCCAGTCCAGCTGGACGAGCTTGCTGGTTGTCTTGCCCGTCTTCTCATCGCGCACAATAACTCGGCCGCCGATGCTCAGGTCTCGATCCCACCAGGTCTGGTTCAGGGCGCCGGCGTAGGGGGCAACACCGAGCTGGACGTAGCCGGCCGTGGTTGGCTTCTTGCTGACGGGCTTGAGCCGGGCTGTCAGGGCGTCGATGTGGCCGGCAATCATGCCAACACCGTTACCGGGCTTGTAGGATTTGCCGACGGCAAAGGCGATGATGGAGCTGCCATTGCGAGTGACCCAGTACTTGCCGCCGGGCTGGATCTTGCCGGACCAGGAGTCGCGCGCGGGGAGCTAGGAGTGTGTCAGCGTTGGATCTTGTACTACGGGGTGGGACATGAAGGTATCACGAGCGCAAGCGCACATACCTCTACGTAGCCAGACTGGCGCAACTTGGTCTTGAAGTAGTCGACGGTATGGAAGACAGTCGGGTTCTCGCGCAAGAAGTCGCAGAAAGGCTTGGTGAAGGCCTCGGGCTTGAGGTCTCTCACGGCGCACAGCTTGCACTTGTTCTCCTCGTCCACGTGCCAGTTGACCTGGCTGACCTCGTTCGCTGAGAGCTTGGAGATGCAGTTCATGCAGGCGCGGTTGTCGAGAGGCGGGCGACCATCCATGTCTGCGAGGACAAAGTGCTTTGAGGAGGCTAGGGGAGAGGCAGCTTGCTGAGTGTGAGCCGAAGCCGAGGCCGGGATCGGGGCAAACGAGGAGGAAGCGGAAGACTGCGCGGAGATGCTGGACGTGGCCTGAGCAGGCGCTTGTTGTCGGAGAGACAGAGAAGAAGGCACGCGCCGTGTCATGGTTGCGACGAGAACGAGGGAAAAGAAGAGAGGAGAGAGTTGAGGGCGAAGGGCGCGTTAAAAGGCGGTGCGAGAGAAAGAGGTTGGGGATGTTGAGCGTCAAGTCGAGTCGCACGGAGTTGCGCGCATGTTCCCCCGGATTGGGGCGCAGCAGAGACATTCCGGTACAGTAAGCCGGGGTACAATCACGATAAGCACGGGGCCTTTTGTGGCGCCAGGAGCGGGAACCTATCGGCGATGACTAGAGGGGGGCCATTAGGGGATTTACAGCGGATAAGGCGCCATGGGAACCTGTCAGGGCCAGGGGTAGCTTCTACTGAGTTCTGTGCATGTATTTAGCGCCCGCCCTTTACTAGCATCCAATCCCGTATTTTACTTCTAGGCTATGTGGTGTCATTGGTAAAGTCCTGATACTACTATATGTACCTAGTAAATAGCATGTATGAAGAACGTATAAGAAGATGGCATTTAATCCTTTGGTGGCTACTCCTCTAGCTAAGGTACATATCTTTAATATCAGCCCTTGATAGAGGAAGATGGTACATTTACCCTTGTAGCGCATCAATGTTCCGAATACTACCTAGTACCTACCTACATGTATTCCTCAATCCTGGGTATCTGTAGAAGCCAAAAGTTTCCCAGTAAATGACTACGGATTATACGTTTTTCTTTCCTCTCAACCCATATATAAAGAACCAGGTGGTAATACGTGCGCCATCTATCCCTGTCCCATGGGATTTGTAAGTCTTCGAGCATAGGAAAACGACATTCAAGTAAGCGCACAGCTTCGAGGATACTAGGATGACTGAAGTCCCACGTTAGTCATATGTTCAATTCCAATAACTCAGGTGGATGTAGGTACGTGTATGGTGAGGATAGGTAAAGTATAAGGTATATCAAGAACGTACCTGGGGATGCCAATTTGCCCGTCCACTGTCTGGGTAAAATATAACGTCCTAAGCTGTGGAAATAAGGCATCGCCATTACAGCCATCTGAAACCAAGTCGTCAAGATTGATATCCTGACTGGTCTCGCAAAAGTTCAATCTCCGACAATGCCGACCAAGAGATAACAATCCCTTGGTAGATAGATTGGCACACACTAGGTTTAGTGACAAGTGACGAAGATCTGGCCAATGAGATGCAACTATCTCGCAGTCATCGTTTGAGAAATCCGTCTCTATAGCGATGGGGGCATCAAAATGGCCAAGAGGCCGCCGCCCAGGCTTCATGATCAGAGTTCGAAGCTTTGAAAGAGCACTCAATGCCATTATTGCTGCTGCCGAAATTCGTATAGGTTTTCTGAATGTCAACGATAAAGAGGTTAAGGCGGTCAAGCGCGCGCGATGTGCCATAGCGCACCAGAATCCGAATCTTCCAGCAATAGGTTAAGCGAAGTAAGATTTCTCAATAGAGGTACAGCCCCTTCGATGGCCGCCGCTGTAGCAACCAAATATAGAGATTCAAGTACGGGAAAGGACGCGAATCCCATATCATCTTTTGCGATTGTAACCTGTTCTACCGCAGAAGCTGACCAGCTCCATGGAAGATCCAAGGTGGTTACACACTTGCTCTGTGCCGAGTGAAGAAGAAGATCGCCGCTTATAACGCTGCTGCTAGTATCGTCTACTAGCTCATTAATGAGAATGGCCTCTTGCAACAATGGTAGGTGCTTCAAAATATCCAAAACAAGTTGGGGCGTGAGTCCTGTCCACACGTGAAGGTGTATCGACTTTAGTTCCGGACAACTGCTCAAGCAGCCAAGCGTAGAAATTTGGGCAAATAAGTCAACAAACTTGACTTTTTGCAGCGATGGCACGCAGTACATCTCCATGTCTCTGAGATCTTGACCATAGCTAAAAATATCTAGCTCCCGCAATCGGTGGAATTCGAGGTCTTTGAATGCCTCGTAATAATTTATCTCCTTGGAGTAATAAAAACCAATGGTAAAAATCTTGGAGGCATATATTTATTGCCGGTCCTTTGGCACTCGTAGCAGGTAGTCCTTAGCTTTCCTACTTTTCCATAACTTTTCCGTCCCGCACTCAAACCATAACCGGTTTACTTGGACAGCTTTGGACAAGGTCTTCAAGTCGTTTGCATCTAAACAAAATGAAAATATTAAATCGAGGATCTCAGGTAAACACAGCGCTTTCTCAGTGGAATCGAATCGTGTTGTCGCCGGAGAAGAAGCTGTCGCCGGAGTGTTTGCCATACTGCAAAAGATTGGCAGGTGGGATGGAAAGGGTAGAAAGATGTATTAGCTGGCTCTTTCGAACAATTCATAGCCTGGGATTATCGCTGCCTTTTGTATCTGAACGGACTAATATGAATGAATTATCAGACATTAAATTTCCCAGCCTTGAAGTTTGTTGCACTAGATCTGAACTGTATCTACACAGGTAAGTTGCTCTTGCTCGGAATTTTGGCGCCAAAAGTTTAAAGCTTCAGCTTGTAGATAGGGGCTATCTTTATGATCAGGACAATAAGGCTGGTAAAACTGTAATGGCAGATTCAGCAAAAGATTAAGCGCGCCCCCTATGGTGCAAACTTCAGAAAGAACTCTTGGCTCATAGCCGATCAATGAAAGTTTGAGAAACCAGGTCACGGCACGGAAAGAAACGCATAAGCTTCAACTTTTATGTGTGCTAATTCACCTATACAAAAGCTTCTACTGTTCGTGTGACTCGGCCCTCTGAAATTTTGATTTGGGAACCTCGAGTTGACTCTCCAGCATCTCGTGTCCCAGATTGAGTAGGGATAATAGCAAATACCCGCGGTTGTCATGGTAGACAATTGAGAAACGAGCTTCTTAGTAGCGAAAGTGTTGCTAAATCAACATTTTAACATCTCGTTGACGGTATGCTTCATGCTAAATAACTACCTCACTTGTTGTGCCCGCTGTATGTAGCCACTCTCTTTAACTCAGTCAGCTGTAGCCGATAGAGTGTCATAGTAACGGATGGGTACCATGTACGTTGGCAGATATAATAATAAAGATAAACAGTGATACACATCAGCGTTTTTACTCATTTGTGTCACAATCTTCGAATTCTTTGCCCTCAGTTGCCAGAAAACATGATAGAGCACTGACTTTATGTATTTCGTTCCCTGACGATGTTAGATAATGGCCTGCCTTGTCCATCTGCCTGGGTACCAGGTGCCAATTCCCTCGGGTGCGTATATGCAGTACTAGGCACATGTAGTTTATTAAGTACAACACCCTACATAAGCATGATGGTCTTCTAAGGGCAAACGGACGCATCATATCACTCCTTCGGTTATGCACAGAAATCTCCGTTCAACAAAAGCCAACTACATGTGTTCAGGCCTACAGGGTAAGAAGAGACAAAGCTTCCAGAACAGCCTATACATACGGATCTGAACACATATAGACGAGATAGGCGATACAGGCGAATTACACCTTCGTTAAGCTGTGTCTACATATGGAGACAAAGCGATGCGTTGAAGCATCCAGCTGTATGAGGCAATAAAAACTAACATGGCGTCAATAAACATGAGATCTCTGACCTTGATCATTTAAGAAGAGAACATGTATATCTCCGGCCTTCACAGATCGGAGCGGCACACCAATTGTGCCAATCCACCCAACAAAGAGTTTTAACAATAGTCACCGAAAGAGCAATATCAAAAGATGGACTTGAACAGAATTAAACAACTCTCTGGGGAATATAAGCGGGAGAATGGCTTGTCACTGGCTACACGCGCGGTTCATGCGGATGCTAATGTCGACAGTCACTCTGCAGTGGCTCCCGCGCTGCACACAAGCACAACATATCGCTTTGCAGATGATCCGGAAGAACTTGTCCCGTTCAAAGATCTCGACCCTGAAAGGGCCCTCGGGTCTCATGCCTACGTTCGCTACACAAGCCCCAACATGGTTCGCTTTGAAGCCGTCTTGACTTCCATATTGGGTGGGCCAGCTCTCACTTACTCGTCTGGCTTGGCGGCTTTTCACGCAATTCTCGTCCTCTTAAATCCTCGTCGCATTGCTATTGGTGGGGGATACCATGGCTGTCATGGTGTTATCAAAATGGTCTCTCGTATGACTGGTCTAGAGACGTTACCTCTCGACTGCGATGCCTCTCAGTTGCAACCTGGCGATATAATTCATGTCGAGACACCACTTAATCCGACTGGAGAGGCTATTAATCTACAACATTATGCTGACAAGGCACATAAGGCGGGGGCATTTTTGACTATTGATGCTACTTTTGGGCCTCCACCGCTCCAGAATCCATTTGGCTTTGGCGCGGATATTGTTCTTCACAGCGGCACCAAGTATTTTGGAGGGCATTCTGATATGTTGTGCGGTATCTTGGCTGTGAATCCCAAGCACGACTTTCTTTTAAAGCTGCATAGTGATCGCGTCTATCTGGGCTCAGTCGAAGGCAACATGGAGAGTTGGCTTGGAATGCGATCTCTGCGGACTCTTGAGCTTCGAGTTACAAGACAAAGTGCTACTGCAACAGCACTAGTAACTTGGCTTCATAATCAGCTTCAAGATTCATCCACTGCTGCGCATCGAGTGGTTGAACAAGTTCATCATGCAAGTTTACAGGCTGAGGCAACGAAGGAGGATAGCTGGCTGCGGAAACAGATGCCCAATGGCTATGGTCCTATTTTCTCTATTACCCTAAAGGATGCGAATTTAGCAAAACGTCTGCCAAGCAAACTTCGTCTGTTTCAGCATGCGACGAGTCTTGGGGGTGTTGAAAGTCTGATAGAATGGCGAGCCATGACGAACACTAGCATTGACCAGAGGCTGGTTAGACTGAGCATTGGCGTTGAAGCGTTGGAGGATCTGACATGGGATTTGCAGCAGGGGCTGGAGGCACTTGGCAAGGAGACGCTGCCGGAGAAACAATATTCAGATACAATATAGCATTTCTATTACCCATGTGAATATCATGTATCAAGTTTGGAAAAGTTGGTTGAATTGCGTCATGTCATTTTCAATGTCTCGACGGTCAAAGTTTCGCTACACGTAGGAGGCAGTGCCATTGCTGATGTTAGCGCAGCTTCCAAAACCTGTCAAAACATCCATTAAGGTACGACTAACAAACAATCAAGACAATCTTGCCACGTCTAAACCTTTTCATCATTTATCTAATCTGACAGGTTCGTCATCCACTGGAATCGTACCATTCCAATTGTGTTCGCTCACTAAGCAGACTCACTAAGCAGAGGAAAATCGCTTCAACTGCCGAGCGGAAACTTCCGACCCAGTTCAGTTGCGTGTCGTCATGCCGGGATTTTCCCCAGACCGTATTTGGGCAGTTGATGTTGATCAGCTTGGTTTCAATTTTGTCTCAACATTTTGCAAGGTGCTGGACATTAGAAATCAATTATACCAATAACGGTAGTTGTATTAGATTTTAGTCGGGCGAAACTAGGAAATGAAGAGTAGTTTTTTTCATCGCCGCAAAATACATGCATCTACCAGGGCGGAATGCATATGTTGGCCACAACAGAAATACAGCATGCAAAGTACGGACATGGAGTACTGGAACAAGGAAGAAGAAAACGCCCTGATAATAGCAGAAATAAAGAGTTATGGCCAACTGAAACTGCAGCATGTCAATTTCAATCCATTCTAAACTCCGACCAGCTCCCTTTTCAAGTTTCGGAAATGCAAGCCCTTTTCCAGAAGCAAATTGGTAAACAAACAGGTGTCGCAAAAGTTGCTCTCAAGCTGGGCGCCCGGAGGGATTCGATCTCCATTCTAGCCGAAGTCAATCGAATGACGGCGCTTCCAGCGGGTCAAGCGCGCCCAATCGGCCGATCCAAGCGATGCATGCGACTGGAGCGGACCACTGATGGAGCCTCGGGATTTGCTAAGGTTTGGGGGCTTCCTGTAGGCGTCGCTGACTATTGCATGGGAACTTCCGCCATGATGTAAGGGGGTTGATGATGATGAAAACAGGATGAGATGGTGAAACATCAGGTATATAAGTCTTGGATGAGGAGCTGTGAAACCAATTTGCATCATTCAGACAAACAACAAACAACAGCATCCAACACATACAGCATTTCAAACCAGCTACATTCACATAAATCTATTAATTAATTGAACAACAACAACCACTTACACCAACAACTATCTCTGCACCAACTCACAACAACCACAATGACTACCTTCACCGTCTACACTGGAGCCAAAGACGGACATGTCAAGTCCAACAATGCGACCAAGCCTGAGCAGCTCACTGGCGACCAGGTATTTTTGCGAATTACTGCCTCAGGAATGTGTTTCACCGATGTACACTATGTAAGTGACTTCAACTCCAGATGCAAGGCTTCAATCCCCAACAAATACTAACACAATTGCTTCTAGAAACATGGTGAGAACGCTTTAGGTCACGAAGGTGTTGGCGTTGTTGAGGAGACCGGCCCCGGAGTCACCTACCTCAAGAAGGGTGACCGAGTAGGCTGGGGATACCAGACCGACAACTGTGGCCACTGTCTCGACTGTCTTCAGGGCCAGGATATCTTCTGCAAAGAGCGTGTTATCTATGGTGACGCAGACGCCGTGAACCGAGGCAGCTTTGCTTCTCACGCTCTCGTGCGAGAGGCCTTCCTCCACCCCATTCCCGATGATATGAGCGACGAGGATGCCGCTCCTCTTCAGTGTGCCGGTGCTACAGTCTTCACTACTCTGCACGATGTCAACTCCAACGACACTGTCGGTATCATGGGCGTCGGTGGCCTTGGCCACATTGCTATCCAGTTTGCAGCCAAGCTTGGTTGCCGCGTTGTCGTCCTTTCCGGTTCCGATAGGAAGAAGGACGACGCTGCCAAGCTCGGCGCTCACAGATTCGTCGCCATGAACGGTGACATTGATCAGCAGCTCGGCGACTGGAAGATCTCGCGCCTCTTGGTGACCACTTCCGCTCAGCCTTCGTGGGACAAGATCCTGCCTATGCTCTCCACTCGCGCCCGCATCTATCCTCTTTCTGTCTCTTCCGACAACCTGGAAATTCCTTACATGCCCCTCATCATGAGCGGCATCACCATCCACGGCTCTCTTGTCGCTTCTCGGGCTATCCATCGCAAGATGTTGGAGTTTGCTGCCCTGCACAAGATCAAGCCTGTCATTGAGAGGTTCGAGATGTCGGAAGAGGGTATTAACAAGGCATTTGAGCGCCTTGAGGCAGGCAAGGTGCAATACAGAGTTGTTCTACTGCCCACTCAGTAATAAACTGAAGGGTGGTGATTAAAAAAAAGATGCATAGCGAAAGGCAAAGCGGCAGTGATTTCATAGTCTTTACTTTCAAATTTGATAGATGGGATAGAGAAAAATAACATTCGGTTTCATTTAATTATTGCATTACTTGCTCTAATGTTTATGGCATCTTTGATTACTCATTAGCTGTAAGTACTCTGGATTGTATGATTGTGTGATTGCATGGGTGAGCAGTAACTTATCAACGTGTGTGTCCCGAAATCTTCATAGGTTATCATGCAACATGCACGCTTCATCGCCTTGCTTCGTCATTATGATGTATTAAACTTTGGCCACAGCTTTTGGAAATACATATACCATGCAAACAGTAAGCTTACTGACAGAGAAGCCAACTACATGTACCCAGGAAGTTGTCTGAGGCCGACTTGAACAGTGCATGAGTATTACATTATCGAAAACATATGACGGATCAACTCATATAAGTAAAGACATTCTATGCTATGCCTCCATTGCTATGCTACGCCTCCAATGCTTATAATCTACTCATCTATCAACCCCAAAGATCATCTCACACGTCGAAAAAAGGAATCAGTCCCGTCCTTGGATAACAATTAATGTACTCAAACGTCACCTCGCCCGGCTTTAAAGCCGAAACCTCGTGCCACGTGCGCATCTTGAACGTCTCCTTGCCAAACTGCTGAGAATGCGAATGCGCTCCGTGAAAGATTTTGTGGTGCGATTTGTGCTTGGAAGCCCACGCCTCAATGTCTTTCAACGATCGGAAGAAGCCACTGCTGCAAGTCTCGCGTCTTCGTCGCTCCGTTGTCACGACGAGGCCGAATTTGTCTGCTTTGGAGACACCATTGGAGCCACTGACATTTGTGGCGTTTGTGTCGTTCGAGCTGATCGAGCTATTAGAGGCATGCGCCTCGTGCGCTCCATCTGCTCCGTTAGTCTCGTGTACGCCGTTGGTGCCATGGGAACCATTCGTATTACCGACTCCGTTTGTGCTGTTCGTTCCATTTGTCGCATTTTCATTGCGTACGCCATTTGCACCATTAGTTCCATTCAGATAGCCAGCATAACTCTTGACAAGGCTTGTCAGTCCATTCACCACTGTGCTCCCAAAGCCGTTCAATGAAGCCAACTGTTGCGCCTCTTCTGCCTGAAGCAGCCGATTTGTAGTCATGTTCCGAGAGAATCGCAGCCCAATGTCGCCTGATTCCGCCGGATTTTCTTCCAGATAAGTCATCCCAGCTCTTAGTACTGGCTCAAGGGTGCTTTCGTATGCTTCTCTTTCATCGTCTTTGCACCGCTCCCAATATTGGCCAGACCGTATATGAAGGACAGACACCCTGTTTTCACCCTCAATGACACGACCTTTGCTATCTTTCTCAAAGTTTGGAGGACTGAGTTTATACTCTGGTTCGAAAGGATCGTGCGATGATGCTGGAAATCTATCGCGCGCTGCTCCCCAATAGCCGGTGAATTTGTGGCCGACTTGCTGTGCACCCTCCAGGGAAGCGATACCCGGCTGATAGTCGTTTCCAGAATATACTGTTTCGAATCTCTGTTTGGGAACTGTGAATGACTCCCTCCATAGGCCGACTACCTTTTGATCAGAGGAAGATAGAGTTTTATGAAGCAGCTGCAGGTTCAAGCTCTTGTTGGCAGCTTTAGCCACATCTTTATCAATCCAATAAAGAATGTATATTTCTGTGTCCGGAACATCACAACCAGCCTCCACGTATATCTTCTCCCATAAAACCGGTGACAGTTCTCCGGCTCCCTGTCGAATCCATTCTTCGACTTTCGCAACGGCCGTTCTCTGGGCGGCAGAAGTAACGTGAGCATTCAGTTCAGTATGCAGCCCCCTTGCAGGTTTCTCTTCATATCGGGGTTGAATCCCAATATAAGAAACATTTACATCGTGGACATGTTCAGGGAGCTCCACCATGTACCGAGGGAACTTGACTTGCCAGTTTTCAGGCTGGTTCAAGGGTAGTTCTCGGTTTTCCGTTTGTATCTGAGAGTGAGACATTGTACAGCGAGGTACGGGGTTATAAAGGCTTCCCGTGGCTTTTTCCTGGTCAGATACGAAAGGCTTATAACAGATAGAGGTCAGATAGCGCCTGGTGGCTTAAATGGATGTTATCTTTTCTCCAAATCGCCAGGGGGACCAAGCAGCTTGTAGTTATATGGCAACACTGAATACGGATCCAGACATAGAGCTACACTTAAATTACCACATGAGGAAATGCGGAGAAGAGGCGCTCGGTAATCTCGCCTCTATCCAAGCAACTGGGTCATCTAAAGCAAGCATTGTCCCAAAGAGTTTGCTGAAGGGCTCGGCGTTTACAGAGGAGCATTCAGGGTCTGCATCCACTCCGTACACGGAGGGAGATCTTACAGCCTCGGCAGCTTCGGCTATATCGTCTAAGCACGGCACACTCGCAAAGACATGGGAACTCCCCGCATTCCCCATTCTAATCCAGGTGCTTGAACGTCTCCAAAATTACCTAATGAACGCAAGCGCTGCGCGACTCCGCGACTCCGTAAGGCTGGGCTGACGCTTAGCTCGCTTCGCTCGAGCAAAACATCCTCGCCGTGACGGAAGGATTGGGAGGCGCAACGAATCAAGGAGCCCTTGTCTGAGCTGAGCTGAGCCTCTCAAACCATGAGCGAGATTAAGAGACGCACGCGCACTGGCTGCCTCACGTGTCGGGCCCGGCGCGTCAAGTGCGACGAGCGGAAGCCGGCCTGCAACCGCTGCACCATTGCCAATGTCGAGTGTGCGGGATACGCGCCCAAGCGGCACATCGACGTGCGCATGCCGCCGCGCGCGTCCCAGTCGCAGCAGAGCTCGCCGGCAGACGTCGAGGATGACGATGTCCGCTCAGACCGCCTTCACTCCTCGCCCCAGGGCCCTCCGGGTTCCACCCCGTCCGGCCCGCCGTCCGGCCCGGCTTCCGCTCCGTCCACTCATCCCGCCGCCTGCATCCTGCCCCGGCCTCAGTTCCGCCATGATGGACTGCCCCTGGTTGGCCTGCCGAGCAACCCGCGGCTGTCACAGCGCCCCTGTGCTGCTGCCAGGGAGGTCCTGGCCTATCACCAGTTCTTCTTCCGGACGCTGCCGATGCTGTTCCCGGCTGACCACTTGCCGTTCTGGAGAGATCGCCTCTGTGACGAGGCCTGGTGTCTCGAGTATGCCCAAAGGGGGTTGCTGGCTCTAGGCTGTATGCATCGTGCCGCTCTCATGATATCCATGCTTGGTGAGAACGATCAGGCCCGCGGGCTGGACACCAAAGTCATTGCCGTCCAGGGATACACCCAGGCACTGCAGGAATTGTCAAGTCAGCTAGAAGAAGCCGAGAAACAATTAGAGGTGCTATCAGCCGTCTTAGTTCTCATGGCCTACTTTGAGGTATGTAAAATGGTGTTTGGACTGAAAGCTCGGCCGGAAAGGGCCAGTGCATCAACTTATCTAATACGCGGGTTTAATAACATGACTATAGTGCTTTGCAAGCAACATTCCTGCGGCATACAGCCATGTCTGCACCGCCAACTATTACTTTACAGCCCTCAAGTCTAATACACCAGCCCATGTCGATGACCTTGTACTCGACTCTCTAAGAACTGCCCTGCAAACTCTCACGTGGACCTGTTACATGGCAGTGCCACTTCCCGGCATGCTGCTCTCTGTTGGCCGTACGACGACTACAGGGTACATTGCACAAAGCCCTTCCTTTCTGCAGCGTAGCTTGCTACAGATTCTAATTGACTCTGGAGTTCATGACGAGATATGGACTCTTACGCCGGTGCGCCAAGAGCCATCTGTATTGTTAGAAAAGGTCTACCGGCTACAGCGTAATCTACGGGAATGGAAGGATGTACACGGTCATCTTCATCCCAATTTGGAGGCAGATACGGCAACCCTGGCCAGTCTCGAGAGTTCAGAAGAATACCATTTCCCTATCCCCCCGTCTCCCTTTTTGGCGTTGCCGCCAAATCTCTGCCTTTCTGGGGCAATGTACAACTTCCTCATGGCACGCATAATGTGGACTCTCTGCCTCTATGACAAAAGCCAAGACGCAAAGAAGATGGAATCCGAGGCTTACATATACTTTTACCAAACCATGCGGTTTGCAGCAACCCACACGGCGAATAATAGTTTAAGGACGCTGCCCAATGGCACATATACTACAGATGCGCCTGTTGCTAGCGAGGAGATGGACAAGAGTTTCTTGCCTATCCTCTACATCACAGGCCAGTGCAGTCCACAGCCATCTTGGCTCCGCTGGATTGCGCAGCTGATGAAGCAGATTGGAGAACAAGGACTCTTCAACGGCTTCGTGCTGTCCGCTAGCCTCAAAGTTCTGCATAAAATGGAACTTAGCCATAACCTGTTGTCGACTGATAGGATCGAGCGGTATCCCAACCCGGCGCTGCGGATCATCTCGATGCTAATCCCAGAGACAAACGCTCAGGGCTTTGTGTGTTATTATGCTAAGCCCTCTCGATTCAACAGCGGTTGGATCAACCGGGATACCCTTACCTATTATCCCATTGCTCATGCGCGCTTCTCTCCCGAGTTGGATGAGGATAGTGTAGCGAAGCGAGAGATTGAGGTGTACGATGAGCAACGGTCAATGGAGGAGCAATTCACGTCTGAGTGGATTCTCAGTCGTCCAGTCGCGAGCAGCTGGCAAACTCGCTCTTCGGAGACGAGATTTAACCTTAATCACGTTCTTCGTGATCATATTAATGGCGGTCGCTTATTGCACATGAATCAGCAGACACCGGGCGGGACCGTGATGAGATATTAAAGATAAAAAGTACAGGTACTTAAAGAATTAAAGAAAGTAGAATATATAGGCGAAAGTGTAAGTCGTATTTATTTCAGGCTCGGCGGATTGTTGGCAATACGTTCAATGTTAGACTACCTAAATGTAACTTGAGCTGCGTCACGTTAGAAGACAACTCATGGCTACTATGTACCTAAACATAATTAAGCAGTTCTTCTTCTTCCTTCTTCTCTCATTTTTGCGCGATAATGGCTGCCTGATTTGAATATCCACGTGCTCCTATTCAATATATCGAATACGCAGTTAATTCTTGGAAGTTGATTGTCTCCTTGAAGAATTGCATTGTGAAGTCATTCACATCTTTGGTCTGCTCGCTGTCGACTACTGTTTGGGGAATAGCCTTCTGCTGTGGACGGCTATTGGCTACAATCCCGTCCCTTTGATTTGGCTAGTGTCGATATTCAACTCCCGTATAAAAGCTCTATTTAGAGAGAATGCATCATCGCTACATTCGCTAATCTCACCTAGATCTGAAGCATTAAGTGTTGCTGCTTTATCTCGTACAAGTAATCTTCAATGTAGATGGTGCCTTGATTATGGAACTTTTGTTCGTGGCCTGCACTGAGGGCGAGGAGGTTATACGTTATATCCGACTGAGAAACTTTAGTCTGAGACCAGTAATGATCGCCAAAGCCTTTTATTTAACAATATAGTAATATTTCAATACTTACACTGGTAGTTCTTGCTTATGTCCGTAGTAGAAGTGTGTGGGAGCCTGGTACCACCTGGTACGGTGTAAAAAACTTGCAACTACGCAGGCACGGTATATTTTTGCGCCACGGTGCCGGTATTGGGTACTGTGCCGGTATAGTGCCAGGATGGTGCCGGCACGGTGGGAAATGGGTGCTAAGGAGGTGCCATAGAGGTGCCGCGAGGTGCCGCGGAGGTGCTATACAGCCAACGCAGCCACAAAAAAGAAACTTATCCTCGCCCTTCTCTACCTTTTTATACAGCGTATTTTACTTATATCAAAATTTCACAAGTGCAGGGAATTGAACAGAGGTTGAAAAATTAATGTATTATGCTATTTAGACTACTTGACTATTTCTTTATATACGTAGGTAAGGTGTCTTGTGCACTCTTGCCTTATATACCGGTGTCGTGCGTTAGGAACGCTGGAACGCTTACACCGCGTGGCACCTCATGGCACCTCCTTGGCACCTTGCGGCACCAATAGGGCACTGTACCGGCACCGTACTAGATTACGGCACCGTACAGGTACCGCGGTATATGACCTACAGTGCCGCTACGGTGCCGGCACCTATTACACCGTGCCGGCATGGTACCAGACCCCTACTATCTTCTACTACGGGTATCAATAGATTGTTGCCAGTGAATCGTTGTTTATGAGACCTGCGTAAGGTTTGCTGTTTCGAACGTCATCTTCTATCCAGCTACTCTCTCTCAAATTGAAGAATCTTTCGGCTGATCAATGGGAGTGCCTATGTATGGTAGTAATAAGAGATCAAAAGAGTAGTAGCTGGCATAGGTAATGATGGTGTACTAAGTGCCAATGCCGAACCAATCGGCGAAGATCTTTTAACGAATGGTCAACTAAGGTGCCAATGGGTAGTTTTAGAAAGGAGCAGCATCAAAGAAGTCTACTATTGGACATATGGGGCCCATCATTACGCCCAATACGAGAACATGGGAAAGTATTGCATCGGCCGAAGCAAGTTGTACTCTTCTACATCCACTCAATAGACTTGGTCTCATTGTGGAGCTGCTACTATTATCCAAAGTCCTCGAATAGAAGCAGCTCAGAGATGTCTTGGTGATTGAACGAACACGTTTAACTACATTGGGGGTGTATAGTTCTGCCTGCATATCTATATCCAATTTAACATGACAAGAATGGAATATGACTTCTCGTTGCAGAGCTTGACACAAGTTACACAACAGCATATGGCTATAGCTAAGTGTCCAATTCTAAGGTATTCAGCATATTTCCGCAATAGCCTTTCCGGAAGTTGGTAGAACGAGAACAATTATATTCAATTGATCGACTGGGATGTTTCTTCAGGGTTCCATACACTGCGTTGCTGCCTGGAACTGTTGCATCATCTGGCATCGGGCGTATTTCGTATGTACGAATCATCAGGCCATTTACATGTAACCGACGTAACTGCCGTGAAAATATACATCTCGATTACTATCTTGAAAACATTATGAGGCTGCCGGCACTTGAACGGATGGCCAGGGCTTACGAAATGTTATGTGAGCGTGAACAAGTACATGAGCGCTTCGAATTGCACGAAACAGGTAAAGCCTCGCCGTCTGTTCCTGAAGATGGACTAGCCTCATCCCCGGCGAAGTCGGCCGAGGCGAGCTTTGCCACATTTGCTAACAACCAGCGAATATTGAGCCACACGAGCCAATGGCTTGAAGATGATTGAGCAGCCACATGGTTGAGCCGGATGGCGCAGGTACGTCACCGGCATCACTTACACGGAATGACCCTCGGCCGAAGCGACAGACAATGATATTGCGAGCCTCATTTGGATGATGATCATGTATAAAAGGACGGAAAGCTGCTCGCTAGTCAAAGACTTTGGAATCAAAAAACCGTTCAGATCATCTTATCTGTATTTCCTTCTCTTACAAAGAAAGACTTACAACCTACTTGAACCATGAGTTCTACATCGTACGCCGTGTCAGGCCGCCAGAATGGTATGTAGAGCGGATGCATCATTATATCTCCAACTTTATGCAATTAATACTAATGACTTGCACAGGTGACTTGCACCTAAACTATATCGAAGATCGCAACACTGCATCTCAGCAAACTGTGTACACAGCTAGCAATGGAGCGCCAATTCCTCATCCTTTCGGTATGTGTTGCTCTACACGCACATATCTCACTATCAATTACCATGAATTATCAGCATGTACTAATGATCATCTGCAGAAACTCAACGTGCTGGAGAGAATGGCCCTCTGCTGCTTCAGGATTTTCACCTGATTGATCTTCTCTCACACTTTGACCGAGAGAGAATCCCGGAGAGAGTTGTCCACGCAAAGGGCGGTGGTGCCCACGGTTACTACAAAACCACCAACCCGCTCGATGATCTTTGCCTTGCAGATATTTTTTCTGCTGAAGGAAAGGAGTGCCCCATCACCATTCGATTTTCAACTGTCGGTGGCGAAAGCGGCTCTCACGACCATGCTCGAGATCCTCGAGGCTTCTCTATCAAATTTCGCACCGAGGAGGGTAACTGGGATCTTGTTCAAAATAACACACCTGTCTTTTTCATTCGAGATCCTGCCAAGTTTCCTCACTTGATTCACACCCAGAAGCGACACCCCGCAAGTCACCTCGGTAGTGGCGATGATTCTACCAACTTTTGGGAATACTTCTGTCAGAACCCCGAATCTGTCCACCAAGTCATGTATACCTTTGGCGATCGTGGTATTCCTGAGAGCTGGCGCCGTATGCATGGATATAGCGGCCACACCTTTAAGTTCGTCAATAAGCAAGGTTCATGGGTGTACTGCCAGATCCACATCCGCTCGAAGCAGGGCGCCGGATTCCTGACTCAGGAAGAATCGACGAAGCGGTCTCCAGATGCCAACCAGAAGGATCTCTACCAAGCCATTGAGCGGGGCGAATATCCTCAGTGGGATCTCTGTGTGCAGACCATGACACCAAAGCAAGCTGAGGAGCTGTGGGAGACCCAGAAGATCAACGTCTTCGATCTTACTCACTGTTGGCCCCAAGCTCAGTTCCCTCTCCGCAAGGTTGGAGAGCTTTGCTTGAATGAGAACGTGAAGAACTACTTTGCCGAGATTGAGCAAGTTGCATTCAGCCCATCTCATCTTGTTCCTGGTAAGTCAATGTTTCCCGTAACATAAAGGTGATATCACATGAGAAAAATACTAATAGTAAATCAATTTAGGAATTGAGCCCTCTGCCGACCCTGTCCTTCAGAGCCGCTTGTTCTCATATCCCGACACTCAGCGTCATCGTCTTGGACCAAACTACCAACAACTTCCTGTCAATGCGCCTCGCACAGGCTATCACATGGCCAACTTCCAGCGAGATGGCGCCATGGCCTTCTATAACCAGGGCTCAAGGCCAAACTATTTCTCATCCATCGAGCCTATTTCCTTCAAGGAGCGCAAGACGAATCTGGATCAGACTCATGGTGCTTTCGTCGGCAGGGCTATTACTTTCCTGTCCGAGATCAGACCAGAGGATTTCAACCAACCTCGCGCCCTTTGGGAGAGAGTTTTTGATGATGCCGCCAAGGAGCGATTCATTAACAATATGGCCGGACACATGAGCACTTGCACTGAGAAAGAAATCATTAGACGCCAAATTGGTATCTTCCGCGAAGTATCGGATGATCTGGCCACCAGACTGGAGAAGGCTACGGGAATCAAGGGATATCCTGGCATTAGTGAGCTTGTTTTCAACGGCTGCCACAACGGATTGGCAAAAAATAGCGCTCTTCGAGCTGCGAACGGCCAAAGGAGCCCTCACTTTAACAGCAGCAATGGAGCGCCGTCGGCTGGAACTCACGCTTAAAGATGTGAGGAAGTGCCAATCGCACCAGATGGACTCTGGCGAATCCTCGTTTGTGCGTCGCCTGAATGATAAGTTGTATTAGCGGTTCATATGTATAGATAGTGATGAGAGAAATTGAGATTACTTTTTCGCAGAGGATCATTATGGCCCCCACCGCAACCAACAGTGTTGTCCCAACTGCTATCAACGGCATGACTCATGTTTACACCCTCTTTTACATCCCCTTGTCTATTGCCTAATCATTGATAGAGTTGCCGACATTGTCTCCGAGAGATGCTGCCGCTGCCGCTTGCTCGCGCAGCAGCTTTGCTTGCCCCGGACATCAAACTCGTATACAACCCACTTCGATATGCATTTCAGCCATTAATATCTCATGTAACATCTTACAGAAAGCTTAGTAATGATCACAAAAAGTGCATGTACTTAAGCTCTACCAACCCCCGTCTACGCAAGCAGCACTGGAGCTTTGTTTCCCCCATCTTACACACTTACACTTATTCAACTCAAGGATATATGTTACTTGCCCGCCATGGGAGCACCGTCAACAGATCCAGGATTTCCCCAATTTTCCCTCTTACCTTCAGAGATACGTTTAAAGATTTGGTATTATTGCCTTCCTCGTCGAATTGTCCAGAGGGATGACCCCTTTTATCTTGTGGAAGTCCGCGAAGAGCAAAAATGCTGGTCGATACGTCCGACTTGTCATAATGCCGCCCTACCACTCATTGCCTCAGTCTGTCGCGAATCAAGACACGTTGTCAGGAAATGGGGCAAATTAATTACGCAAGACTTTCGATTAAATATAGGACCGATATGGATCCAACCTCGTCTAGATCGCTATAATCTCAATTGCGATATTCGCTATATTTGGGACGATGAGGATTATTTGGAAACAATGTATCACTTTATTGACGAGGGACTCTATCGATTGGATGTGATGCCAGTTTCTCTAAGAGCCGAATACTTTTACCCATTCGCCCTAGAGCCACAAAAGGACCCTTTTGAGAAATGTCCGATTCTTGAGATCCATGGGGGGCCACTCAACGGGTACAGCCCCGACGACCCTTATGATGAATTTGCATCTTATATAGAGAGGCCGTATACAGGAGTCTCCGAGTCTGCTACTTTAGCTTTCATCTGTATTCATGCTACGAAAGAGCAGGCCGTGGGCTCTGGCCTATTTGGAATACTTCTCGATGCCCCGGTGCAGCTCGTTGATTTTGACGATAATGAGCGGCTAGAACAGTTCTACTCCCTCTTTCAAAAAGGCTGTTGCAATGACAAGCGACCGGAAGTATCCAAGCAATTCGCATCCATCCTTGCCTCTGGATTTCGTTATCATGTGGAAAGCTGGAGAGAAAAGGTCGACTGGCTTATGATGGCTAATGCATGGCGGCGTACGAATAAACGCTTCTGGAACTCCATTCCAATCGATGGAGATCCGGCTTTGATCTGGAATCCGCCTCTACAGGAAGATCAAACCCATATCTACATGAATAGCATACATGATGTCCAAGGACACACATTCGACATTCGTCATCCTTGGGTGATACAAGCAAAGAAGGAGTTGCCAAGAGTGACACCAAAAATCCAGTTCCTTCTTTGCACAGACGACTGTGATGTAAACGGAAACGTCGGCATGGTACGCGATATACCGCTACCGTTGAATCGTCGAAGCGACTGGTTTGACAATCTCTTGTATGCGGAACTTGCAGAACTTTCGTGAAATATCAATGTATAAGACTAGAGGCTTTATTAAATACACAAGAAGCTCTTTTGGGGTGATGAATCACGCAATAAAAGCAAGTTGGGTATCCGTGAAAGAGTTAAGAAATTACACGTAGATAGAGTGACTTACCATCCAAACACCCCTACAATTGCCACATTCAATATCGCGAATAGGGTCGTTAGCCCGAAGGACGTAGCCGGTAACCAGAGGGTAAAACACAACACCCCACACAGAAACGCCAGTATGCCTGCTGTGGAAACTTTGGATGTGCGATCGCCTATCAAGCCAATTATCGGTCTACCTAAGGTTGTTCCGAGATCCAGAAAGCCCATAATACCCGTTGCTTGATTGCTTGATAACCCAACGGCAAGAGAAAAGTCGGACAAGGAGAAAAGTAGGGCTATGTTCGCAAAAGTCCAAAGAAGAAGAAGCAAGACTTTCGCGTGGCGGAGGGGGGTAAAGTCAAAATCGACTTGTGTTGGATGTACCTCGTTGTTTCTATCTCGCTGTAAGAGAGTCATAATAACAATGGCTGGTAGGGATACAAGACTGGTGGTGCGGAGAGTCCATCTTAGTCCTTGGTGTTGAATTGGTTCTACACGAGAATGCGACTCCTTTAACTCCAGAGCCAGCAGAGCTCATTCCATTGGCGATGGCGCAGCGTGCCTTAGGATGAACGTCCTTCTGCTCGCACTACGCTGCTTTGCGTAATTTTTTTATCGATTTGTCGTTGCTACTGGCCCTTTGGAGGTTGCTGATATACACTCAATGACGGAGGTTGCCCATACTTATTTGCGGCTCCAAAGATATTAAATGTCAAGTTGCTTCCAAGAAAGAGGGCTCTCACGAACGCGAACTAAACTTAAAAAATGCACGGAGATTTGCGGAGATGAAATTAACCCAGCTTAATAGGGATGGTGGTGTGCATTATAAAATCACTCTAGCCATGAAGAGCTCCTCACAAGGCTACCAACCAGCTTCGAGATACAAGGTACTCCGCAGATGCAGAACTGCGTTTGATAGTATATGAAAAGCAAATGATTGGCTGCTGATGCGTGTATTATGGCGAACCCAAATTCACGCGTTGACACGTTACGGCTGAATTACTGCCTAAGATGCCCCCGCGTCCAACGCGTCCAACTTGACGATTTTTTTTAACTGCACATATTCTTATTTTTCTCAGAGAGCCCAAGATAATTCAAGCATTGATAATCTCAAGGAAGAGGTCCGCTGATCCTTCAAGATGCCTTTCGAAGCGGCCTTGAGACCTAAAGGTCATCACGAGTATACCGTGGGGTGGATTTGCGCTCTACCAAAAGAGCAGACTGCAGCTATCGCCATGCTAGATCACAGGCATGCAGACTTTCAGAAACCACTGAATGATCCTAACAACTATACGTTGGGGTCAATAAATGGCCATGGTATTGTCATAGCCTGTCTACCCAAAGGTATAACAGGAACAACTTCAGCAGCGACTGTTGCAGCCTGGATGGTTAACAGTTTTCCATCCATCAAGGTCGGTCTTTTAGTCGGTATTGGTGGCGGCGTTCCGCCAAAAGTGAGACTTGGTGATGTCGTTGTCAGTACACCTATTGGCCGGTTCCCTGGTGTAGTTCAATGGGACTTTGGCAAGGCAAAAGAAGGTGGCAAATTTGAACGAACTGGCTCGTTGAATAATCCTCCAACGCCGCTATTGACAGCCCTGACGAGATTGGAAACAGAGCATGAGTTGAATGGATCCAAGATACCAGAGTATCTAGACCAACTTAAGGAGAGGTGGCCACGCCTAGCATCAAAATACTTGAGGTCCGATCATCATGAAGATCTCTTATTTAGATCAGATTATCAACATGTCAGTGAGAACACAAATTACACAAATTTCTCTGGCCTCGAAGACAGTACGGAGGAAGGAAATTGCGAATTCTGCGACAGAAGTCAACTTATCAAAAAGAAGCCCAGAGATATACGCGTGCATTATGGCTTAATTGCATCTGGTAACCAAGCTATTAAAGACGCGACCCTCAGAAACAAATTAAATAAAGATCTTAACAGTCAAGTCCTTTGCATCGAAATGGAAGCGGCGGGACTAATGAACAACTTCCCTTGCATCATCATCCGAGGCATCTGCGATTATGCTGACTCACATAAGAACAATGCCTGGCAGGAGCATGCTGCAGCTGTGGCTGCAGCTTTTGCAAAAGAGCTTCTAGGCTATATACAAACATCTGAAATCGAAAGACAGTGCCCAGCGAAGGACATACTTGAGAAAGGTTAGCAATTTATGTCTTAAAATTGTATCATTTCTCACATCTGATATAGTTCTTGGTACCATATCCGAAGTTGAAAAGAACACTTCGCATACGAGAACTAAACTGGAGGGGATTGAAAACACCAAGATTCTCGATTGGTTAACACCAACAGATTATGGCCTACAGCAAAGTGATTATTTCCAGAGATCTCAAACAGGAACCGGGCGATGGCTCCTGGATTCTATGAAGTTCCAGAGTTGGGTGGCTGGACGCAACCAAACTTTATTCTGTCCAGGTATGCCTGGAGCGGGGAAAACCATCTTAACATCAATCGTGGTTGATTATCTTGTTTCGAAATTTCGCCACGGGGATGTCGGCATCGCATATATCTACTGCAACTTCCATCGGCACCATGAACAGAGCACTGGCGATTTACTAGCGAGCATACTAAAACAGCTTGCCGAGACCCAGCCTTTACTTCCAGAAAGTGTTACAGATCTCTATAATAGCCACCAAAGCAGGCGAACGCGGCCGTCGGTTGACGAACTGTACAAAACTCTTCAGTCCATCATAGCTTCATATTCAAGAGTCTTTATCATTATTGATGCCCTGGATGAATGCCAAACTTCGAACAATAGCCGCATCAAATTCCTCTTTAAGCTCTTCGACATTCAAGGTGAAAGCCACATAAATATATTCGCAACCTCGAGACCTATTCCGGAGGTTCAGGAGAAATTCAAAGAAAGTGCAGTGATCGAGGTCCGTGCTCACACCGACGACGTGAAAAATTCTTTAGAAAGTCAAATATCGCAATCAGATTCGGAATTTTTGAACATTTGCCGGGAAGATATTAAAACGAAGATCACAGAGGCGGCTGAGGGGATGTAAGTGTTAACGTCTGGCTGTACACGGGGCGATAATTGACGATCAGCTAGGTTCCTTCTCGCGCAGCTTTACTTTAATATCATTAAAGATAAAAGAACGCAAAAGAAGATAAAAGATACATTGAAAGAATTGCCTATCGGACGTAATACATACGATTATACTTATGAGGAAGCGATGAAACGGATAATAAGCCAAGCCCCAGACACTACCGAGCTAGCCCGGGTGGTTCTCTCATGGATAGTCTGCGCCAAAAGGCCTCTTAAAGCGTTAGAACTTCAACATGCGCTTGCTGTCGAGCCCAAAAAGTACCGCATTGATGAAGAGAATCTTTTACCGATTGGAGATATGGCCTCTATTTGCGCCGGGCTAGTAACAATCGAGGGAAACAGCGGCACAGTTCGTCTAATTCACTATACTACGCATGAATACCTTGAACGGACAATGGAACGATGGCTCCCAGATGCAGAATCTGTAATTACGACTATATGCACAACGTATCTGTTATTGGACGACTTTAAAACCGGGCCTTGCAAACCGTGTGGCGAGTACTCCCATAATGGAATTGCCTACAAAACAGACTGCAAATATCAGAAGCGATTGCAATCTTTTCCTTTCTATAACTATGCTGCAAATCACTGGGGACACCATGCACGTGGATGTTCGAAATTAGATGAGGAAGTTATCAACTTCTTGAAGCGCAAATCAAACGTGGAGGCATCAGCTCAAGTACTGCTTGGGGAACCAACATATGACTCTTGCTCTAACTTTCCACGAGAAGTGACCGGGCTACACTTGGCATCATATTTCGGGGCTGTTGAAGCCGTAAATTGTATGTTACCATACGAGGAGTATACAAATGTGAAGGATAGTCATGACGCAACGCCATTCCAATATGCCGCCATGAATGGGCATGCGGACATTTTTTTGCTGTTACTTAAAGCTAACAAGCTTAATTCTCGTTTTGGCTTTGATTTCCTTAAAAAATCACTCTCATATGCCGCTAAAAACGGACATGAAAATGTTGTTCAACTATTACTTGGCTTCAGACGGGTTGATCCTGATTCCAAGGATGAATATCGCAGATCAGCGCTTTCGTATGCCGTTGAGCATGGACATGAAAGTATTGTCAAGCTTTTACTTTCAACCGGCAGAGTTGATCCTGGTTCCAGGGATAAATACGGTAAACAGCCACTTTTATATGCTGCTATAAAGGGTTATGAAGGCATTGTCAAGCTGTTGCTTGCAACTGGGAAGGTTGATCCTGATTCCAGGGATAATAGCTACCAAACTCCGCTTTTATCTGCCGCTGCGAATGGACACGAAGGCATTGTCAAGCTGTTGCTTGCAACTGGCAAAGTTAATCCTAATTCTCATAATGAATGCTGCACATCCGCGCTTTCATATGCCGCTGAGAATGGACACGAAGGCATTGTCAAGTTGCTGCTTGTAACTGGGAAGGTTGATCTTGATTCCAGAGATACATATGGTGATCGGCCGCTTTTAAATGCGGCTCGATATGGACACGAAGATATTGTTAAGCTTCTCCTTGCAACTGGCAAGATTAATCCTGATTCTCATGACGGATGTTACAGGTCGGCGCTTTCATATGCCGCTGAGAAGGGACACGAAGGCATTGTCAAGCTGTTGCTTGCAACCGGCAAGGTTGATCCTGATTCCAGAGATGAATACGGTAAACAGCCACTTTCATATGCTACTAAGTGGCAGCCGGACGGTATTGCCAAGCTGCTACTTGCAACTGGCAAGGTTGATCCTAATTTTATGGGAAAGCATGGGACTCACCTACATCATGCAGTTTATTGCGGCCGTGGAGATATTGTAGAGCTGCTGCTTGCAACAGGCAAGGTTGATCCCGACCAAAGAAGCGTTTCTGGCGAGACACCGCTATACATGGCCGCTGCAAGAGGCGATGCGAATATTGTCGAGCTATTGCTTGCAGCTGGCAAAGTTGACCTGGTCGCTCAGCATACTGCTGATGAGCATCTTGAAGACAACATAATATATCAGATTAAATATACGCCACTATCGATCGCTATTGCCAGAGCGGATGAGGCTATTTTCAGGCTATTTGTCACGGCAGATATCCCCAGCATCAATCTGATAGATGCAGATGGTAAATCGCCACTTACACATGCTGTAATACACCAGAACGAATATTTTGTAGAGTTCTTGCTTGCCAAAGACGCGACGAGCGTTAATGTGGCAGACAGAGAAGGCCGAACTCCGCTTTCACACGCTGCTGAGTGTGGAACTAGAAGAATCGCCAAGCTAATACTCGAAACCGGCAAAGTCGACAGAAATACGCTGGGGGATGCATATAATCGAACACCATTGTTTTATGCCGCCAAGAGTGGGCATAGAAATATTGTCAAGCTTTTTCTTGTGATAGGTATACCTATTGGCTATACCTATGGCTACGAACAAAAAAATTGCGACTCTGAGCAGCATCAAGACTCTTTGAAACGCCTGGTAAAGCGGCACATACGCGCAAACGGTCATTACTCTACACGGCTCAAACATAAGATAATACGAGGAAGATTGCTTACTAGGTGGCTACGACACCACGTGAAGCGTTTAAGCTACATTCGCAGCAGAAAGCGAATTCGTGACGGCAGCATGAAGAAGGCGCTTAGGCGTACAGGTAGGCGGCTGTTTAGACACGTCTGCGACAGCAAATGGCACAGATAACTTGAAATGATGGGATCATCGCGCAGGCGAGCAACAGGGTCATGACAGCCTAGTACTCTTGCGCATCGAGGCGATTATGGGTTGCTAGTCACCTGGGAGTCTTACAGTGGGAAAATGGAATGAAGAAAAAATGGTCTGTTGCTATGATCCACTGGACGGATGGGTAGTCGCCTGTTGAGCAGTCGAGGTATGTTCACCGCAACAGCATGAGAAAGTGACACATACATAATCCGTACAGATAGTCGGTTTTCAGAACAGATACAATGTAGCAAAGGAAGAAGATACGAGCTCTATAGACAAGACACTATTTAAGGATATAAACTTATATTAATAAATGGACCTATAGTTATCTGCTTAAATGCAGAGCTATGTAAATTCTCCGTGATTCTAGACGAGTTGAATTCCAGTTCATGTAATTAATCAAGCACACGCAGCGAGAACATAACGACAACGCCTTACCCAGACGCTCGGTTAGTAGCTGGGGAACACATGTTAACTCATACTACTATGCAACCAATACCAACTCAACAACAGAAACCTAACGTATCTGACCGTTATACATACCACTATATGAAATCAAATGAGGGTATTAGCTGATTAGATTGCAGCAGCTGAATACATGTACTACCCAAAAAGCTACCCACTGACCCAATTAGGTGTCATTTTGATACAGAAAATCCCACGTTGTCTTGCCTTGCGATCTATGTATCTTGGCCAGCTATTGCATAGCAGTAAGTCCTAGCTACTAGCCGGTCACAAGTTTAGTCAAACGCTTGATCAAATCATGCTAACACTCGTTGAGTTTGTGTGTTTAGATACATAGACAGGACCTATTGGAAAAGATTTGGGCCTTCAAGTGCGAGAATGAATGTACACATACGAGTACACAAACAGCTACTCGTATACCTTTAAGGCTTTTGTTAAACTTCTGCTTACAACCGGCGAAGTTGATATAAATTCATCTGACGAATGCAACTGAACTGCCTTGTCATATGCTGCCGAAAATGGCCACGAGGTTCTTGTTCAGTTACTTTTGAACGAGGGGCGAACACCAATACAAAGGATGTTAACGGGAGAACACTGTTGGCATGGGCAGATGAGAATAGGCACAAAGGCACCGCGCGTTCATTGCTTGACGCTGATTAGAGAATTGTATTAGGTGAATATTGAATGCATATATCATAACAAAGAGATGAACAGTGCTTAGGAACATCTAGAAGAGCCCTTAACAGGTATAAAGCAGCCTGGTAATGAAAATTTCGACTCAGGATCCAATAATCGCCCCATCTTCTCTTCTACGTTTATGTCTACATTTCTTAGTGCAACTATCTTGGGACCGAAAACAGGAAGAATGCGCGAGTTATTTGTCCAAGAATTTGTTATTCTACTCAACGAAGATGAGAACCTAAGATCCCTCATACTGGAGGCCGTTTCGAAGCAGGAGATTGGCCCCGGAAGGGCTCGAAACAACTTTCGAAAACTATTAAAGCACTTTGCTAGTGATCTCAGAGTCGAAGCAGTCAGCAATCATCACCAAGCGCTTGTTAGGTTTATAAATACGAATTCATCCAACCTTACACAAGAACTCTTCTCAGAATTTTCCAGCGATGATCAGAAAGCGGGAGATAAGATTCCAGAACTAAGGATGCAGCATCATGCTGATGGAGAAAGTCAGAAAAGGTAGAAGATCTTCAAATTTCCCAAGATCCTGAGTTTGTCAAACAAACTACGCCTGCTCACCTCAACAGCCAAACTTACTATGACGACACCAGCGATCAGATTGAGTTGAGTGAATCTGATGAAGAAGGCGACCATGACGGTGTAGACGAAGAAGCCGAACCAGTCAAGCTGGATATTGACCTTACAGAGCATTTTGACGAATTGAAACAGTTTATTCTGGATAGTGCCGCCTATCGGACCCTTCGTCGTCGATTTGATGAATTTATTCGACCTTCTTTGGGATCTAAAATTGAAGACCTACTCCTCAGGTGGTCGAGGCATGATCATAGACACCACTCCTTCGTTGCGCGCTACAAGCTCTTTAATCTAATTGCCGAGTTGGAGTATGCTAATCCTCATCCACAAGAAATCAGACTGGATGAGGACAATAAGCGCACCTATTGGCAAGCGTTTTTGGATTACTATCAGAAAAAGGCTGAGGATTAGACCCAGGAAGCCTGGGATTGGTGGCCATTGCCTCCTTATCTAAGGCCTCTAGAGAACAACGAGAGCCGATTACTATGGCAATGTGTGAGTTTGATTCCCTTTTGAAGTGCGCAGTGCTAACTACCGTTGGTTCAGAAATGTGGATGTGGACAAGAGCGATGGGCAGAAGTGCCAAAGCCCTTTGCCAGACGTCTGATGTTATTTGCTCGTGACCTTTCTAAGGATGGTACTTCAATGAGTGGGAACCAATCTCCTTCTGCCTCACATACACGAAATACTGATGCGCATGGCTCTTCCGGGAATACATTTTCCCCTACATTACCTTCGAAAAGTGGCGGAGTTCATCAGCCTCATCAACCGGTACCAAGAGCATCCCCCATCAATATTCCCCGTGCTGGATTAGTCGACACTCAAGCTGGCGCAATCTCTACAACTCCTCTTGACCACTGGGTTCTCCTTATATGTTTGTTGCCGATGGTTACCCTTTTCATAATTTGGATTTCCCCATTGGTGCGAGGTACTGATCTACAGAATCCTTCTATTCCGATTTGCATAACTGCTTCAATATTGTCGATTTTTTGGAGCATATACCTCAGCAGCGGAAGGGATCATTGAATGGAGCATGATGTCAATGTCAAGTATTTGCATTTCGCATCATATAGTTAGCCTAGTGTTAGATGATTACACGATTTTTCGGGAAGTAGGAGGTTGGTACGCGAATATTCATCACAGGCAGGAGGTAATTTGTTCTTCCATTTTTTTAATTTAGCATCAAATGTTTTCACCATAAAGAAACGCAGTTAGACTGAATCTCACCTTGTCTCGCCTTGTGATCATTCATCCAGACCAGATCCTGCTTAGAAATTAGTACTAGTTACTAGTCGACCACACAGATGGTCAAAGGATCTTCCCAAATTATTAAATCTCATTGAAAGTATTCAGTAGCTATCGTAAAACTATTGGGCTTTAAAGCGCTAGAATAATTGTACACTTACGAGTATACGAAGCAGCTACCGATATACCTTCAAGTGGCTTGTTGGCCGATTTGGGCTTAGGGCTTATATATGCATAGGTAGTTATTTATGTGTATGCCCATCGATAACTCCTTAACTTCTCCGAGTACATGATAGCATATGAATACGTGAACCATCATTTGTTGCGCTTTCCTGCGGCCGGGAGTCTCTGGATCGCGAATTTATTATACCTGTGCCTGTCGCCTCTAGACATAAAATAGCTTGAACCGCCTCCCCTTACCTGAACAAATGCTTTCACACATCTAGTCCGCAATATGCCAAGAACAAGATCAGCCGTGAACCGTCGCACCTCCACCACAAAGAAGGCCGAAACAAATCCACCCCCAGAGGTCCCAAAACCATCACGCGAGCAAAAGGCCAAAGTTGTTAAAAAGCCCCGCGCTAAGAAAGGAAAGGAGACAAGCAATGACAGTACAGCATCATCTATAAGCGTTGGATCCAAAATTCCATGGACCAATAGCTTTGGAGGGGCAATCTATCTTCACGATGGAACCAAAACGTCGCTGAAACAGCTAGTGGAGAAGAGCCACAACGGGTTGATTGTCTACGCATACCCAAAATCTCGTGATGATGAATGTATGAGTTATACGCACTCTAGCTACAGGTAATTGGGTTGTACAGTATGCTGACTGTCTGGTAGCGGACGACCTACACGGCGAGATGGACCACTCTCAGCTGGACTGGGAGTCGTTAGAGATGGACACAATAGGCATCTATCGAGATACTGTATCGTCAATTACTGCATTTATGGAAGGGCCCGGATGGGGGGTGCCTATTGCCAGCAATTTGAGCGGATCTTTGATGAGAGCAATGTCGCTTACTTCTCCTAAAGGTGTTCTCAAACAGGGTGCGTTTATTGTATCGAGAGAAGGGATCCTCCTAGGACGCACGATTGGAAAGGTAGATAAAATTATGGATGATGTACACAAGATGTTGACCATTATTAAGGAAGAAAGAGGCGAGGAAGAAGATTGGTAGACTGTTTAAGTCATGACATTGTACGCTCATTGTTCAGGATCTCGCAAAGGCGAGTCCTAAAAAAATATACTTGGACAATTTGGCGATAATTGACCTCTCGGAGCATTGAGATAATAAATAGTATCCTCGATGTACAGAGTTTTATTAGAAATATACTCGTAAGTCTAAGTTAGGAGAAAGCACTTCACTCTAGATAATTGGCCGCAATGGGTAGCATACATAACTGCTCGTCAGAATTTGTTGTCATTAAGTGTGAACTTTTGTCTAAACGCTCTAAAACACGCTGAATATTCCATTTTAAACACCTTGGATAAAACTCCAACCATTATGACTCCATAGAGACCTGGTTCTCTTCCTTCCATCCCGACAGCGTCTGGGACAGCCACGCTGAGTGATCATTGTATTCGGGAATCATCATTTGGCCCTCGATATTCAGCGCCAATCCAGATTCCGGTATCGTCGATAGATTATTCTTCAGCTCATTGTAGTCAGAGTCTCCGAGGTCCCAGTTCAGCATTCCCATATTCGGCGTCTGTCCGTATTGTTGAAGGAAAGCCGTCATCTCATCCGACCCCGACCCAATTTGGGACATGGAGCCCTCGGAATAATCCGTAATGGGCGAAATATACGGTGATGTTGTAACGCATGTGTTGACACCATCGGATCCAGAGTGGCTATGCTCTGAGTCATCGATGCTATAGAGGCTCTGAGGGGATTGTGTCATAGAGGGATGGTAGCCGGCGAAGGCTTCTTTGCGGTAGTCTAATTCGGTTTCGATGCTCTGCATCAGCTCAGATGATGGTGAGTCATCACTAGTAAGGTCGTCCATGGGTGAGTCGGCCTCTTTATCGTCATCATGCTCGTCTTCTTCCTCGTCTCGATACTGTAGTCGATTAGGATGGGCCGCGATTCTAGCCATGCCGGAAGCTGTTGTCGGCAGCTCATATTGAATGGGCAATTCAATTTCGCCATTGGCACCAATGCAGCCTAGCTTTTTGGCCACATCGTGAATAACTAGTTCGCCCTGGTCATTCAGCTCAGGGTCACCGAGATCCCAAGACTGATTCTTCTGGATCATAGTGTACAGCTTATGGACGCTGCCGATAAGCGCCAAGTGAGTGGTCTCAAGGAACTCGACATAGCTGCGACGCAAGTTAGTCATCGTTAGATACAGGTATCAAGGATTACGACATGTATAAACATACCTCTTGGGAACTTGCTTGTACTCGACGTGAATTGTTCTCTTGCGGATGCCAGGGGTGCATACATGGCCGTTGTTTTTGCACTTTTGACAGGGAAGATCACCATCACACTAGTACGGCCGCATTGTCAGTATTGGCAGTCAAGAATTGGTATTGAATAATGAGCGAACCTTGATCTTCTTTAGGCGACACCGCTCACAGGCCTTTGATACGCGTGTACGGCGCACGTCTCTGCTGGTGCGTGGGTGTTGATCCATTGACTTCGATGTGGGGCTAGACTTGGATTTTTGTACTGCTGGGCTTCTAGAAGGTAAGGGCTGACTCTTATGTGAGATGTTTGCAAGCATGTTGTGTGTGCAATGATTGTTGGGGTGGCAGATTATATGAGATGTATGGATTATATGCAAGACAAAGGCGGTTGAGGATGATACGGGGGGAAACTGTTCGGGATGTCGCTTCGTTAACGCACTTTTGAATTGAGATGGAAATTGGATTGATAAATAGTTCGTACATTATGTCCCTTGATGACGTGAAGCTACGAAGAATATGTATTAGGCTGCAGTCTCTCCGTAAAGGGATACTCTCAGCGAGTATGGGGCCAAACTACGACATCGACCGATACGATTTTACAGGGGACCGGCGACTGGCTCACACCTAAGCAAGCTTGAGCTCAAACGGTGTTAAACGCCCGTGACGCTAGAATTTTCTGCCGCCAACTTTCGTTAATTCGAGCTTCTCCGAGCTGTGAAGCGCACACACGCGAGGTAAGCGAAGAGCGCGAACCAAGGCGTGGCGGCTTGGAGCATTTATGCCCGAAGTCCATTGACCCTAATGGGCACTGGAAAACAGTACCGGTGGGAGCTAGAGACGTCACTCCGTGAATCGATTAACTGATTGAGTAACGGCAGTTGACGTGCAGAGTGAGATTCTGGCACGGGGGCACTTTCAGGGTTGGGCTTCTCCGGAACTTCCCAGCCCCAGCGGCACAAGGTCCGAGTGCATGGTCCCCGTTTGCCCGGGAGAGGAGGGTACGTTGCAATCAGCTAAGCAAATGTCGGCAGATGTTCCTTGTTCAAGTGAACTTGCTTCGGTCGGAGATGCACCAATAGGTATCCTGGGGTTTCGTTTCCATTTCCACCTGTCCTGACGGTTGTCCGTCACCGACGAGTCCATCTCCGAACCCACATTTCTATTTTTTTTTTTTCTTTAACCATTGAAAGCTGTTGTCCAAGTGAGCTCTGGCTCTCTGGACAGATGGGATTCTCGATTTTGCGATCTCCCGGTATCATGACCGATCCAATCAGAGACTTGCAGCAAGTGTCTTGCAGTCTTGCAACTTTGATTTGATCATGCGACTCAATCGGGGACTTGGTGTCTGCCAGCTTGTAAGACACAGTACTAGAGGGCTGAGTGCCACGTCATGTGCCTGCTCTGTGGTTGTGCTACAGTCAAGACGCTGTTGTGTTCAGTAGTGTGCATTCGGCCATGTATTTTCGAGCTGAGTCTATTGGCTATCATGGGCAAAGCTGATGCAAGTCTCAACTTTATCGCTATTGCCTAGCGGCGGCACCATCTTGAATGATCATCTGCCGATATTTGCGGCATACGGCGGCGTACGGCGGCGGCTCAAGCACTCACACACAGGCAAGACAGGCAAGTGGAGGACAGAAAACCCGAGACGGAAAAGATTTCGAACGCCCTCAAGTTGAATCATACGCCTACAAAGCGAGTAGCTGCTATATTTACATTTCCCAAATAACTGCTGCTGAATTTATATTTCTCAAGTAACTGCTACTATATCTACATTTCCTTAATTACTACTACTATATTTATATTTCTCTGTAGGCCTAATTGTTACGATATTTATACAATGGAATTCGAGCATTCCGCTACCAAAAACACTGCTTGCTGGATTGATTAGGTGCCTATATTATGAATGTATGTACTTATTCATTTTGCGGTCTCGCTTTTTCTGACCTTCGCTTGACAGGGCACAGCACATGTAGAAAGATTGAGAAGTCGTCTCTAAGCTCAGCTGGACTCATTCTGGTAGTACACATGTGGTAGTACATATTGTATTATGACATAAGTCGCAATTCGTTATCTCTGACTGCCTCGTCCAGCTTCCGATGTCTTACACAGTTGCGCTTACGGAGTACTCTGCCCCGAGATACGGAGAACAAGTAACCATAAATCCACGGCCCTATATATCCGTCGAGACTCTGTTGTTCTTTACAAATTTGAGTTAAGTTGATAACTGAAAATACAAAATTAAATTGAAAATAAAGACAGACTCTCAAAAGGTTGTGACCTTACGAGTGAGTCTTGCCTTCAGAGCCGGCGGATTCGAGCCGCTGCAGCCCAACGGCACCAGCTGAGCACTAACACCGAAACTAGGCCTCCATAGAGTAAGATTCCCTCCACAGGGTCGGGCTGATTTTATCTCTTATCTCTCGGAATAATCACTTGCGCAATTCGACGTCGTTTCGCTCGCTTCTTACGGCAAGCCTACAGTACAATCCCGTTCCGGCAACGAGCTCACCTGGCGCGTGCCAAAATACGACGACCGAAAACACCAAGTACATGTGCCGACGGTGATTTGACTTGTGCGCTCCGAGATACCCAGACCAAAGTACATGTTAGGATGCACGCGACCACGCTATGATCGGCGCTTGATCACGGGCCCATCCATAGTCGAGAGCGAGGCGCCGCTACCGGACGATATTCCAGAAGGAGGGAATAGACAGATAGACGATAGACGGGACGAGCGATCGATTAAGTCAGAGACAGCAAATACCGAGTGGCGATGCCTTCATCCGATAGTCTTGGGAGGCGAGCCTCGCACGGCGCCGCCAGCCTGGCGACGTCGGCATCTTCTATTCATGGCGCAGCGGTTGGGTTTCGAGAAGGCCTGGGTCTGGCTGGAGTTGCGAGGCGAACGCTGGGAATCTGCTTCCTCCTGTTGACGGTGTTTTTATGGACGCTGTCCAATTTTCTCGCCAGTGTAAGTCCATGGGAGAGATGGCTGCCCAACATACGTCTGCGCTTTGCGACACAATGAAGAGCACCCGCTGATAATGTTACAGTTCATCTTTTCCGATGCAACCTACGATAAGCCCTTTTTCCTCGTCTACTTCAACACCTCCATGTTCGCCATCTCTTTAATACCCATGTTTATTCGATATCTACTCCAGAAAGGATTCCATGGACTGCGAAGCGACGTCAGGCGCATGTGGGCGGAGCATCGATACCAAGCCGCCCCGGGCAGTCCCCCGGTAGACGAAGAAGACCAGCAAGCCCAAGAACGCCTGCTAGTAGACGAACGAGACCCCATGGCACCAACCTCGACTCCTTCAAAAGAGAAGCTCAGCTTCCGAGAAACCGCAGTGCTGAGCCTCGAGTTCTGCATGCTGTGGTTCCTCGCAAACTATTTTGCGTCGGCATGCCTCGAGTATACCAGCGTCGCCAGCGTCACGATCCTCACGTCCACAAGCAGCGTCTGGACACTAGTGTTTGGTTCCATGTTTGGCGTCGAGACCTTTTCCCTGCGCAAACTAGTTGGAGTTGTGGCTTCTCTTACCGGCATTATACTCATTTCCATGGTGGACCTCTCAGGCAAGAGTGACGAGAACAGAGGATCGTTCCCGCACAAGACTCCCGGGCAAATTGCGCTCGGAGATGCAATGGCGTTTTTGAGCGCCGTGGTCTACGGCATATATGTCACTGTTATGAAGCGACGAGTGGGTGACGAGGACAAGGTCAACATGCAGCTATTCTTTGGGTTGGTGGGAGTGTTTAATCTGGCTCTGCTGTGGCCGCTCTTTTTCATTCTCCACTGGATGGGTCTCGAACCGGTATGTGCTATGGCTACAAAAGGATCTAATTGCAAATGTTGATACTGACCTGGGTCCAAAACAGTTCGAGCTGCCTCCTACAAGCCAGATTTGGACCATCATTATAGTAAGTCAAGAAACACACTCTCGTCATCCTCCACTCCCGCGCACAGTTGCTCACGGCTATGCAGGTAAACGCAATTGCGTCTTTTGTCAGTGACATATCCTGGGCACTGGCCATGCTCCTGACGACGCCCTTGGTCGTCACCGTGGGCCTGTCTCTGACCATCCCGCTCTCGCTCATTGGCGAGATGGTCCAGTACCAGCAGTACTCCAGCGGTGTTTACTGGGTCGGCGCGGCCGTTGTCTTTGTCTCATTTGTGTTTGTTAATCACGAGACAAAGGAGGAGGACACGAGCAAGGCGGTAAACGCCACAGCAGGTCTCGGCTCGGCCCCCGACCCTGACGCTGCGGACGGAGGTTTGGGTTATGGACGATTGTAATGAATTGCATGTAGATTTGGAGGGTTTTTCATCACCTTTTTGCGTTTCTTCAACAGGCGCGTCGTATTATCTCTCTTAATGGAATGAATTCCAATAGATGTTTCAGTTACTCTTTTTCATAACTGGTTGTATTCAGATATTATACATATCCACAGCGCTAGCATCGGATACTTATTTTGTATGTCTTTGAATCGGACGTGAGTTCAGATATGCTAGTAAAATGCCATTAGCGCGACCCGCATCAATTTGTCCCGATGAAGCACTGAATCCCCGATCGTGACGAGCAGCGATAGGAAAATAATGCAGAGGTAACACTACACTCGAAAAGTGTCTAATAGCGATGCGCTATTTGTCATATTCCAACGCGTTTGAACCATTGTGAACATGAACTCAACCTGCAGTGCTACCCTCTGGCGCTGAGAGCTACAACGCACCTTATCCCGTCAGCAGCCTCGCGCGCTTAACAGCATTACGTTGGATATACTCACAATACCCGACTAATAAAGCACGGGGTAAAAAACAACCACCGAGACAAACAAAGAGAACCCCAGCTGAACGAACCCTTGAAAGTGAGGCCCGTGAGCCGGATCTACCCACCAAAGCCCCCCAGAAAGCGGGATCTAACCGCGGATCATCAGCGGCGCAAACTTTGATAGATCACCGAGACAAGGAGGGACAGCAAACGCAAACCAAACTGAACAAATTGCTTTTTTTCTTGCTTTGTCGCATAGCGTGGCGAAGTTTCTCGGGCGCCTGCTGAATGGCCCGCTCGGTGTGCAAAGATCCTGCTGTTCTTGTACCACGAGGAATGCTAGGCAGCCTTCATTAGATGAGGCCACTTGTAGAGGTCACATGCGAATCTAGAGCGTTCAGTCGTTGGGCTACATATGTACCTTCGATATCCGGTCCTTTGTGTACTTGGAAAGAGCAAGGAATGGTCCTCGGAAGCTTGAAGTTTCGCTACCGGTCGTTTAAGCGGGATACATGCCTTTGGCTGCCTTCTCTTGCTCCAAGGATATATCAAGAATACTTGTTATTGATCTCACTTTCAACATTATTTCGTCGTTTCTCTTTATAGAGAGTTTGCTTTGAGCTCCTTTATACCCTTTCATCCTCGTTCGACTTCTTTACGAAACCATTTCAGTATACGATACCATCCCTGCGACACTTGCTTTACACTACTACTTCTCTTATACCCTCTTTTTGTTTTCAAACATCTTGCCTATTTTGTCTATATCCTAATGGCCACCTCTACAACCACCATGTCCCTCGACCATGCCTCCTCTCAGCCCCCAAAGCCACTGGCGTTCGAGATGGTCGCTGCCACGAGGGAATTACACACAAGAATCAACAGACTGGTGGTATCTCGACTACCACTGGCCTTACCTCCACAGGCCCCCGATGCTGGTCCATATATCAGCGGCTTGTTGCATCTTCTTCCAGTATACATGACGTTTGAGAAGCTTTGGCAAGATATAATACCCGATACTCTTCCTCAGGAAACCGCGTTGGATGATGAAAGGCCAAAGATTTCCGAGCGCATGCATACGATTCTCAAAGAGCTCAGGATTCCCCAACTCTTTCGTTCAGATATTCTCAGAGCCGATATCAAATCCATGACTGGCTGGTCCGACGATATCCTCGATAACCAGATAGACGTCATAAAACGAAAAGGCAAACTTTGCGCCTTCATCTCGCACATCAAACAAATCATCCCCGATGAACCACACACACTCATCGCATATTCATATAACCTATTCATGGCCCTTTTTGCCGGAGGCCGCTTCATCAGAGCGTCATTCGAAAAGGCAGGCGATGAATTCTGGGAAACCGTCCCTAGGCCCATCAGACCAACAATGGAGCCTTGCAGACCAAAATCAACTGCTCCATCTCCGCTAGAGCCAACATATGACCTGGGAGAGACCAACCGGCAATCTCAAACCCCGCTGCAGTTCTGGCGCTTCAACACAGCGGAAGACGGCGAGGATTTGAAGCGAGACTATAAGGAAGTGTTGCTCAGATGGGAAAGTGAGCTGTCTCCCTGGGAAAGAGAAGACATCGTGCGAGAATCGGTCATTATCCTGGAGAACATTGAGTCCATCGTCAACCACCTGGACAGTATGTTTGCCGAAGAGCAGGAAGAGAAGCCCAGCATACAAATCCCAAAGAGACCTTCTCTAGCGGATCGCTTTGCGCAGACTCAATTCGTGGCACGCATCCGCGACAGCTTCATGATAGCCAAGGAACGGGGAGTAAGGAGTTCATTGCGGAGCCAATCGCTCGACACGACGACAACCGAAGAAGGAGAGCAGGAATCTAAGGGTGAATATGCTCATCACGATAATGTCGCTGCAGATATTGAGCTGTGCCCTGGCGTTCCGAAATCTATGAGATTTGCAAAGTCGCTCCCTATTCCGCCGCGCAGGCATGCCCGAGTTGCTGCCGCAAAGGATGGCAGTCTCAAGGGCAAGTTGGCTGTGCGGTCGTCAATGCAACCCGCCAATACTGCGATGCCGAGACCTGTTTTGGTGGGATTGATCGGCTTGTTCCTCTTGTATATATTCGTTCGTATTAGGGGAATTATGAGTGTGGGCACTGTAATGGTTTAGCTAACGTGAAACGTATACGTGTCTCGCGGCATATGACGTTACGTTATTACGATGAATTCCTAAAGAGATACCTAGATAGTTGGATACTAGCACAAGGTTAATAGAAATACGCAAGTTAATTTCTTTCATTTCGTTTATTTTACATGTATTCGCCCATCATGGCTTGAACAATGCTTGGATGCTTGGCTATGCCGCAACTAACCCTACAAACGCCGCTGCTATGCTTTTGACAATTATAAAAACAGGCCCAAAAAAAGAATTCAACTCTCTCTCAAACAACGTGTATAGCTCAGACCAATCCCCGTATAATGCTTATCCAAGCACATTATTGCTACATGCCCATACACTTTTGAAGCATTGGAAAGAAAAAAAAGTGAAGCCTCGGGGGAGTGAGAAAAACAGGCCAATAATTCCATACCATGGTATCCTTCAGTTCATATGCTCATCATTATTTTTTGTTTCCTTTCAGCGCCAACGACTTACTCAGAGTCGTCATCAGGGGTATCCCAGTCGTCTCCCACGTCCGCCCAGCCTGCCATGTGTCGCTCGCCACCAAATTCGCCCACCTGTCGCAAGTACCGCGCCTGAGCCTCGTCCTGTTGCCATTGGCGAACGATGTAGTCGTCTGATGCGGTGACGAGCTTGCCATCGTGCGCCCAGCTTAGAGTAGTGACTTCGCGGCTGTGGCCACGCAAAAGAGGCGTTCCCAGGCGCGAGATGGGGATAAGAGGCGTGGCGGCGGATGATCCAAAGGCGGAAGGTGTAGATATGCTTTGTGACGGAGTGGCAAAGGTGGTTTCGGGAGGGATGTGGGAGCGTTTGGCCCAGGCGCTGCGGATATATCGTTCGTCGGTGGGGAAGAGAAGTGCGCAGCCGTCGCTGCTGCCCACGGCGAGGAGATCGGAGGTGCCGTTGGTGCCGGGGCGAATATCGCATTTGACGTAGAAGGATTGGGCACGGAACAAGTCGTGCTTGAAGCCGTACATGGGGCCCAGACCTTGAGCTCCGTTGGGCCTGCGCTTGGTTGCTCCATCTTCGAGCTCCGGTGCATGGCCGAGCATCAAATGATTTGTCGAGTAAGCGTAGACGGTGCTGTCCTTGCAAACAGCATAGAGGCGGGCTGCGTCGGAGCTGATTGCGAGGGATGTGATGCCGTAGGAACGCCACGTGTGGCCTCGTGGCTCTGAAGTCACAGCTAGGGGAGTCTCTTCGGCCTGCCGCCGAGGCTTGATATATCGCGTGTCCCAGAGCTTGATGGAAGCATTAGCTTCAGATGCAGAAAGCAGGAGGTGTTCGCGGCCCGGTGGCATCCAGTGAATAGCCGTGACGGAGGCTGATGAAGTATTGCCCTGTACTGTGCGTTCGTGGGCGTTGTCTATAGTGTTGACGCCCTTGGCTTGCAAGGGTTCCAGGGAGGTGTCGCGCTGGCCAATGCCGCTAGGGCATGAGAAGCTGTTGACCGGTGATGAGGAACATCGCAAATCCCAGATTTGGATACGGCCAGCTCGGTCAGAGGAGGCAATAACGTTGCCGGCCGCTTCACCAGGTTGAAACGCAACCTGCCGTAATGAGTCCCAGTGACCTCCTCCAAGTTCAGCGGCGACTGTCAGTGTGGGAACATCCAGGATCCTGCCACTTCGATCACCGCAGGCCGTAACCAGGCGCATATCATCTTGTGAGAACGCCAGATCCATAATCGCGTTGTCATGAACGGAGATGTACGTATCAACTTTGGAGTCGTCCAGGGGGTCGTTCAGATCAGTTTTGAAGAGGCGAACACATCCTTGCTCATCGCCAATGGCCGTAACCGAGCTTTTGTGGCAGCTGGCCAGACTAAAGGGAATCGTATTGCCATTTCCGGAGGAGGCAGCGCAGTGGTGAAGGTCATTGCTCCGGCTGTAAAATGAAGCGGTCTCAATCCTCGGGTCGCAGGCTGGGTAATTCAGATGCTGTCTGCCGTGGTGCAATGAGAAGCCATGCTCTCGATCAAGAAGCTGAGATTCAAAACCAGTATCACGGAATTTACGAACAGGCCTTGGCTGATATCCTTCCAGGTGCTGTAGCAAGCATAATTAGCAACTTGCCGCAGGACAATGTAAGAGGAGCAAGTGTCAGTCAGCCATACCAGGGGGGCCTTGGGGTCAACGGCAAAAAGCCTTTGGGGAGTTAGTCCTGACTTTTCTTGCCACGCACGAGCACCACTACGGCTGGCCTTGAAGAAGAGGTTCTTGGAGCTTGTCAGCAAATCACAGCCTTCCATGCAGAAGAAATCTCAAATTTTACCAGAGTTGCTTTCCGTCGGTCCCCCAAGCTTTCAAGAGTCTCCTTTGACTTGACACCATCCTCCTCGATCCCATCCTCTTCCATAATGGTGGGGTAGGTCAGCTCCGGCAAGGCATACGGCGAGGTCTCGTCGGTTCTCCTCCTCTTTGCGCCATCCGTCCGCGTCTCCTCCGTCAACCTCTTGTGCTCTGCGCTCACCCCCAGCCGCTCACTAGGAGAGGGTGGACATAACGGATCCGAACTCAGCAGCGGATCGCTGAGAAAGGACATGGGGGATGCCAGCTGGCGATTGTTGACAGAGGCACTATCCAGCATGCCCAGGTATGATCGTCCGCTGGGAAGAGACGACCGCGGCGTAAAGAAGCGGCCAAACCTCCTAGGCGTTACCGATGGATTTCGTCTTTCCTTTCGCCGCGTGGATCTGATGGGCGACAGCATCATGCTCGCCGGCGAGGACGTGGTGGCGGGCGGGCTGGAGGGAACGGCATCGGAGGAGGCAGACGGGCCATAATGATAATGCACCATGATGCTGCTCTACAGTATGGCGGATATACTGGCAAGGCCTCCCAAGGCTGAGCTGAGGCGAATGGACAGATGACGAGATGCAAGAGCTCTAGGCGAGTCGAATCATGGCAAGGGAGACGGAAAGAAAAAGAGCTTTGGAGGCAATAAGCGGAGACAGGATTTTGGATAAGCGAAAATGACTGAGGCTAGGGACATGGGAGGTCAAAGTGGAGAGACGCGGTCTCACGACGCGGGAGCGTGTAAATGGGATTTGCTCGCTGGCGCGTTTTTGGCGGTTGACGAATCCGGGGCAATGTTGAGCGTGGGCGCTAGAGGCGGGCGGTTCCAGCTGGCCCAGGGCGCTGCCACAGCGGATCTCGCAGGGGGTGACGGGGCTGTCAGTTCACTTGGAGCCCGCTGTATCACTCGCACTTACAGGCACCTTGATGTCGTGTTGTGACGGGCAATTTCGTGCTTGGATGGATCCATCCAACCTCAGCTGGCGATGAAGCAATTTGATCAATGTTTGTTATTGCCGACGTGAGCTATATTTCTCTAGCTTCTGTTGAGCCCTGTCTATATGACGTGTTATTGCACACACGCGAAGTCAATGCCACTTTTCCCAGCATAATTGTCCAAACTGGATTGAACCAGCAGTGTAAAGAGCTGCACGGATATCACATGCAGAAGTTTGTCCTAGCATCGCATTTTGCAAGGCGCTGACACAGAGGTGTCACCATCCATGTAAGGATTGTTTACGGCTCAAACAGCGAGGTTATTGCATGCGTCCCACACGTGTGTTTCGCGTCTAACTCATTGATGTCATTGGCATATGAATATGCGAGCTTTTCATGAGCCGAAATTACATATTATCACACTATCGGCCGCAGAATTCCAGATGTCCTTTGAGCCTTTGGATATTCCCAATAGCCGCCGACGGCTGGATGACTTGCGTTTCCCTGCGCCAGGGAGCCAAACGAGGGATGCCGACGTTGCATTGTCAAGGGAAAAGACGTGATCTCCTTGAAAGGATCCACATACAACCAAAGTGACTCTCGTTTTTCGTGTCTATAACCAGCCAGCATTCGTAATGGGGATATGGATGGCATCGTATGGTGGCTGGCCTCACCCGCGTAAAGACACCGAACCCACGACGGCAGCGCAAGCTGCAAGCATCAACGTTCATTCTGCATCAATTGGAAGCGCTCACAAATCAAATAGCCTGATGACACACACAGGATGTCGAGTCAATCCCGCGGTGACGTGCGTTATGCATGCATGCAGGTAATATTCAGTGCATACTACCTTACTCGAGCACCAATACTCGTATTTAGCAGAGGCTTTGTCACCTCCCGATAAGATACGGGTATACGGCTAGCAGTGAACCTGCATTTACCCATTCGCCCTGCTAATTACCTACAGCCTGCATCTCATCCGGCAAATCCGTGCAAAGAGGAGACGCCCATTCGATCAAGAGACAAATCTCTGCAATGGTAGAAATCACCATCATCAGCATCCCATCGTCAACAGGTGATAATTTACATGTTTCGGCCAGTATAGCTACTAGGTAGGCAACCGCGGTTGTCGCTCCTCTCGGGACCCAAATCATACATCCGTCTTAAGGTACTCGGATATCAAACAGCTAAAGAGCGCAACAACGGATGTCGGCCACGGCACGAATCTAGGTCGATCTAGAGATATTCCCGATGGGCAAAAGCTAATCACGTTTTCGGTAGGGCTCAGCAGCATGGTTATGCCACCAGAGTTTGATGACGACATGGACCAAACTATGTGCCTGTTGGAGTATAAAAGGCCGCGATGGTCCGCATCAGAAGAGCTTTGAGCTGCACCTTTTTTACAAGATCCGCAACGCGCTCAACGAATCAAAGCAACTCGCTGATCTGCTTTTTCCCATCTGAGCACGAAGGTCTCGCAAGAGCTTAGATGAAGGCAGCCGAAATGGGTAGCAAAATGGCTGGACGAACATCTGGACCATCAGAGTCAAGATGGCAAACCTCCAACTGGATGCGGTGAAATGAAAGTGGAAGACTGTCATGGGAGCCGTAACGCACAATCCGTGGCAACCAATGGGTAATTTTTTCCTCTTTCATTTCTTCCGCGTCTTGGCCATGGTGGTTTAGATGTTCGTTCAGCCATTTTGCTTCGCATTGCGGTTGGCTTCATTCGCTATTACGTGGCCTTCTTACCCCAAAGGACATGGAAGCAGCAGATTGGCGAGTTGCTTTGATTTGTTGAGTGCGTAGCGGAGCCTGTAAAGAAGGTAAAATCCATCCCCAATATCATCACACTCTTTTATGCGATAGCCACCACGTGCGGTGTTTCGTCATAGTCATCACTCATCGTACAACAAGCTTTGTTGTGGGCCAGATAAACTATATCCAGCCTCAGTCGACTCGACCAGGAGATACGAGCCCCAGATCCATGAATGTCCACCAACCACACCGCCTGGACGAGACTCTCCTAGAGAAGAATTTGATTCCCCGGATTTACATCGGAGACTTTTGGGGCTACAGGATTGGATCCTGACACGGCTTCATGGAGAATTATGTATCAGAGGTCACTCGTATACAACAACATTGAGCTTCAAGGTGCCGCCTGGTTTGGGAAAGACGTTGAAGGGGAACTTGGCCCAAGAGACTTATGGCAGACTTTTGGGTTGTTATGGCGAGCAACAGGTATCCAACGGAAGCAGTGCAGTGGGAAAGTAAATATACTCTGGCTGCTTGCTTCTAAGCAAACCTGTACATGTATTCCGATGATTTATCGGGCAGAAATAAATGGCTACCATGTCTTTCAAAGCAGTAACTCTGTGTGGAAACTTTGGCTCATGGTGTTTGTAAAAGTCGAAATCACAACATCAATGTTAGTGTGAGACTTCGCCACTCAAAATGTAGATCCTTCAAGAAATCTTACCTCTGAGAAACTTGAGGAGTTTTTTTGATCAATAGGCTCACTCGCACGGACGTGAAGAAGTTTTTTTTTTTTTTTTCCCCTCTCTTCTTCTCTTCCCCTCTGTGTAAGTGGTGAAATACGGTACGTTGGTTGGAATGTTGTTGGAGCACGTGCCTCAAAGTACAACATCTCAAGGCACATCCAGGGCATTTTTTCACTTATTCAACCCAACCTAGATATCCAATCCTACTTTTGCTTATTACCTACGCAACGACTTCCCTAGGATTATTCTACCTGCCTAATCATCATAACTTCACTTCACCATTACATGTACGATATCTAGAAAGCAGTAAGTGGTTCCATCTTTTCCATCTTCTCCGTACCTGTATTATTACCCGTTAGAGGCAAACACAGGCACAAGATCCGCTAGCCCCAAACAGGCTTGGGCGCTGGCATAATCCGCTGCGCTATGGTGTCATTTGCTGTGATTCATTCCTCAAACTCCATCCTCGTGCATACTTTGTACTTGCACAGCTGCTTCTCCTTACGCCTGCAGTTGACAGCTTCACCAGTCGCTGATTTGATACGATATCGTCAGATCATTCAGAAAGTCATCGTCCGCTGCCCTTGAACCGCTCGACGCCTGTTTTCTCAGCTTCGGTCACAGCTGCCCGCCATGTGCCGGTTTTTGGTACGTCATCGCCCGCGAAACCATCAACACCAAAATTGCTATTCCGAGATCGGGGTTTTGCGCCTGCGACTAACACAAGTGCTCGTCTCTAGGTCTACAAAGGCAGCGACGAGATCCTGCTGTCGAAACTTATCCTCGATCCGACCCATTCGATTCTTAAGCAGTCCTTTGATTCACGGTTGCGACTGGTATGCCTCTTCTTCTCCCTCTCCTTGCTACTCTCGCCACTCGCAATCTCACCGTCAGACTCAGCTGACATCCCCCTCTTTCCCATCTTCTAGGACACGCGACGAGGCCAGAACAATGCCGACGGCTTTGGCATAGGCTTCTATACCGATCTCAAGCTTGGCTCGGCGCCTTGCCTCTTTACATCGACGATTCCCGCGTGGAACTGCACAAATCTTCAGCGCATCGCGTCCAAGACGGCGTCTCGACTAATATTCGGCCATGTACGCGCAACGACCGAGGGCTCCCTTAGCGAGGACAACTGCCATCCCTTTACACACGGCAGCTTGATGTGGATGCACAATGGCGGTCTCGGTGGCTGGAAACACATCAAACGGCGGCTTGGAAGCCTGTTGGCAGACAAATGGTATCTGGGCGTCAAGGGAGGCACCGACAGCGAATGGGCATTTGCCCTATTTCTGAACACTCTAGAGCAGTCAGGCCACGATCCAAGTGCTTGCCCGCCCGGCGGATTTGGACCGACAGTGTTACGAGAGGTCATGAAGAAAACAATTGCCCAGATCAACGAATTAACAGACTCTATTCCACAAAGCATCCTGCAAAACGAAGACGTCGATACCAGAAGCCTATTAAACTTTGCCGTGACAGACGGCCATAGCGTCATCTGCACACGATATATCAGCAGCTCCAAAGATGAGGCTGCCAGCCTGTACTATTCGTCCGGAACACAATGGGTTACGAGAACCTCTTCGCCAGATGATAGGCAGTACCAGATGGACAGAAAGGACAAGGGAGGCGACATTGTCCTAGTCGCCAGCGAGCCTTTGACGTTTGAAAGAGGTATGGATACCAGTATCCGCCGGACACCAGAACGTTCAACTTGGAAAATACTGACTTATGATGCTAGAAAATTGGGTCAATGTACCAACCAACTCAATATTGACCATCCACCACCAAACCGTCATGGTTCACCCCATTCTAGACAAATATTACGAAGGGGACCCGTATCACATTCGTTCCAGCGCCTTTGTCCAAGAAAAGGGCCTCATTACCAATGAAAAGACATCCAGCGGCTCTCAAAGCCCGGCTAGCATCGACGGTATACGAAAGACCACCGCTCAGTCACTCTTTGCTGGCGGTCTTAGCCCTGATCTTGTGCGCCGATCTCTCACACCAGTCTCCTCCCGAGAGTCGCGACTCACTTCTCAACTTCAAACGGCACGACATCTAGCTTCGCCGCCACGATATTAAGGGGCTGCAAAGGCTTTTTGAGTATTCGGCCGACTGGTACATACGATAGTCAAAAACAGATGGGATGAACGCATGGCCTTGCTGGAATGATGTTTATGGTATAAATTGCAAGTTTTCAAGTCAACGGATGATTGTCTTGTGTGGTATAAAGGGGCTGGTTAAGCCTCTGGGCGAAAGGGTAAAGGAGTATGATGGTATACTAGCGTGGCATTAGACGGTTGGCGTTTTCTTCAATATACTCGTTGTAATTCATTAAACTCATTGTTTTCCGAGATTTTTACTTTACTCGATATTATTGTATATCAGACAGCACAATTGTGACACTCGTGTTATTGCTGCCAAAGGAAATATAGACAGTGTTTAGTTCGAGACTGCCTTTTCTGACCCGTTGATACTCAAACTACGGCCTCACTCGAAGCAAAAAGAAGAAATTATCTACATCAGTTGCAATTAATTAGCCTTTGGCTTGTTTCTCTCTGTTGCATGTCATCTTCTCAGTTCCGAACATTCCCAGAGTAATATCTCCTTATCGATATGCGTAAGAGGGTTGGTCATTATCTCGCAAATCGAGCCCGTTCAGTTCCCACAGGCGTAAAATAGAGGACCTTTGCTCTCAAAGACAATGAACTGGCATGGTTCAGTATCAATGGCTCTTTCTGGAGCCTCTCTGAGGCATTGATTGTGGTAATTCTCGAGCTGTACGATATTGAGGTCAGTTTCAACTACATCAAGTCAACACTCGTGATCTTAGCGATGACCATAACTAAAAACATCAATTCCCATCAGCTAGTGGCTTCTCCTATCACCATCCTTCCTCTCTATCTAATCGTCAGGGTCCGATTTTGCGTGAAAATTACTGATCTCTAGACAGCGTAGCTATTTCTGCCAGAAGAATGAAGTTGTAATTCGTTGTAGGTCATCTTGTGTAAGTGCTCGTCAATTATAGGCACTGGGCAACATTCTATAGCAAGTAGCAAGCAATATGGACCATCTAAAGGTTAACTTTTATGGGAAGCTACTATAGTCCACCGTTTTACAGCTTCTGTCACAATGATCTCACAACGTTTGCCATCTTTTGAGTCAACTCTCACTTCTTTTTATGTACAGTTTTACTCAATCTCTTCTCACGACAGCTCAATCTCTGTGTCCAATTCGCCGAATTCTAATCATGCCACCGGGGATAAAGACATATTCGTATTAACTATGTCAACTTATTATGCATTTGGTTCTTGATTATGCACGTCTTAGTGACGAATATCCCGTAGAGCTACTCTCCCTGAGCTGATACATCCACAGTCTCTTCACCCCTTCCACAATACTACCACAAAAAGCAGCATAATTAGCCCGTAACTCTCAATAAACGCACCGTTACACGCCTCTCATTCCCCTTCAATCCAGAGATTTAGCCCAACAGATGATACAATCATCGTCGAGTTACATCTCGTATCCTTTTAGTAAACCTGCATACTTCAATCTGGTTTAGGAACTTTTCTCCCCCCCAGAGCTTCCCACTTCCTTCAAATTACAACATCATCATTCCCGTCTCTTTGCCGGAAGTTTCCCCTGGTCTAAATACGTATACACGGCGTTCTCCCGAGAGCTATCGACATTACTCAACTCTCCATCCATCCAGCTCCACTGAAGACGATGGAATCACAGCCCACCTCCTCGGGCACGATTGCATGAATTACGCCGATTTTCCTCGGTGAAGCTTGATCGGCATTAGCTTTTTCCTCTTACGCACTCCCACAATCTGCCCACCTCTGCCCACTTGAAGAGAGAGGGAGGGGGGGCAAAGGTGTACCACCACCCTCCAGGGACAAGAGAGCCCAAGAAGCAGCCAAGATAGTGGCTAAAATACGGGAAATGAGGCAGGTCAGGGGTTGGGGGGAGGAGAACCGCCGCCGGAGACTAGCTGCAGCTGAAGAACTAAAATCTCGCCTACACTACCCAGTTGTCATCATATAGCTTGGAAAGAACTTCTGTACCTTGCGGTGAAAGAATCGGGCCACTCGGTGCCTTGGGTGACAAAACACGTTGGCGAGGAGGCCCTTGATGGGTTGCTGAAACGGGTCCTTTTGGCGAAGTTTACGATCATCGTTCACATGTGAAAACACCGAGAGCCTTTCGCCTCCTCCCCCCTGAGAGAAGGCGTCTGTGCTTGTAAAAAAGATGAAGAGAGTGAGGAATGCTACGCCCTGAGAGAACATCGCAGCCGCCAAGGTTGCGATGGGTCTAACCCAGTTGATTGAACAACTTCATGCCATCTACAATGAGTGGATATCCTCACATTTTCTTCTTCCTCCGGTGTGAGTTTATAAACAAAAAACATCATGCCATTTTTCTTTCATGCCACTCGATCTACTTCCATTTCGCCCCCTTTTCTCATCTTTTAGATTTCTCTTTTTTTTTTTCTCACGGCACATGTATGCATGAAACAGAGAGAGTGCCGAGGCCCTCACCCCTCTAGTTGTTAGTGGGATGACCACATTCATCCCCATCGGTCCGTCCGATCTCTAGATGCGGCTGAAATCTACACGATACCCAAGGGGGATCTCACCTCCACGGACTTTTTGACTGGCTTCGTGCACTCCGCATCCTTAACGGGGGGGGGGCGTCAAAGCTAACGAGTGCCGAGCTTTTGACAGGTCCCCCCCCCCCCCCCCCCTTTTTCTTTCTTGTTTAGGCCATTAGCTTGCAGCTGTTTTCCTCGAGCTGTCCGAGTAAGATGTGACGTGTCGGGCGCATCGGAGAACGCACCGAATCAAACCATTTGGGTATATCTTGCGATACAAACGTACCTGTAAGAGCAAGCACCTGTAAGAGAGACGCTCGGTTAGCAAGGCACCAGTCGAAGTGTGTCTTGTGCGTTGATTTGAGGAGACAAGATGGCCTTAAAAGGGGGGCACACGATGGGGGACGAGAAAAGGAGTCAATGCGCTGTGGTGTTTATATTTGGGTTGTTAGTGGATTGTTACGTTGTATGCCACGCATCTAGCGTTGTTGGCCGGTTTGTGGGTGGTTTTAATCCTGACGAAACGGTTTCCGGGTAGGCCTTAGCTGAAACGTCGGGTAGCGAGGCTTAGTGTTTCTCGGTTTTCGGCGATACTCGTTCTATCCAGGGATTCACTTGGAGCTTTGACGTCTCGGCTGCGTTCCGGAGACCTGGTTCACAGCTGTTTACAGTAATAAATGCGTCGAGAAAAGGCATGGCTGAGATAGATTGAACCTGGGCAGACGGAAATCGTTAAAGAGACACCTGGAGTTCCGAGAACCCCGAGAGCTGAGTGAAGCAGTCTGCAATAATCTCGGTTGTCCTCCATACTCGTAAAAAATTCATGTGTTTTGCCAGCGGACGTAAAATACGGTGAGAGGATTTTTGTTATTCCAGACAAGACAAGTGCGTGTGCGTCAGGTCAAAGATGTTACGGTGCATGTAGTTCTGCACCTAAATCGTTTCCTTAGCTAACGCGCCGATTCCATGATCTGCAAAATCCTTCCAGTATTTGCGAAATGGTTGCCGTGTTCTTTGCCGCCGTGTTCGAATAGGGAAAGGAAGCGACCAGGAAACTGCGAAATTGAACGGACAAAATGACAAATAGCTGCATATTTTCATATGCAGCAAGTAATACGAGCAGTCACTCAACTTCCCACCTAGGAACTGCTGCGGCTCGGGAGCGGGACGAGCCCGCGATGATACTCAAATCCTACTCTTTCCCAGGGCTATGTGCACGGGGGAGTCAGTGGGGGGAAAAGAGGCATCGTTTTTTCCCTTCTTCAATATTCAAGCTTCTTTCATGCCTGTATGCCGAGGTACCGTCGCCGTCCTGAGAGGGCGTGGGTGGGAATTGTGTGGTTTACAAGCAGCTTCATTGACAAAGTGATGTGTAATCTCACTGTATTGCCCGGAGGGTGTTGCCAAAGAGGGCCAGCAGAAGGCAAGGATTGGGAGGCTGTGTGCTCTCTGCGGTGATGCGAGAGCGAGAGTGAGAACAGATATGTACGGACGTAGCATTTTGGGTAGGACTCATGTAAGCGTGAGGTGAGAGTCGGTTGCTGTAGTTGGTAAGAAGGGGGCAAAAAAGGATCCAGAGGGTTTTGGATGACGGTCATGTTGCATGCGCCGCAATTAGCAGGGCGTTGGTGAGATGCACATAAGCAACTGAGGCTGGCGAAATGCTACTCATAGGGGTAAGCAAGGCGAGAAACTGCATAGTTGTTAATGAGCCGGACGAATCCCGACGTCGTTTAACGGATCAACATTTGGATTGGAGGCGTTGCAAGCAGGACTGCAGAAGCGAGGCTCCGTTGGGCGGGAAGACTGGAAAGATCAACAAGGCTGACGCTTGGCATTCAGGCGCGCAAGCCGAATCTTAAGAGGCCGGTGATAATTGGCCTTTTGTTATTGCCGTGCGTGTCCTTGTTGCATGACTTTCTCATCAAGTGCTCTGCGCTACGAATCATGGAGAGACTCGCAATTGGCTGCTCAAGCAGGGCTGCATGAGTCGCCAGATGCTCCTAGGTACCCGTATGCACCAGTGGCAGCAAGACGATGGACCAAATACCTGGCCACCGAGGACGGGACAAGCTGGTCTCGTGCTTGAGTTGCATTGTATGTAGGCAGTACAGGCTGCTCCATAAAATTTCATTCTTCACATTGCAGGTACTCGGGACCGTGATGTGGGCTAAACCGAACCACAGGCTTCGTGCTTGATAATTCAACTATGGGCTCGGCGGCGAAGAGGCCCGTTACGGGTATTCGTGAAAGAGGGCGTGCGTGGCGGTCTTTTGCTCATTCTTCGTATACTCCTCGATTCACAGTAGGGGTGGCCTAGCTGGTCAACAATCCATGCGAGCAATCAATCATGGACTGCTGGGCAGGCAGAGTGTACGGTATGGCAAGGTTGAGATATCCCGGAAGGGCACCGAGTATCTGGCATCCTGGGTGCCGCAGGGCCAAGCAGCAAGCGCGCGAGCGTTCAGGGCAAAAGGCGGACAGAGTGCAAGGGGAGCCAGGCAGCGTTAATGGGCAAAAAGAGTAAACCTTGTCCTGAGGAAACAAAAATGTCCAGGCCATGGACAGTGGCGGCCATCAAACAAGCCGCCATACTCGTACCTGCACGTACGCCTTCTACGTACATCCTCCGAGCCCTAGTAATCGGCTCTTCGCTTTGCAACAACGCCTCTGGTCCCTTCAATATCAATTACGCCCGACGTGGCCCCGAGTGTGGAGGAACAAGCGCGTCGGGGATAATCGCCTACCCCTTGTCCGTAACGCGACAAATGCCCGGCTGGCCAATTGCATTCCCTGTTATGCCGCAAGACGAGATCCTGCAGCAGCGCTTCCAGCTCACGGCAGCAGCGCATCATCCGTTTTGACCAGGACTGCACAGCTCCGTGGCCCAGAGCTGGGGTAACATGACTGGCCGACAAGGGGATATTTGTCTGCCAAGGTGTTTTTGTGTAACATAACGCATGTTTCTATCCACAGTCGAAAAAGAGATTATTGTTTCCATATCATTTTGATTGCTCCAGGCAGCAAGATTTCCAGAGTGTGAAACGATGGAACTTGAGCCTGACAATGCACCAGCGCCATGCGACGATGCTGCTGCAACTGTCTCTTGTTGTTGATGATGATGATGGTGTGTCAAGGATGATACACTGCAGCTTTGGTCTAGCTCAGTCCGCAGCTGCACTCCATACCACTAGCTGTACCTTAGTATGTAACATGAAGACACCTTGAACGAATCACAACGGCGCTGTAGCGATCCGTTTTGTCGCCATCACGTGGCTGTTCTTTTGAGTAACCAGGGACAGGAACACCGTATTAGTAGTTTCTCTTGTTCCCCTTGCCCAGTCGACTCATCAACTCACCTCGGAAATCGCACTACGGAGAGAAGGGAGTTGGGTGTAGGGAAGGGAGGAGGGGTAAAAGAAAAGCGACGGAACAGGGGAGTGTTGCGCGAGTTAATGATAGAGTCGCCTTACTGTACAGGGTGCAAGCCTGAATGTGTATACGTTGGGGGCGTGAGAAACGGTGATGAACACATGCAGCTGAATGATTGCTACTACTTCCGCAGCTAGTAGCCTGCCTCGACGACGAGTTCCGTTAGTGATGGTTACATGCCACGGGATGGTGCCTTTCTATGGTGGAGAGCAAGTGAAGATTGAAAGGGGCCCGTCGAAGGAGGGTGTTGCTATCATGCAAAGATGCATGAGATGAGGCACTTGGGCTTGCTCGCCATGGGCAACATGACATGGCCTTGGGAGGACGCCGTCTGTGCACGGAGGTGTATGTGCTAGTAGGGTACATATTCCAGACTCGCAAGCGTCGTACAAGCACCTGTAGTAGACGGAGTACTGCCGAGCTGTTGCAATGGTGAAGAGTACAGATTATCTGCATCAGGGGTCCCTTGGGGCTATCGGGATGCGTCTGTGAGTGAGACGGGGAGAGAAGAGCATGGCCCCCATTCTCCCACGTAGCAACCATGACCTTGACCTTGACCTTGACCTTGACCTTGTCCATGTCCATGTCCATGTCCATGTCCATGTCCCTGCCCACAGCCTTGCCCTTGGACATGGCGACTCCATCTGTCATGATTGATGGAGTGCAAAGGATTTGCGGCAGTAGCGAGATGGCTGATCGATAAATTGATTTACCGGTCTGCTTAATTGACCTGACTTGCCGGCAGGATCAAGCAATTGATTGGCTGACTCGTACGAGCAGATGAAAAGAAGGCTCTGCGAAGGACCATGGAAGTCGTTTATTCCGTCAATAGACACGCACATTCGGAATGGGGGCCAGCGCTTGTCATCTTTGCAAGCACACAGCCGCACCAGCTACCACCTTAGTAAAACCCAGCAATTACCCGTACGTCTTGAGATGGGATCAAATTCATGAACCCATGGCTTTTGCGGAGTACATAAATTGTGTCTTAGGTTAGGTAGTATCGTAGCAAGCAGGTTGGCATAGCTGCATGCTGGACAGGCATACTTCCCGCAGTAGTATTGACTCTGATTTCTTTTATCACCCTTCTTGTTGCCGTCGCGTAAATGACGTCAAAAGTATGGGGGAGCAATCCGGACCTATATTTAGGATTCGAACCCCCGGCCGAGGTCCAGAAAAAAAAACCTGAGCTGCGGTTTCGGAGGTCGTGTAAGCCGAACCATGCTCGCGCCCTCTACATCTGTGTCGCGTCGTACGTATCGTATAATAATGAACAAGGGAAATGCAGCACTTGGATCATCAAGTCCACGATGCATGGAATTCAGTCGCAAAAGATAATCCAGTATTACAGGCCGACAGTACGACAGCCGACAGCACGCCGTGCCACTTGGGGCATAGCCTCGTGAAGCCAGTAGGAGGAGCATGGGAGTGGCCTTGAGACGAAGAGGCTTGCTGTGACTGGCCGCAGCAGCACCGGTAAAGCCACTGCTAGTAACGCTCGTAGATGCACGCCCCTCTTCTTCTTCCCCCAAAGTCCATCCATGCCGTGGGGCAGGGACACTGGTGGAATCTGCAGATCCGCCGCAGCCCGGCCGTTGCTAAACACCACAAGCAGGCTAGCCCGTGGAGCTCTGTCAGAACTGGTCAATTCGCGCCAGGGGAGGGGCCTGGAGCTGGAAGAAGTCATCGATGGCTGCATTGCTCGGCCACGGCGTTTGGGGCCTCCCCGTCTGCTTTACCCATGTCTCGCCCTTTGAGATAGCACTCCAACCGTGCAGTAGCAGTAGTGCTACTATTGCTCCGTACCACTATGCTCATCCTAGGTAGCCGACAGGCGTTTGGTTCCTGTCCTGGGCTTTGGCTTTGCGATCATGCAGGTTCCAAGCGTCCAGGGGCGCTTGCAGGGCAGGGCAGGCCAGAGCCAACTGGAGTCCCATGCTCATGTTCAACCCCTCTCTTCCCACATCCCACCCCTTGGCGAGACACAGGGACAGATTTTGTTGCCCCGGACAGATTTGCTGTGCAAGCTCTGGGATGCACGCATGCGCCTGAGTGCTTGTAAGGCAAGGCAAGCGATACGCAGCCGAGGCACTGCAGGTATATAATATCAAATATGACCGGAGAAAATGGAAAAAGGTCTTGCGAGCCTAGGTAGAGTAAAGAGCCGCCGCCGCCGCAGCCGCAGCAGCTCGACTGCAGGTTTCCCGGCAAGCCTGGGCAATAGGTACCAAGCCCAAGCCCAAGCCCAAGCAGTACATGGATCGGACCGCGGAGTGCTGTTTGCAAAATACCAAAGGACCCGACCTGGTGGTTAGTAGTACGTTATAGTATCATAGCGGATACCGGATACAGGTTTTGCCAGATGCTGGAAGAGTGTTGGCCGACGTTAATTGCCTTGTCTCCAGGTCTAGAATTAGCACCAGACAGATTTGATCCATCTGCTATGTGCTAGTGCTAGCTGCTGTGGGCTGATGGATAATGGGAGTCCCTTAGCGCCGTGTGCCTGCGCCTGCGCCTGTGCTTGTGCCTGTTCTGGAGTTGATGGATGCCCTCCTCTTCGGATATGGACAGGTATGGCACATGGGCGGTGCACCTCCATTTACCCGTGCTTGCCGTGGTGTTTCCTCTTCGACGATGGCTTCAAGGTCTGCTCATCAAAGAGGAGGGGGAGATGGGATGAGGAGAAAGAGAAGGAGACACGGAGAGAGGCAACGTCACACGTCGGAACATCTGCAACTCCGAAGTACTCGCACATGTACACACCTCAGTTGAAAAAAATATTCGACACACAGCATTGATGCTCAATCTCACACTCTCCCCAAGCCCCTCTACTGCATCCCATCCCGTTCCCCTGGCACTGGGACTCTTTCTTCCTGCCCCTCCCCCCACTGTCTCCGTCTCCGTCTCTGCCTAGATTATCTTCAACAAGCTCGAGACAGCAAAAGCCTCCCGCGTCTCGTCTCCGCCCACCACGCCAGCTCTATCAAGGACCGAAACTAGGCGTCTCCAGAGGCTCCATCACGCGATTCGCCAAAACATCACGTTGCTCTTTCTGTAGACCGGACTCGACGGCCTCGCTCCAAACTGGCAATTTTTAGTGTCGCGGATGGAGCAGCGCACGGAGCGTCCGATTCAGTGGCCCTATATGCTTACTTTGAAGCTCCATCACTGCATTAGGCTCAAACGAGGCCAAGGCGAAGAGAAGACTGGAGGAAACGCGGCACGGAAGCAGAATGGATCAGGTCGGCGCTCCAAGAGCCGCTGGGTCGGCTGTATTCGTAATTGATTGGAAGCTTTCCTCCGCCTCGCGGAAAAAGGAGTCGGTCAGGACAGGTTAGTTAACGCGGTCTCTGCTTAGCCTCAACTCACGTCCGACAGAGCTTAGGAGCTGGGCTAGCCTTGCTTTTGAGCGAATCACTTGATCGCATTGCTCCCCCTCCTCACCGTCCATCACTGTCCACGGCATTTGAAAGGTGTAGCGCCAATGACGGCCGCTCTTCTCCATCTCCTGGCAGAGATCCCGGTGGAAGTGCCGGGCGTCCGCGAGGACAACGGCCCACACATTGTTCACCTGTTCAACTACATGACTAGTGCCTACACGTTCAATGCGCGGCTGTACACAGGACCAACGTCAACGGGGAGCAGCCGTGCATCGCTCTCGCTCGTTCTCTCTCCCTCTGCTCCGTTATTCCGTCCTGCTGCGTCTCTTTTCGTCATCTACTACCCTTGTCATTCCACTCCAACGGCCGTAAGCAATGCACCAATCACAGGCGCCGAATCCGCGTGGTGATTACTATGTATGGCGAATCGTCCTCTTTTATTAGAAGCGCCGTATATACGGATCATCCATCTTTCCCCTTCTAGGATCAATACCCAGTGGCTAGATAAGCTTGATAAATGACACGAAAAGCTTCACACTAAGGATATATGACTGCCTAGGTACTAATCATTTATTACACTTGCCAAGTTCTTGGGTTGCCTCGCGTAGGACATCTCATGTAACAACAGATGAATTCCAAAGAAGGGGGCCATGACAAAAGACCTATAGGCTACAGCAAAGTATACCATGTATCTCCATTCATCGCATAAACCTTCAGATTCCGTTACAAATCCCAATTCCCCCTGCTCAGTCCCCTCACTAGAGCTGCCTCCACAAACAAGCCTCACGCTCAGGCCACTGCAATCTCTGTGCTTACGCTCTGATCTGATATCTCCTAGGGAGGTCATCACCTTGTCCACCATTCCCGCCCAACCCGACTCAGCCAATAAGCGCAGGCAGCCAAGAACGGTGCTTGAACGGACCGGAGTTTTTTTTTTTTTTTTTCTGGTCTCTGTCATGCCTTTGGATTCTTTGTCATGTCTGCCGTTTTTGCTCATCAAGGTCCAGCCCAGCCTAACCCACCCCCGGTTATGCAAAAAATGTCCATCAGGGTATCATAGCCCGATGACATACTTTAGCCGTCGAAACCCGGTCCTAGCTACGCAGAGTTAGCCCATGGGGAGATATACTGTTCACGGCGGTTACAGCATCATGATGCTTGAATCATGAACAGGCCAGGTCTCTTATATCACTCAAATAGTATGCAGCAAAACGGAGCGCCTAGATAAAGAAAAGAAGGCAGAGAAAATTTAAAATTGTATGAAATAGGAAAAATTGTCAGACAGGACCGGTAATCCGAGTCAGCGGCACTTTGACCAGCCTGCCATACATATTATTTTCAGCATTCTCTCGCTTACAACTGTCCCGAAGCATGTCGTCGGACGAGTGTCCACCGATGATTTCTCACGCTTCTCTACTGTACATGTAATCTTCGCTCTCACCGTTGCCCGCTGCTTAATTCTTGCATACGGAAGATCCTCGCTCCGCACCCATCTTATTATGATGGATGCTGGGGAAACGCAACACCAACAAAGCTGCCATGAAACCATCCATTTTCCTCTTGTCCAACCCACCCCTCCCCCCTCCAAATCTAGACGCTGATCGAAATAGGATGGGGATGCGCATATCAGCTAGAGCGAAAGAGAAGGAAAAGGGCCAATGAAAAGGTAAACACGTTCAAGGACCCTGAAAATCTCACCTCCTCCATCACCGGCATCCCATGCTCTCTATTTTAGCCCACGCCTCTTTTCGCAACTAGCTCTCACTCTTTTTTATTTTTCCTTCCTTCGCAAGGGCCCCCCATCGAAAAGGACCAGGCTTCCCGTTTACGCCATTTCCGTAATTCCTCCATATGCCCCGTAGTCATCCGTCCCTTCAACTCGAGATTATTCCGCTTACTCGAACCATCTGCCGAATCTCTCCCGTTCCCACTAAAAATAACAAAAAACGCTCAAGACAGGGAACGTGAGAAGGGAAAAAAAAAAAAGGCGCTGCTGCATCTCGATTTGTCTTACACACACACGCCTTACCCATTCCCAAACCTCATCTCAATCCACCGCGAGATGGTGGCGCGCCAGAGTGCAAAAAGGCCACCCTCCTTGTCATCATCCCATTGCCTCTTTCGATATCCCCCTTCCCTTCTCGGGTCTCGGGCAAACTGCTTTTGAACTTTTGGTCAAACGACACGCCCCTCCGCCAGACTCCAAGCAATATACTCCTACTCCGTACTTTGTTGCACCAGACTACGATATTCACCGTTTCCATACTACCTAGTTGGCACTACTGGCTTCGTCCCAGGTCTATTTTTGTACTACCTACCTGCCTACCTTTTTGCTAGCCATCTTCATGTGCCTGGTTCCTGGTGCCTTGCAGTTTAGGTTTATCTTGTCTCCCCATTTCTCCATTCTCCATTAGAGCGGATGGACACACGGAAAGCTTCGTGCAGTCGGTCCGCTTCCACCCGCCTGCGTAGAGGGGCTTTCTTTGAACTTTTGAAACCGGCATCGCCGAGGGCTAGCATCACCCCAATCAGTTTGATATCATCGTACATGTGTTCATCGTATCGTATCGCATCGTACCAGTGCCAAGTTGTACGTGCAGTCGTGATCATGGCCAAACGGGAGATTCAGTGTCAGCCCTCTCGGTGAGTCGAACCGGCCTTCTCATGCACATCACTTTTATTGCCATATACTCCGTGTAATTGCTTTCAAGTCTCAAATTCATTTTTTATAAACCGCCAAATTCGTACCAAGATATTCATACCCGCTAGCTAATGCAACTAACTCAAGAGTAAAATCCCAAAGGGGAATTCAGTATATGCAGACATTTCCGCCCATCATAGATGTCCTTAAGGGACAGTAAGCTATTGTACAAGTTATGCCCATCGTTTTTTGTTCATCATGTAATAACATACAAGCCGACTGATTGACAAAGGAAAGAAAGAAAAAAAAACCATAAACAGGGGGGGGATCGCGGCGAACAAGCCACGTGCAAAATATGTACAATCCAAACAGGAAGGAAGTTTTTTTTATATCACCATTTTCCCCGCGATAACATATGAGGTATTACTCGTATGAATCGTATGTTCAGATAGAAAGAGACAAACAATTAGAACATGATCCACTCAACCCCGGCGCCTGGCCCGCCGAGACACTTGGTCCAGTTGAAGGGACCTCTGCCAGTTCCCATAGCGTTGTAGTAGCGAAGCTTTGCCTCACTCTTGATCTCTCCTGACCACAGCTTCTCTAGCACACCAAGAGCTGCTAGGTTGTTCATGTAGCCGGATCGACCCATGATGCCACGACACTTATCGCGTATGATGGTTTGTTGTGACTCCACGATGCATTCCGACCCAGCCACAAACAGGGGCCATAGTAAGAACTTTTCTGCCGCGCTACTGGTCTCTAGGCTTGTTGCGTGATGCACAACCTGGCTGACCAGGTTCTGGAAGTTGCTATGGGTAGATGGACCATGTGGGTTTGCTAGCCGCTCGGAGTAGAGCAGGGCGGCATATCGAAAAGCCTCAGAGACAGCTCCCAAATCGCGCAGCTGGCCTGTGGTAGGTGAGCCAGGTAGTGACATGGCCACCGAAGAAGCGTCAAACTGCCAGTCTTGAAGCTCTTGCCGTGCAGCCTTCCACTCTGTCCAAAAGACGTATTGCCGCTCGTCAAAGGATACCGAAGAGTACATCGCATTAGCGAGTATCTCGTCGTCGTCGAGCTTCGTGCCAAAACCATTTCCGTCAAATCGTGGAGGCGATTTTGATTCCTTGTCTGCGCAATCTTCTTGCTGCGGTTCTTCTGACTTGCTCATGCTTTGTACAGGTCGATGTTGGGATAAGAGATTTAGGCGACCCAGTTTGCCAATTGTCTTGAAAAGATTCCGATCACATCCAATCATATTTTCAGACCCACTAGGTAGGTTCTGCACATCAGGAGAGACACCCTCAAAGCCGGGAGCCAGCTGCGCTTCTCGCTCATTGATACTGGCCGAAATAGCGTCAAAGTAGGTAAATAGAGTCTCCATCCATGAGGAATCTTTGGAAGGGGTTGAATCTCTGGATTTTCTCATGGCTAGAATCTTGCGTACGCCAGCAAATTGCGTATGAAATTTTGCAATACCAGATTCAACCATTCGATAATGACACAGGAGGAGGATTGTTGCGAGCGCCGAATCATGGCACGACTTCACTGGATCGCTAAGCTGTCGATTCAAAAGGTGTACTGCAAGATTGCGATGCTGTATCTCTTCGGACAGTGATTTGTCTTCCATCTCTGTGCCCGAGTTGGTCTCGGAGGCCTGTTTCTCCGCCATTAGAGTTGCTAGCAGCTCGTTTGTCCCGTATCCCAAGCTCAATCTCCTCTTCATCCGCAGATTGCAGGCTGATAAAGCACAGATGGCGTGCTGCACGCTCGGGTTATGCACTGCCAAGCGTAGGACGTGCTCTCTGAAAGGGTTGTGGGGGCCATCTATGAAGACCATAGATGGGGCCATGGTAATCTTGAAGTAATCCATAAAAAACGGCATCTTGGCCAACAGATCCGTTTTGGCGCCAGCTTGTCCAAACCATTGCACCTGGCCACTGCTGTGGCGTCTAGGCGGTGGTAAAGCTTTTCGTGCAATTCGTGGAGTGGAGCCACCGCCGGCATCGACTTCAGGAACACCTGCTCGCTTATTAGAAGGGGTAGGCCGGGCAGGGCGCCATGTGATGCTCACTGAGGCTTTCACAACCCCGCATAAGTTTGTGGCCAAGGTGCGACTCAAAAGGATCCATGTGGTGAGCGAGGGCAGGATGAGTCTCTGAGGGGGCATAGACCAGCCCTGGATAAGAGGTAGGGGCGCGGCAGTGGTCAAGAACCAGCACGGTTGGGGGGCTTTGCGCAATGGGGGAGCTGTGCTGAGTAGGATATCCTTCATACATGACGGTCGGGCTATGGCTGAAGGGGATCTCCTCGCGAGCGTATGATTGGCTCAGGGGAGAAAGGTAGTCCACCTCGCTGCCAACCGATTCGCACGATGAAGAGAGCGCATCGGTGCTGAGATGCAGAGGAAATCTAGCATATCTCGGTGTTCCATCCGGCGAGTGCACAAGACTAGGAGAATATCCAACACTGCCCCAGCTGCTCTGTGACATTGACGGGGTGTGACCGTGGTGTGAGATGGACATGTAGTCGTACGCGGGAACTTGGTATGCTGGCGTGCTCGGCGTCGAAGCCGTGTGTGTTGTTGAAGGAATGTCGATGGGACTTCGAGCCAATTTTGTCGAAAGAGCAGCGGCGCTCGATTGGGCCCTTGCCCGCGAGACAGGCGACTTCTTCGGCTCACGAGTGACCGGAGGTGCCTTTGCAATGGGCAAAGACAGTCCGCGAAGCTTGCCGCGGCTTGCAACACCGACGCCCCAGGTCAGCTGTGTCTTGTAGCCAGAGCATTCGTTGCCGATCTCGAGGCATTGAGAGCAGTAGGGTCGGCGGCGATCGCATTTGACATTGCGCTTAGAGCATGTGAAGCAGTCGTCCGCGGCACCACCAGCGGGGGCACGTCTTCTGCGCTTGCGGATGGTGGCGGCGTCTTTGGCAACTACAGCCACGGTAGGTTGGGATAACGGAGCAGTCATGATGATGAAGGAGGAGTTGAGTGTTGTTATAAAGAGATATGAATTTGCGTGTTGTCTTTTTCCTTGGAGGAAAAAGGAAAAGAGGAGGAAAAAAAATTCAGCTATAGCTTTCAAGTCAAGATGCTCTTCAAGTCTCAGCTTAGACGTGGAGTGGGTATTGTTTATATCAAGGCTAATTGCGGTGGAAGACAAGAGAAGATAAAGGATAGTTGAAAGGAGAGATAAGTAGGCGTGTGTAAAGAGTCGATTATGCCAATGAAGCAAGTTGTGCTGAGAGCAAGAATCCTGAGATGGGAACGGGCATGATGAGGGTTATGTATGTATGAGAAGACCGGAATCTGTGTGGTGTGAATCGGAGCAGTCATGGATCCGGCTGATATGGAATGGCTCACACAAAACCAAGTCCAGGATGGCACTTTACAGTAGCGGCAAAGGCAATGGTAGCCGGGACGCTTGTGCCATGGATCGTGAGCAAGGGGCGACTTGCGAGTGCTTTCGAGGTGTGGGCTATCTGGATATGAATCCCCCGTACTCTG